CCTGGGGGGCCAAAGTGCCCTGAAAAAACCACAGGTCCTGTAGCAGAAGCTGCACAGTCACCCAGCCATTACATCAAAAATATCAGCGGGTGTAGAGGTGCCTTTCTAGGCCATTCCGCATAGGTCCGCTTTTGAACTGGCGTTTTGTGTTTGCGAAGTGAACAGGAGACTGAAGGCGCCGGAAGCGAGGCGCCTGACCGTGGTTTCCGGAGCAACGCGCTAGATGTAGAGGACGCCTATGGGTCAGAGATGGTCAGGGCATGCATGCGTGTTTGGCGCTGTCAGTCCGCATCGGGGCCTGGATCGCAAGACCTCGAGCACCCTGAGGAGATCGGAGTCGGCTGCTGAGCAAAGTGATGTGTGTACCTGAAAGCCCAATGCGAAGAGACTCTCTGTGCGACATGGCTAGCTTCGAGGACGACGACCCTCGGGCAGAAGATCCTGCTGCGTGGTCGGAGAACTTGGCCGAGGGAGGCGCTTGGCTCTTGAGAGCTTTCATTTCAGAGATTATAGGACGCGGTCTTACGACTCGATTCCCAACCCGAAGGCTCGAGTTCACGTTCCCCAAGAGTCGCTGAAGCAAGTAGAGAGGAGGTGCTTCCAAAGCCAGGCAGCAAGCCAGGAACTCCAATGTCCAGGGTTGATAGGGTACGACCGTACAAAGGTTCAGGATTGAGGGTTGTTGGGGAATTGCGCATAAGGTGTGTTCAAGAAGAGCTGGGTTCAGGAAAAATGAGTCGTAGGCAGGATGCCCCTAAAAAGTCGCTTGCGGACTTCCATGGGCCTCCTCATGCTTCTCGTTGTCGCTTCACAGTCACCCAAGTCACAGGACGCTTCATGTCCCGAAACCCCAAATCTTCGTGGCCCAGAGCTCGGACTCGACCCAGCTGAACTCTCCCGAAACAGTCAAGAACCTGCCCCGAAAGCCCTGAAAGTGGCTTGCGCAGACGCTGACGATGGCGACCCACCTGACACGGAAGCCAGCCGAAGTGTCGAGGCCGGCTGGGGCTCCAGATCCTCACAGATTGTCGGGAATTGAGAAAGGATTTGTGCAAGCAAAGTATGTTATAATCCCCTGGAGCCCAAAATTTGGGAGGCGAGAACTCGGGTGTCACTGCTTTTACCTGGATAGTTCTTCTACCTGCGACCTGCGCGAGTTCCCCCCCCCAGCTTACTGCGGGCAAAGCATGTGGCTGATGGCTGTCCTACAGATGAAGCTGGTGCTGCAAATTCGCCAGCCCTAAGCCCGCCCTGCCAGGAAGCTGTCGTGCGAGACATGCCCGAAGCCGACCATTTTGGAACAGGAAGGGAGGATGCGTGGGACGATTAGGCGGCTGCTGGTACTCCCTGTAGGGGAAACCTAGGAAACCAGTCATCTTCCCAGCTTAAGGGCAGTTTCGCTTGGTATCTGCCATGTCGCTCTCAGACCTCAGACCTTATTGGGAGCAGTTGATGGCATCATCGACCTTCCATTGCTCGCTGAGACTTCCCAGAAATCTTCCCCCACATCTGAGAGTGAGCTCGTGATAGAAACCAGCAGCCCAGTCCACCAAGCCCGTCTTTGGGGGATGACAACTCCAAGCAGACGAGATCAATGTTGTCATCCTCCCCTAGTTTTTTTGCTTCCAGTCTTGCCGACGATTGCATGGTGAAGAAGGTTGCCTCGCGCTCTGGGCCAAAACAAAGGGCTCTAAAATGCAAACCTGCACCCCGAAACGCCCCAAGCCCGAAGAAGTTTGTGTGTAAATAAAAACAAATAGTAGTTATACATATGCATACATGCATGGTTCACTTTGTTTTAACAGAATTTTGCGCAGAGTGTTTCGGGAGAGTCGCGGATCCAATCCTGGCCCCTTAGCAGCCTTAGCCAGCAATTGACTTACAGCTCTTCTCTGAAACCGTTTGGAATGACGGAGACACTGCACCTCGGTTCCGAGTGCTGCGAAGCATCCTCAAAAAACTCATTTGCCGGATGTACAGAGTGTGCCAATTCGAGAAGTGGCAGAACCCAAAAGAGTCCATCTAGTCATGGAAGCCACCTGAAAGAAAGCCTGCTTCGGAGTCTGCCCTGTGCGCACGCAAGCCAAAAGGATGGATCACCACACGGCGGCCTCAAGTTTGTGGCCAACAGTCTGCATGGAACGCAACTAGGAACTTGCACCCTTCCTGCTTGCCAGGATTGGCAATTTAGTTGCTTCTCAACATCCGGGCACGCTTCGTGATAGCAGCATGTCTTGGAGTGTGCTGGATGTGCCTGGTACAATTGGGAGGCTAACCTGTGCATGGCGGAGTTCCAGGGTTTAGTTTCAAGGGCTGGCACAAAGATTCGAGCACAAGCTTGCCAGCTTGCCCGTGGGACGAGTTGCTGAGTTACTAAAGCTTCCAAAGTTCAAGGCAGAACTCTCGTTGCCATGGTTTTGCTTACAACTCCAGGGAGTCAAGCGTGCCCGTGCCGTTTGAGAAGCTCCCGTCAGCAAATTCTGCCCAGCGACAAGACTCTTGCAAGAACGGCTCAAGGAAAACACGGCGTGCTCCAATCAGATCCTGGGCACTCCCGGCACCCTCTAGGCGACAGCTCCAGGGGACCAGCTTGAATGCGCGATCTAAGCCCGAGCCCCCCGACCTCCTCGGAAGTGCCAAAAACATTGGAGTTGGTAGACCGTGCCGTGACCCCCAACAAAGGCTACAGGTCTATCCGGTCGTACTCGCAGACGGGTCCTGTATGCTGTCTCTCTCCTCACGCTGCCGCCCATCTCTCCACTATAGTCGCTATAGTCACTATAGTCGCTCTAGTCACTATGGTCACTGTAGTCGCTTTAGTCATTATAGTCACTCCAGGGCGCTGCCCTGGGTGGCGGAACCAGGGTTGCCCTCAGTTCTGGTGTGCGGACAATCGTCTCATGAGCTTGGGTTATTCTCCGACCCTCGGCTCAAGCCCATAATTAGTTTCCTGTACCAAGCCCTCCTTGCCATACCACTTCACCAGGCAGGGACCTGCCCAAGCATCTCAGCGCAACACGGTTTTGGCTAAGAGTGGGGTTCAAGTGAGCTCAGAGGACACCAAGAAACCGATGAAGCTCACAGACACTCAACTTCAGGAGCCCGGACATGCAGCCTTGGTGTTTAAGGGTGTTATCGGTTATGGTGTAGGGTGGGCAGTCAAGAGCTCCAAGCAAGTCGGTAGAGCGCATTGGGCTTAACACTCGCAGACGACAGGTTGTGTCGAGAGTTAGCTGTCAAAGACGATGAGCCGAGTGCAACGAAACCATCAACGGGCCTTCTTGTTCACGAGTTCATGTTGTTCCTTTAACGATGCCCGCAGGACTTCCTCCGGCTTTGGAACAATCACAGAGTATTTTTCTACAGGACCAATGCTCTGGTTCTTCTGGAGTTTGTGCAGAGGGTGACGGGTCAGAAGATGCTCGGCCACAAGGGGCATAGGACTAGGCATGCTCACAAGGTTACGTGTCAATCCCTTGCCAATATGGAGCCACCATCAACACCGTTCCCATGAGGACATGCGTTTGAAGCAACATCAGGGGCAAAAATGCGAAGCCTGATGAGACGTGTAGAGCCGCAAGAGTAAAGCCCACACATGCCTTTGAATGGGATATGATGCTTAGGATGCCGAGACATGGTTCCTATCCCCCTGAGCTCTGGCAAGAGCTGTGCCGACAGGCTGGGCCGGGCATAGTGTGCGTAAGGGTGCTTGTGATGGAGCCCACAGCGCCAGCATGGTTGTCGGGTTGTATTGCTGAGAGCCGCTGTGCCATGCTGCATGTCCTCGCTCGCTGAACCCCGCCCATGCTGCCAGCAGGTCAATGCGACCTTGCGCTCCTGGAATCCTACATATGGCGCCAAGCCCGTCTTTACTTACCAGACACTCGCGCTGACTGTCTTGGTCTGTTATTTCATTTGAGGCGAGGCCTGGCAGGCTTCTGTAAAGCTCGTGCAAAATAATCATCCACGATGGCCCAGGAATGGTCATGTGCATTGCCAGCGTCCATGCCGGCAATCCCTGCCGCTGACTTGCAATGACGATCAATGATGTATAAAGTATCAGGACGTGGGTTTGGCACGCACACGGCATATCCCGTTCCCAGCATGACGGCTCTGAGGACAGATATTTTCCGACCACCACGAACCACCCTCCGCAAGGAGGCAGTGGAAGCACCACCGCAGGAGGCAAGGGGTATGTCTTGTAGGCCCCGTTTAGGCTTCTATTGCGTGTGGATACTGAGGCTGGCCCGGCTACGATGAAGCCCCAGGTGCCGGTCTTGCCGGTGTCCTGGGCACAGCCGGCGCTGGGCCCTCCGACTGCAACAACCACGGCAAGAAGCGTGAGCACCGTTCGCTCGGAGCTGGAGGAGCCTGGGCTCTCAAAAGTCGCAAGAGTTCAAGAGGGTCAAGTTGCGCTTCTCCACAGTTCTTTCATACTGCAACCTGCGAGGAATCTAGCATTGAGGTAGCGCAGCCTGGCGCAGGCAGGGACCATGGGCCATGGAGGGGGCATCTGGTGCGTGCACCATAACAATCCATGGCTTGTATGCGTGCGTCAAAAGTAGTGGTGTCGAGGAGGAGAATACTATGCTGAGGACATCATGTGGCTTGGCAGCAAAGGAATCGCAATCTAAGTTTCTGCTGGGATCTTGAAGTTGCATCGCCAGTTCCAATGACTGCACGGTTTGTTAAGAACAACTCTTCTTGAATTCCTAGACTGTTTGTATTTTGTACCTTTTCTGGCTCATTAGTTGGCATGTGACCCAATGGGTGGCTCAATCGGTCCGTCAAAAGTTCGCAGTTCTCAAAGTTGCGTCGAATCCTTTCCTTTGCTCGTTTCTTTTTTCGCTAGCTTACAATCTTTTCGTATCGTGCCTGCAAGGTGCCAGCAAAAGCAGGTTTGCCCCATTGTTTGATTTAACTTTGGGTCAGTTATGGTCAGTTCATGTCAGGGCACGGGCACATGAGTCAGGACACTCGCGCTATCGAGCTGCGCCACAATGGCAGAGCAAGAGCAAGTCACGCGCTGCCTTCGAGAGCTGGAGGGTGTCGTACGGACTCTGGGCAGTGACTGGTTTCGAGCTTAGCCGACGTCAGCTGATGAATCGAACTTTCCTCTTCGAGCCCAGCTTGGAGTCAGCCCGAGGTGTGTCCGCCCTTATGGGAGCAGTGCCAACGGCTTCGCCGTCAAAGGCTCGGATATGGACGTCACATGCTTCCGGGCCGGCAATGTGAATCAGGACAGGCTCAGGCTCAACACATCACACAGCGACAATAGGGGAAGTAGGGAACATTGACAGCTAGCTCACCACGCAGGATTGCCGACAGCCCCTGTCACGGCTGCAGACTCTTCTGGAGAGCCTCCCTCAGTTCAAAGTCACGGAGGCAGTCTGGGGAGCCCGCGTTCCCATTCTGAAGCTCAAGTTCGAGGATCTGGATGTGGACTTGTCATGCCAGAACTTGGACGCACTCCGCAACACGGAGCTATTCAAGGCATACTCTCGACTGCATCCTGCTGTGTGGCAGCTTGTCGTCTTGGTGAAGTGTTGGGCGCGTGCTGCCAACGTGTGTGGCGCCCCCGATGGCTACCTGTCCTCCTACTCCTGGACTCTTATGGTCATCTACTTCCTGCAAGTTCATCCGGAGTTGCAGATGCCATGCCTGGACACCGAGCCATTCAGGCAAGGCGCCACCGTCGAAAGCGGTGAAATGCCCACTTGGAACTGCAGTCGCCCACCCCACTGGCTGCTAGAAGCCTTCTTCATGTTCTATGCCGGCAGTAGAGATGGCTTCCGATGGGGGACAGAGGCACTGAGCCCAAGAAATGTTGCTCTAGTATGGTAGTGATTTTGAGCTTCCTTCAATTGCACGCCCCTGCAGGTGGTCTCCGTTCGCCTCGGCAGGCGCGTGCACTCGGGGGTCGAGGACTTTAGCCCGCTGGGCTCGCGGAGAGCGATGCGGCTGCACGCCCGGACCTCAGGAGTCCTTGGGCCATGGGCCTCTGGCCTCGCCCAAGCTTTGGCAGGGGTTTCTAGAGCACTAAAGCCCTGGCATCCTAGACTCTCAGGCTGTAGCACCAGCCGGCTTGAAGTTGCCTCTGCTGTGCCTCAGGTCGAGGATCCTTTCCTGAGATTTCGCAATCTCAACTGTGTGTTGCTCCAAGAACAGCGGAAGACAGCATGGGATCAAGAAAGAGTCGCCCTCACTCTGTTCATTCAGTTCACAGTGCGCGAGTTGCAGGTGCTCGGGAAGGCGCAGGAAAAGGACATGCGCATGAAGATTGCGCAAGCGGCACGGGCCATGGAGAACTGTCTCCTCCCAGAAGGCATGCAAGGCCAGGGGTAAGTTTAAAGGGCATGCTGAAACACGAGCCATCCTTTTCAGATTCTTCGACAGGGGGGGCGAAGATGTGATCTTTGGGTAAGAAGCTGTGTCTCCACCTGGGCTGAAGCAGGTCTCATTGATGCTGCCAAAGCTTCTTTGGGCCTGGCACCTCAAAGTCTGATGATGTCTGATGCAGCAACTTTGCGCGGGACGTGATGAGCTCCGCCTCTCCCCAGGTCCAAAGCCCGGAGCGCAATCTGAGCTTGTTGGGCAGCCTTCGCGACCGCTACAGCACCAGGACAGTAACACGCCTGAGGCAGCACATCGGGTGATACAGCTGAGCTTCAGGTTCTCATTCTGTTTGCAAGGACTGGGATGGCTTTTGGGATGAGGCCGTGCCCGTCGCGGCACCCCACTGCGCGATTGCCTCGACTCCAGATCATAGTGTGGGTGCCACAGCTGCGGACCTCTCCCGGACGTCTGCAGCCGAGTCTGCCAGCGTTGGCTCAGGCGCGCCTCTGCTTTGACATCTGAGCATGCCTGAGCTTGTCATAGCTTGTCCCCTTGCGCATGTTTCAGGGATCTCTCCCTCATTGCCATCGTCTCCACTTTGTCCTGCAGAGTGGAGTGTCGAAGACGTCGTGGTGCCTTGGAGTTTCTTTGGCGGTTCGGCAGCCAATGAATATCAATGAAGAGCGGAGTTTTGGGGTTTGTCGGCCTCCTAGAGTCTCCTGACAGTCGAGGAGTGGCTGCTCACCTTGAAGTATGATTGGATCACCAGGTGGGCCTTCCAGTTCGTCGTATGTCATCCGGAGTCCTTTCATCTATTTCTTTCGGAGATTTGCAGAGGTACACCGCCTCCTTTGCTCAAGAGGAAATCGATGGGGTGGTGCTGCGAGAACTCACCTCGACGCCTCGAATGCAAGAAGTGAACAGTTGCCACCCCGAAGACTCCAGACGGTTCTAAGATGTTCTAAGCCTAAGGAAGGAGATGAAGGATGAGCTTGGGATTGTGGAGCTGGGCTACCGAAAGGCCGGGAAGGGACTCCCGGCATATCCTCTTTTGGTGCATCTTCCCCAGGTCCTCCTGGCCGACATCCAGGCGCTCTTTGCGCGCGGAGCGCCTTGAAGCCAGTTCCGAATGCTACGTATGTACAGAGAGATTTTGTTTGAGCTACACGGGCTACACGCCTGTGCTGCGCCAAGCCAGTTGGCAAATGGAAGACCAGACTCTTGTGCAGGACCTTCCCAAAGAGAAGAAAGCTTTCGTGCCATCTGCCACCCGCTTCCTGCAAGGGTTGGTTTATGGTTCGGCCTAAACGCCCAGCAGGTCGCCGGTTCTTTTCTTGATGCGGGGTGGCGACGCGGATACTGCATCGGTTGCAGTAACATGCATGACCGGCTCCTTCGGCCAGGCAGTGTTTACCAAATTTGCTTATTCACCACCCATCATCGCCCTTCTGGGGCTTAACTATGTGCGTGAGAATGTGAGTCGCGAAGCCCAAAGTGGGAGGAGGCATGCCGCAGCGCCTTGGCTTGAAGTCGGGAGCGAAGTAATCTCATGAGCCCCACCGAAGTCATGATCTCGCCGAGACATGCTTCTTCAGTGCACAGCAGACCACGACAGACGACGTGCAACACGTCGAAACCCGTCGAAACGTGTCGGAACTCTGTACTGTTCAGTTGCCAACCTCCCCGCAGCAATGGAGATCGGCCTGGGCCTGGGCCTGGCCTGGGGAAGTTCCGCGACGAGTGCGGCCAGCGCGGCCCTCGCGGCTTCCGGTACAGTCGTGGGCTCAGTGCCACTGGCTTTGGCTTTGCATGGCTTCGCGCTTCTAAGCTTCAACCTCCCCTCCGCCCCCTGCACGCCGAACTGGCAAGATATTGCGCGCTGCGGCATTGAGGCTTGCCCGATATTCATGCTGCCAGCAATGGCTGGCGCAGCGGCGCTGACTTGGCAACTTGGCAGAGTCTCGCTGTTGCAGCCCTTCCGCAAGATCAGGCCTGAAACGTTGCGTCTGGTAGCTCAGGATGCGAGTCTACGAACACTTCCTTTGGCAGCAGGTACTGCGATCTGCAAGTTACATATTCCGACATGTATTTGCATCCTCTGCGGTAAATGGCAGTGGAATCTGCTGAGATCGACCGGGATAGCATTGAATTCATTGAAGAGATGTCACCGATGTCACAAGCGGTCCGCGGCCCTGTGAGTTTGAGATGTTACGCGCCCCTTGCACTGCGCCTTGCGTAGCCGTGGCATGCTCTTGTGCTTATCTATGCTGCGAATGCATTTTGTCTCCATGCTGTCCATGCCTTTGTATGCCCAGGCAGTGGCGGAAGATCCCGTGCATGCAGAAGGCCAGCCCAAGAGATTCGCAAGAGGGTGAGGTTGCAGCCTGGGACACCAGCCAGACACCATGACGACTGGGCAAAAAATGCAACAAAGATCACGTGGCGAGAGGTCTGCGAAAACAAGATGGTTGGGTTGCTGGCGCTTGCACGCAAAGAATGTTAGGCGTTTGTGAAGGTGATACTGTAGATTGATCGAAAATACACTTGAGAAAGGCATCTCGATTATCCGGCCCGTTTTGAAACAGAACATGCAGCGCTGATGGAAGGATCGATGGCTTCACGTTGTTTGCGAGGTAGTGGCGGCAAGCCTTCCTTGCAAGTACCAGGGTCCTTGGACCGTAGTACGCAAGCCCCGAATGCATTTTGGAGAAAGATTTTCAGGGTTAAGGGGCTCGAAGAAGTTGATGTTGGGACATATGAGTCAAGTATACTGCATGGTTTCAGATGGATACTTGGCCTCCACTTAGTGTGGAACTTGCGCGAAGCACGGAACCTTCAGCAGCTGTCGGACGATTCGTTGGCAACCTCAGGGGCTTGTTGGGATTTCGCCGGAAGACGCCTCGCCCCCCCCTAGCTGCCCTAGCTTGCCAGGCCGACAAGATGGTTGACCTTGGATTCGAGGACCGGAGCTCCGGAGATTCGAGTTGCGTGATGTTGCGCGAGGAAGTCTTTTTAAAGCCTTCAACTGTCACATACTCATGTTTGGGACAATGTTGCCCACATGCTTAGCGTGAATTAGTCTGCCGTAGGGTTCAACAGCAGGACAGCAGCATTTTTTTCTCCCCAGCCTAGCGTTGATGACCTGAAATACTGCCTTGACTGCAGCCGAATGCTATGTGCATTCCCGGTCTCCAACAATCTCCAACCTTCGAAGGTGAAGTAGCTACAGGAGAACCCCCTGGGGTCGTATATTTTAATCATCCGCTTCAGGACTGGACTTCGAAAACTCAAATCGTATGTCTACTTCAGCAATGTCTCAGATCGCTTTGCAAGTCGGCACCATCACTGTCTGAAAGCCCCCCCAAACCCTGCTAGTGTGAGAGTCGAAACCTCGCAATGGACGTCGCAGTGGTAAGTAGTGGGACGCTCGTCTTCTGCCTTCCTGCAACCCATATTCTAGCACGTTGTCCGCAACCTGATGTCCAGGCTTGAGCCCGCCGGAATTGGCTGGCGGCAGCGGTTTGCTGCCGATCTCAAAGCGACGGCATGTTTGGTAGGGTCGGGGGGTTCCAAGCGCAGATGCCGCCATCACATGGTGAAACAGCTGTTGGGGTCTTTGAACCCGTCCCAGGCAGAGGTCCAAATGAGGCCTTTGCCTTGTACAAAAATTCCAGTATGGAGGCAGGTTGGCAGTATCCCCTCTCAGCGTTGGATGGTGCGACAAGGCTGTTGTGTACGCTAGCATTGCTAGAACGGGCGTCTGTTTGAGTTGGGGACAGGCCAGATTGCGACCGTCTATTTTCTAGTCAAGTCACTTCCGTGGTAAGTGCAAAACTGGAAATGCAGTCACAAAAAGAGCTTTGGCGCTTTGTTAGCACGTACAGGATTTGTTCGCGCGAAGAGGATGCCCTTTCAGTCTTGCCGGTGTCTGCACGCCATCTTCAGGTCTTGGTTTCTCCGATGTAAGCTATTGCGTGGTTCAATGTTGGCATTGAGATGCCCGATCCAGCTACGTTCAAATTCTGGTAGCAACTCTTCAGCCACTGCGCTTGTTGGCCCGATCAGCTTCATGTGCCATGCACGGATCCGTTTGAACTCCCGTACGCTCATATGAGCTGACACATGCAGGGAGTGGTGGTAGCAGTTAGTACATGACAATACCGATTCTTGCAAGTTGTTTTGCAACATGTACTCTGCAAGATAACGCAGGCTTCGAGATGTCATAAAGCAGCAGACATTCCTTCTTGTAGCAGGCTGAGTCGGGTTTCTGTCCATCTTATCCACGCCAGAGAGAAGCCCCCATGGTTTTTTCGAGTCTGCGGAGGTTGTGTTCGCGTTGCAGAGGGCGTAGGCGCGATCGTCGCGACCCGCTGATCGAGACAGACTTGGAGAACCCGAGAGCCGGCTGTGCTTTTCGGATTGGCAAGGAAGATGGAACATGTTGACAGTGATGAAAGTGATGAAAGTGATGAAAGTGATGAAAGTGATGAAAGTGGTGCGGTAGTGGTGCAGCCCGTTGGTCTGATTTGGTCTGCAAACTTCTTTTGCACCGTGCAGCGCACCTGTACTTCAAGGCCGCTCCAGCTCCCACGCCTGTGGCTCTTGCGCCTCCGAGAGTTCCCCAACTCCGGCCAAACGTGCTCCCGTTTGAGGATCCGCGTGGCCCCGGCGCAGGGCTTGGTCGTTGTATGTCGCTGTCACCAGACCACAGCTTCTCACGTTTTGAGACGGGGGATTCCGAAGCTCTGTGTGCTTTGAGGTCGCGGTGATGTTGGCCTTCTTGCCTTCTACTTTCCAGATCGCGAGGAGGAGTGGGACAGGCCGGGCCAAAATCTGGAAGACGTTGGCTTCTGCTGGGATTGCGCAAAAAGCTGGTGCCTCCTTCGACGTCCGGCTAAGCCAGCGTGCTAAGCTGCTAGACTGCTAAACTGCCACCAACATGTCCGCAAAACAAGAAAAGGGAGCTCCTCCCGCCCTTGAAATACAGCACTGAAGCCTCTCCTGCATCTTTGTGCTCTTGGCGTCAGGCTCTGCACCGCCGGCTTCCTGGGCAACTTCTACCCTCTGGAGGATCCCTTGCGGCTGGAAGCCCCAAAGACAGGGCGCAGCCACACCTTCACCAACGCAGAGGCCGCCTTATCGGCCTCTTTGGTGCTTCTCAAGTTTCGATCGCACTTCTCTGAAATTCTCTGAAGAGCTTTGCGGCCTGGTCATTGGAGCCATGTTTTAGGCCCCATAAACGAAGAAAGAGAGAAAGAGAGAAAGTGAAACCAAGACCGAAAGACAGACAGACAGGAAAAAAAAAGGCAAATACATAAATAGAAGGAACTAACAAACTAGCAAAGCAAATAACTCAAGTGACTCAGGTGGTAGGCGGTGATGGCGATGGTAATCGTGCTAGCCCCACGCAGTCCCGACACTGCCGCCTCGTGGTGCCGACACTGGTCACACCTGCTGGGGGACGCCGGTGAAGTTCCTGATAACCCTGACAAGACAAGCGACAGCCGCATCCGGACGGGGTTCTTGCAGCAATGAGCGGCAGGGGGGGGGGGGGACCGGCCCTGACTCCTGAGATCTCCTGAGCCTGCTGAGAAGAAGGAGAGGGAGAGAAACTGAGTAGGGGCTTCGTAGCCCCCACGAAAGACAGAAAAAGAGAAGAACCGAAAGAGAAAGAGAAAAGGAAAGAGAAAGAAAGAGCAAAAACAAGAGAAAGAAGAGCAGTAAGCACAGACGGTGCCCTCTCAAAAGGCGTCTATAGGTGACCGATGTGACCGCAGCCAGCTCATCAGGCAGCCTTCCAGGCGCTGAAGTTCTGGGACCGGGCCGAGGAGTTCGAGAAGCTGACGGGCTCGCAAGCCTTCAGCAAGAAGAAGGGCCTGCAAGGCCACTGCAAGGCGACCACTAAATTCCGCCATAGGCCCCGAGGGCCGCTGTATAGTTATAGGAGCGATCTAGGACCGCTGTATGAGATCCCACCTTTTTTTGTGGGTTTCATGGAAGTGGCCGCGCCATCGGCCAGGCTTGGAGGACTTCACATACGGAGGCTTCGGCAGCAACTGGTCTGGCATGCTCCACGTCCTCCGGGCCAAGCTTCTTGCATGAAGCCTGGGGTGACTACGTACTCACAAGGTCTTGAAGTGCATTACATTGGCTCGGGTGAAAACACCGATGTGGGAGCACAAGAGAAGTCAGGGCTTTTCTCGATCCATTGAAAAAGACATGGTTTTGGGGCACCCCATGTTTCTTCCCAGACGATCAGATTGATCACATGCAGTTGGGGGCACCGCGTCACTCTTGGCCGGGAGTTGTTTTCCATGACATCTCAGCGCCTACGGGTGATTGATGTGGAGGATGGGGGCTCGATCTTCTTGGGCTGACACGATGTGATCCCTTTGCCAAGGTGTCATGTGGTCGATGAGGTGTCAGGCTTGTGGATTCTTTTTAATGTTGCATGTGGTGACAAACCAAACTCCTTGGATTGAGGGTTGGAATGGATTTTCTACGGCTCCGATTGTCTCAAGCTTCTTTTGTCCGTTTAGACAATTCACAGCATCCATGGCCTTTCAGATGGTGCTGCCGCTCCTTGTGCTTGCTTTCAGTGGCCTGAGCATGGCAACGCGCGTGGTGGATCTCGAGAAGACAAATACGACCAAGAAGGCACAGAAACTCAGCTGAAAACCAGACGGTACGTCTTTGCGAAAAAGCTTTGTTGGGCTTTACCGGTTTAGAAACGTGTTTTCATTTCAACATTGAGTTTCCCGTTTTCGGTCTACGGTTGGCTTGCTTTTCGCATCTTTAGCGCAGCCGTACGCAGCATTGCCAAGGTATCATGAGCCTTGCACCTGCAGTCACCAATATTATCATCAGCAGTCCTGCTGTGATTATGGCCTGGTCTGCAGCTTGTCCAAGCAGATGTGTTTGTAAACAAGCTATGCCTTACCATGCCTTGCCATGCCTGACTGCGTATTCGAACTCTCAGAGTCGCTGCTGGCTGAGGCAGCTTGTCCAAGCAGATCTGTAAGCCAGCGCTCGGCGCGGTTTGTACGCCTTCCTGGGTTCCAGGCTACACTGACTGCGCCAAGAGCACCTACACGGAACGCGAACATACGCCGGACATCCACTGTGGTCTTCGTCGGCGCTGCTGCATCGCGTCTGGACTCTCCGGACCTCCTGCTTTCCTCCCACGGCATCTTCATGGACGGCAGGATCTTTGTTGCAGTGAAAAAGCTGAGCCTGTTGACACGTCAATGTCTGTGCTGTCTTCGGAGTACCGCGAGAAGTGCCTGTAGAGACAGACGTATGGCTCCTTCACCGCGAGATGGTGAGAAAACAGGTTCGGGAATGTGTTGCAATCGCCTGTTGCAATTGCGGCCTTAAAGCTCCCAGAGCCCTCAAACGAAGCCAACCTGGATCGGGGTTACGTCTGCAAAATGACAGGGAACAGTTTTTCAACGATAAGATTTGGGTTCTGGGTTCTGGGTTTGGGGTCTGGGTCTGGGGCCTGTGTTCAAGGGGGGTCCATCAGGGCTCGTCTCGTCTTTTGTCCCCTTCAGGCCTTTTGGGGTCTTTCTGGGCCGTGGCAAGGGCGATTTCTCCCACTGGGTTTCTGCCTTGCCTGTGCAGGCGGCCTCTTATAGGGCTTTGGAGGCATTATGTATCTCGGACGTGAGGCTCCGACACAAGCCAAAGCACATCTTGCCATGCTGATGCCGGCACAGTCCCTCCAGTCAACGATAACAAGAGGTTTATACGCGGACTTGGCTCGCGAGCCCTGGTGTTTGCTGTAACTTCTCCTTCCAAGCCCAGGTTCAGACCTGGAACGGCGATGTCCCAACGGCTGCAACTCACTGGTGAGGCCACACTTGCAGCGTGTAATGCACCCAGGTTTTTGACGGTCAGCAGAAGTCTGCAGTAGAGTTTCTGCCCTGATCCCTGTGAGTTGGGCTTTGACACATTGCAGCAGGATTCGGGAGGTTCCAGTATGAGGTTCGAGGCGACTCATGCCCTGAACAGGCCTACCTGCTGGAGCACAACGCCAGGGCTGGGCGCGACAAGATCTGGCTCCAAACTCAGCATAGTGTAGTTGCTCTCTGAGACGTGCAAAAATCGGCTCAGGTCGGACAACAGCAGCGGCGATGGTTTGAACTGGCTGGGCTTGCAGCTGATGCTCGTGCGGGAAGAGCACAGAGCAGCCACGCCATGGACGGTGCCATGTCCAAATCCGTTCTGTGCTCTGCGGCCCGGTGCTTTGTCACTTTAACGCTACGGCTACGGCCAGGCTACGCCTGAGGAGGCTGAACTCAAGCCTTAGCACTGTAGCATCTCAAGCCCTGTCCGGTTTTTGTCCAAAGGACTGGATTCAGGAGCACGTGAACCTGGCCAACGGGCAAGTCGACCAGGCGCTCTGCTCAACCATTTCCCGAGCCTGAAGTTGGCCCGACCGGCTTGGAGCTGCCACTTGCATGCTGGATGTCAGAGATGGGAATTTTATGACTCTAAAGGTCAGCAGATACGGCTCTCATGAACGAACCGTAGGGCAGATGCTGTCATCTGCAGTTTTCACGACCGCAGATGACGGGGGTTCGAGTGGGTTCCCGAGGCATGGCAAGACTCCGTTGCGATGGCAGCACTGCGGCAGCATCGTCAGAATGTTTCTTTGCTTTCGGTTCGGGCATGCTTGTGCATGGTATCGTATAGTATAGGGTGTTGTAGGCTACGGTTTGCAACCAAAGGATCGTCTTGCGCGTGTCGCTTGGGTGTGCTTGAAGAAGTTTGGTGTATGTCAGCCGCGCTTGAACACTGGCTTTTCCAGTGAGGTTTCTGCCCTGGACCAAGCTCTAGCTTCAGCCCGGCAGGAGAATCAGGGCGCGTCCGCGCGCTCAAACTAGCATCAAAAAATGAAGAAGGTGCCTTGCACATATGCAAACGGCATGTCAAGCCTGTGTTGACGCATGAGAGTTTGGGTGAATTTCTTGTGTGACTTGTGGCTCCAGGAAGACATGTTGACATACAAGGCCCAGCTGCGCAAAAGCCCATGGCATACTGCACAGCAGCATCGGCAATAGGCGTCAGTTGGCAAACGAGTCAATTGCATCTCTTAGTATGCCTGGATGGAATAGTTGTGGCTTGGCGGCTGCGGCATCAGCACCACCAGCGTTGTGCACATAATGCCTGCAGGCCTGCCATCGCTTTTTATGCGGGATGTTGGCATTGTTTTGCGCGTGTTTCTCTGTCAAGTTTTTGGTGCACACCTTTTTGGAACTCATTGCGCGACTACGTCGGAGAATTGTTACTGAGAGTGTCCAAGGTAAGGTAACCATGCATGCCCAAAATGCGTGTTGCCACGAACGTGCTCAAACCGGATGACCTGACAAACCAATTGAAAGGCTTTTGCGAAGGCTCGGGGCAGGGATTGTGAAAGGAACATGCATGGAGTAATACTCCATACTGTATGGAAGCATGACGGCGGGAGGAACAAGGATTGGCGAAAGGATCCTGCGTCATGAGAGCCTGCAGGGATGGTGAGCTTTTGCCACATGCGCTCACAAACCGTGGCCTTGCAAGAGGGGAAACGCTGGCCATCTTGTACTCACAGCAAATATGAACAGTAGTAGAAATTAGAAATTAGAAATAACTGCAGCAGTAATATCAGTTGTACTTCAGAAGAATTGTCAGCCAAATAATCATAGTAGTAATAAACATTCCGTGCCGTGCAAGATGCAGGCTATGAGGGGTTGGCCGTCGGTCTCCAGGATCAGGCTTGGGAGTCCTGACACCAGATGCAGTTTAGGGTTTAGGGCGGTTTAGGGTTTAGGGTTTAGGGATGTTTAGGGTTTAGGGTTGAAGGTTTTGGGCTTAGGCTGCTGGTTAAGGGTTTAGGGTGGGTGCAGCAGAAAGGACGTGCTAGCTTCTAGTAAGAATGTTGGGGCCAAGTTAGGTGAACTTGCAGCTGGAACTGTATTCCTATAGTCGAACTAGGACGGGGTGCTGGGAGACGGCACGAAGCCCCTAAGCTTTGCATTCAGTTGCGGTAGGCCGTGGTGTGGATTACCGTGCAGATTGGCCTGGAGAATGCAGTTGAGATGTTCCCCATCTCAGTGCATGATGCGATGATGGTGCGCGAAGTGCTGAAGGTTGCGGAGGAGAAGCTCGAATGTGCTATTGAGGATCTTCGTCTCGACTCGAAGTACTTAGGCAAAGGTCAGACTGTCCAGGAGGCAGGATTGAAAGATGGTGCGAAGATTACTGCGGTTGTGCCTTGCTTGCAGCCCGTGGCAGCAGGCATCATTCAATCGTGGAAAGAGTTCGAGTCCTGCAGCTGCGCACCACCTGACATTCAACAAAATTGTGAGAAGATCCGGAGTGGACAGCTTGTCATTTCCAGTTCTGCACTTAGCACCGGCTTCTAGGCAAAAAAGCGGGAAGAGATCCGAGATCTTTTGCTGAAGAACTTGCAGGCTCTCGCACTTGGACTGAAGAGCTGTCATTTAGGTTCTTGTTGGAAGACAGATGGCGCTTCTGTTGGATGTAGTGCTATGCATGTAGCAGGCGGGCTTGTGTTTTGTTGGGGTTAGGGCTCATGGGTTGGTAGCCGCATGGTCCTCGTTCAGAGAAGTTGCATTGCTCGGGCCGAAACTGTGTCTATGCAATCTTGATTGCCAGGAAACGAAGACGCGAGGAGGCATTCAAGTCTTCGAGGAGCACGAAGTGGAAGTGCGCAGGCTTGTGGCTCTTAAACGCATTAAGGTGCAAGAAGCACTCGTGGTGCCCTATACTATCCTTTGGGGCGCTTCCGGCACTCTGGGGGGTTTGCCGGTTTGCCCAAAGTCCCAGGCTCGTGTTCATGCCGGCGGGGAATTTCTGCAGCAAAGAGACCATAACCGTCTTGCTCAATGGCAAGAAGGAGAATGACAACACCCTGCGCTGCGGAGAGTGCGGTGAGTGCAAGGCGAACGGCAAGACTCGGAAGGCTCTGTGGGGCCCTGCCCGGCCCATGAATTTGCGCATCCTTGGCGACTTGTCAGACGAGTGCAAGATGTGTCTTGGGTCGCATTGCAAGGTCCGTAGGTCTGTCTGCCTGTCTGTCCAGAGACTCCAGCTGTCAGCCGTTCGCTCACGTATCTCCCAAAGGCCAGAGGCTTGCGTGTCTGTAACTGTACACTGTACACCTGTGTATCTATCGACCACACTAGCTTTTTCCTGATCCGCTACCAATCAAGTCAATCAACCGATGGTGCCGGTACTGGGCCATGATTTGAAGCTGTTTTGTCTCACAAGTTGGTCGTTCTATGCCTCGATACATCCATCCAGTTTCCGAGCCTGTGTCGCCTGCTCACGTTGGTGCCGCCTTGATTGCAACCCTCCTCGGGGCACGCCTCAACGCTTCAACTGACAGGGATTTGTAGCTGGGAGCCATCAGAGAGACACAAAATCTATAAATGTGAGATTTTGCCGCTGGTAGCAATGGTAGCAGCTACTCAACCCACCCATCGCTTCCGATGTGGATCCGTGCCTATCTATCTCGTCTGTTCAGCTCTCGCTCACCGTCTTTCGTTTCTATCTTTTTGTTTTCCTTTCCTCTAACTCTCTCACTCTTTTTGCTCTGTAGGTAGCTATCTTTATATGTTTATGTATATATATATATGTATAAATATCTTTCTTTCTCTTTTTCTCTCTCTGTCTATATCCCTCTCGCTCGCTCGCTCTCTGTCCCTGCCGCCCTGCCCGTTGGTGCAGTTTGCTGAAGGGATGCTGCCCAAGGGGCAAAACTGTGCTATGGCTAGGAAGCTCGTGATCTTCAAGTGATTTTGGATGACAATCCTCAGACCGTACCGTGTTCAGCTGGATCTGCATAAATGCAGGCTCAACGCTGAACGAGATATGCCTTTACAAAACATTGCCCCAGCAAAGCTCCGCAAATTCAATCTGCCGATTCAACTGTCACGATGGCAAAGCTGCTCATCTTTCCCGACGTGTTTACTGCGCAATGCTCGGCATGGATGCTTAAAATTTCCACCTTCGACGGCACCGCGTTGGCGGTAGGCCTGTAGACCTTGTGTGGAGCTCAGGTATACCTTCAAACGCGACGATGAAAACATCGCGGTTGTCAAAGCTTGGGCTGTGCTGCTCGACGAGGATTTCGATGCAACGTTCAATCTGCAGGACCCTGGCACTTCTCTTTTGTGTGAGCTGGTCAGGCGGGATGTGGGAATCTTGGAGCCAGGACGAAGACAAGTTCGACACATACGCACGCAGCGCGCTGCAAGACTGGAAGCTGCTGAGCTTGCAAGAATTAGGAAAGTGCTTCACTTCTCTTCCCCTGCCGCTTGCTGCCAAGAATCAGATGTTGGACATTTCCGTCTTTGCATGGACAAAGGGGGGGATGTGTCCGCCTCAGCGACAGAGAGAGTGTTCTCCAGGCAGGTCTTCAGCCGGGTCCTGCCGGCAGACGTGCTCAGCAGCGGCCAGTGGAAGCTTGCCGTACAGAAAGATGCTTGGCGGCAAAGCACAAGGTGCAGATTTTTCTTTCTGTAATGCTTGAGTCCGAATCGGACGAGCATCTAGCAAACAAATTCCACCCAATTAAAGTTCGTTCACAAGGTGCAAATACAGAACTCACAGTACAGCCCAAAACTATGCTTTACGATGGGCAGAATTTGCCGCACTTAGGAAGCTAGCGGAAGCCGAAGGGTTTCTAAGGCCTCCTTAAGTCCTTAAGTCTTTCCGGCTTCGGCGCCAGTGCGAGACAGTGACATGTTTTCAATTGCAGGACCATCATGGAGGCGGTAATGATGGTAGTTGTAATTTGATTTCAAGGCAGGAAAGAAGATTTGAAGCATGCCTAAGCACCATCCATTTTTCCATTCCGATGGCGTGCTGAACACCTGTTCCGGTAGCTCCATCTGCTGGATCCATGTCAGCCACCCTTCTGGTACAGTTGCCGGTAGCCCTGTTCCTCAATCGGAGCATCAGTTCATGAACTTCTACCTCCGAGGTATCTGTCTTTCTATCGCAGAGTTGCTGTAGTTCCTAATGCAGCTGACTCCCTTTTTTTGACAATGCAGTGCTCGATTGCGGCGCACCTTAAGTGGCTATTGTTTGATTGAGGGCACGCAGGGCCGAACTTGGACACTGTAGCATCGGGTTTCGGATTGAGGGCGAATCCGGCTGCTGTGCGGCACAGAGCTGGGCTGAGCCCCACTTTTGTAATGGGCAAAGGGTGCAGAGATGCTAGTAACTAGTAGGCACCGAAATCAACAGGCAGTACAGTAATGCGGTCGGACGAGCATCGAAGACTTACCTTTGACGTGCGTTGCTGGCAATGCCATTTGCCCCCGTGCATTCCACTGTCAATGCCTCCACTGTCAATGCTTCCAATCTCGGTTCTGTACAGGTACCCTACAGCAACAACTTCCTGGCCGTTTCAGGCTCTCAGAAATCGCTCCTGGAAGCCAGCAAGAAGTGTTACTTGTTACGGCAGTGTTTTGGCAGCACTTCCTGGTTCCAAATGGAAGGAGACCGGGTAGACTCGGGTAGACTGTCTCGATTGTTCGCAATCACACCGTGCAGCAACGTGGCTTGCATGCAACTTGCCGCGCACATAGAACAGTTTCCAGTTGCTGCCGAGGTACTTTGGTATCCCGGGCCTGGACCACGAAGGCACGTGGACTCGGGATCGGACAGGTTTCCAACTGCTTGAATGGTGGAAGTCGAACAGGTTGTGCGTGTGTGCATGTCCTCTGGAGGTATCGTGAACTCCAAGTTCAAGCCCTTTCAGCTTCCTGGCATCAAGAAGGGGGTTGGGGATTTACAAGGAGTGGGTCGCTGGAGTGGGGGAGTCCGAGGGGCATTGAAGACGACCGCCACTACATGCTGTACATGCGGAAGGGCAAGAACAAGGAGTTCAAAGCGAATTTGGAGGACAGGGAGGAGTTTGCACTCGACAACAAGTCACTTGACAGCACTTCGTGGAAATGTCGGCCGATGCTGTTGCGAATCTTGCTTCTATAGAGATCCTGGCCTCGCGACGGCAAAGGAGTGCCCCAGACGACACTATCCAGAGATCTACTGCTTCGGGCGAGATTGTCAAGCTTTGGGCCCTCGATGTTCTAGGACGTGGCAGCACCCTGGCGCAGTTGCGGGGCGGTGTGATTTTTTTTGCATGAGAGGAGGCAGTGCAGGCCCAAACGCTAGAGTCACCAGACTCTGCAAGGAACCTTTGCCATTGAACGCAGTGCCAAGAGAATCCAGTGCTCCCGCAATTTATGTCATACTTGTATGATACAATGTTCATTACACGGCATCGTACATGTTTAAGTGAGAGAGACACCGACAAAAAGCAACCTGGCCCAGACTTCGCCACGGTGATCAGCGTGTCTTTGCTGGTGGATGGGTGGCAGGGCAAGAAGCGCGGGGAGAAGCTGGCTCTGAAGCTGCTTCACAACTCACGCGTTGGTGAGGCGGCCAGGAGGTTCGAAGCTGAGACGGCGGCATCCTTCGCGAACGACTACATCATCAAGACCTTTGACTGGTTCCAGATGTCCGGCGAGCAGATAAAGGCTAAAGATGAGAACGCCTGGAAGACAATAAGTGGAATTGACTGCGGCATCCTCATGGAGCTTGCTGATACAACCCTCGAGCGTTTTGTCTACGATCAAAGTTCTGACACAGGGAGACAGATGACAATTGGGTGGCTGCAGACATGTCAAAGGCGCATGCAGGAAATGGCAAAAGCTGTGAAGTACTTGCATCAGGACATGAAGGTTGCACACCGAGATTTGAAGCCGGACAATGTGCTACTCAAGAAGATGGAGAACGGTGATTTCCGCGTTCTGATCTCGGACTTCTCCTTAGTGAAGGGCACGCAGGATTTTGCATTCAACTCTGTGAAGGGTGCAAACCCGTACCATGCTCCGGAGAGAAGCCAGACTGGGACTGGGTGGGAGAATGAAGAGAACATCCAGAAAGGTGATGTGTACTCCCTGGGTCTCATCTTCACTGCCATGGCCCACCGCAAGCGCCGCACCAATCCGGATGCCATAGATCCAGATTTCAAGACAGCCAAGGGCAATGCATATACTTGGCCCCACGAGCTGCAGAATCTTATCCTGTACATGGCAAAAGAAAGTCTACAAGAGAGAAAGGACATTCTGTGGGTGACGTCGGGGGCCTTCTTCGGCGAGTTAGGCCGACTCAGGCTGGAAGCGAGCACGTGTCGATACGAGGGTATGCAGTCTGCTGAAATCCCTGAGACCTTGTGGCCCCGTGAGTTCCATGTCATTTTTCCCAAGCATCTCAGAGTCTCTTCTTGTTGCACATGCAGCCGTGCTTCCCGTGGCGCAGCCGTCTCTCAATGCCCTGAAGGTACACCGTGAAGCCAGTGCTGGAAGGCCAGCCGCTAACGGCGAAGTTTCCACAGGCCATGCCATTGACCTGGAGAGGCTTTAAATTTCCTGGGGTGTGTGTGGGGTTGTTAGATTTTAAATTCAACTCTTCTCCCCGCCCGGAACTCTTCTCCTCGCCCGGTCTACTCCTTGCTCATCCCTGGAGTGCCCAACCCCAGAGTGTCCCCGGACTGCCCAGCCCCAGAGTGTCCCTGGAGTGCCCAACCCCAGAGGATCTCTACCAAGAGAGGGTGGGGATGTTCGAAGTAAATAATTTCTGGACTTGTTTTCGCAAAACGGGGCGCCGAAGCTGAGGGATGGCTTTCACAATCTGTTGGAGGTCCATGTCACTTTAAGCCTGAACCCTAGCCTGGGAACATGATGCTTCAGGGCATTAGCTTCCAGAATCGTGCCCAGACCAGCAACAGGAGATAGTGCAGCCTTGTCGGTCTTGAAGCTCTTGCCGCGCCGGCCCTGGCAATATTCCCCCTTGCAGCTTCGCAGGTTTTGCCTGTGTCGGGATCCTAGGATGTCGACACCAAAAACGTACGGAGTGGCATCAAAAGCAAAGTACGTGAGGCCCCACGCAAAGGTGCGTTGCAAGCTTGGCAGCCCATCCGAGTTCTTAGCCCCAATTCTTGGGGGGCTTCGTGGCGTCAACCAAACGCTTTCACCTGGAGGGCCTCTAGTTGCCTTAAAATTATGTTTTCCTTCGCCCCCCCCCCCCATTTTTCAGGGCCTCCATGCCCGTCATCCCGCCATACTGTTGCGTTTGTCTGGCAATGCGGCTGCTTTGACCCGATCTTTGGCTGGGCTTGACTTCCATTCGCAGGAAGAATGCAGGGGCTTTGACTGGCCATAAACTGTGCCCCAGAAAAGCAAGACAGCCCTAGTGCGTGTTTGGTATGGACTGCCTAATCTTTAGCAGCACGGACGAACACTTTTCAGTTAGGGGGGGGAGGCCCCTTGCAAGAAGTGCTTAGTTGGGGTTCAAGAAACAACTGGATGCCAAACAATGTGCCTGGCATGCTATTCAGAAGGCCCGGCAAGAAACCGAGGCCACTTTACACGGGTTCACTAGCCCGAGGCAATGTGAACCTCCGCCGAAACTCCCAACAGGAGCTGCTCTGCAAATTGGTCAATGCTTGATTTGCCGTGTTTGTGTCTGCGACCTGCGATAGATTCCGCTAGATATCAGACACATGCGAGCACTTGTGCAGTGTTTGGCTTGTCTCGTTGGCCGTGTGCAGCCATGCTGCCCTGTTGCAGGTTATCGAAAGCTGGGAGGACAACGCTGAAATGGCAACACTTGTCGATGACAAGTTGAAAGATCTTGGAATGCCAAGGGGAACAAAGCTACATATTGTGGGCCGGCCTGACACAAAGAACAAGTGCATCCACGTCCGGCAAAGGTGAAGTCTCACGAAGGGCACACAGCCTGTGCAGGGCTTTGCTTGATTTCACCTCCACTAAAGACCAACATCTTGAACCCTGAGCCGTAAATCCCAACAACGTCCGAGAGTGGTCAGCTAGGCGGGTGGCAAAGAGCAACCTCCAACAACCTGATCGTTACTGATCCCTAATCGTTAACGAAACGGCCCTAGCCGAGCCCTACGTCTCGACATCATAGAGTCGTTTGGAGGCCCCCAAAACATCCCAAAACACTGTGCTCAGGATGCGAAATCTAGATCTCGCGGCCCTGCCCCCCGCATGGGTGTACTCTTCAGCGCATGGCTTTTGTTTGCCATGTGCCTGGTGTAGCATGGCTTGTGGAACCAACACGTGGAAGGCCTCGTTTTGACGTGACTTGAAAGCAATCTCCCAGACTGCACCTGGTCCGTCTTGGTTCATGGCCGAGGTTTTTGGTTCGTAGGTTCAGCGAGCGCAATGCGCGCGTTGACAGCATTGATGCGAGCAGAGTCATTTCTACCTGGCAGTTAAGCTGTCAAGACCTTGCTGAAGCTGTATGGCGATGCGCATGCCCATGGAGAAATGTTGATTTGTGCCAGTGTGCATCCAGCAGTAGCAAACCAATCATGTGCTGCGACAGCTCTGTGCAGGGCTTGCAGGAGACCGCACCAGGTAGGTGCTGAGCCTCGGAATCTCCATCTCCGACGGCAAGTTCTAACTTGAAATGACCATTTGCACGGCCCAAGCAGACATTGCGCTCAACAACTGTCGTTCCAGAAGCCGTGTCAGGCCTGTCGCCGAGCCCGCTGTGGCAGAGTTGTGCGAAGAAGCAGCCGCCCTGAAGGCAACTCCTGAAACAGAGTCGTAGGCGGGTTGTCAATTTAGAGGGTTTCGCCCTGAAAAATGTAGTTGCCAAGAATCCCAGTGCGGACCCGACAGCTGCGTGCAATGGGCAGCTGTTGCAGCAATGATGTTGACGAGGCGTCTCGGGCAAATTCCGCAGCTGTGACAAGAACTCCAAAGCATTGCAATGCATCGCACAGATTGGCACGAGTCACAGCAATGCGCTGCGTTGGGGTGTACCCAGCGTAACATAGAGTATAGAGGCGGCAGGGGTCGGAGGGGCCGGGCCGCGTCTGCCTCCGTGGCCGCCACATTAGCTTTCTGTTTGGATTCTCCGAGCAACGGTCTCGCGTGAACCTGATCGTTGTCGCTTAGCGGTCTAGCTTCCTCTCTAAACGGGTTGTGCCGCTGCTAATCATGGCTGTGAACCACTAATTTTTGAGAATTTAGAGCAATGCCTACTTGCTGTTTGAGTTTTTCTCGTCATGACGAAGCAGTGGCCCTCCACGGGTGTGTCACTTACCATCGCTGTGCAGGCTGGGACAGAGTTCATCCAGGAGGCCATGAAGCTAAACCTGCCTGGAATTGTCAGACCTGCGAGGTTAGTTCTAGGGATGCTATCGGCCACCACTGCAGCATGTTTTTGTACCAAGGGGTTTCGTACCAAATAAAGGACATCCAGTACTTGAGAGTTCTGTTAGAGTCCGTGTTATATGTTCCATGGATCTGAAATCCACATGCAGGACTTAGTTCGCAATTTTTGAAGCCTTCGTGTCGCAAGTGCAGTCTGCAGGTCGACTTGAACCATCTCATGGGCCGGTGTAGTTTCCCTTTCTGCAGATGTTGTTGGGCTGTTTTCCGATTTCTAGTGTGTTAAGATGGGGCTTTGAGCGACGGTCTCGATGGGTTTTGGTGGATGCTTTCATGGCTTGTCCCGAAAGCCTGCCAGACATCTTGTTTTTTTGCCGCTTCTTTCTCTTTTCCGGATGTTTCGCTCTAGCTTCTGGAAATCTTCGAGACGCTCGATGGCGACCAATGACGCATAGCCTAGCACTGATGATACCTCCCAGGAGCTTCCAAAGTGGCAAACAGAAAGGAGCGCAGAGATGAACACAGTTATTCTATGTTATTCTGGTAAACCAGAGTTCTCATCGCAGACTACTGAATGAAGGACTAGTAACAGAATTACAGGCAAGCCTCTACATCTGAGAAGGATTCCTGAGCAGGAGAGTTCAGCGGGACATGAAGGCGTGCAACATGCCTTCCTACTTTGTTGAATGGTTTTTGCATTCGCAGCTGTACTCTGGAAAACGAACTGCACGCAGTGCCTCAAGTGTTCTTGGCCAGCTCATCATGCACTGACAGGATGATGTACAAAACCAAGACTTCGAGAAACCCGCCTTGGGGCTCAACGAAGCCTTCCCTGAGAGACTTGGCCGGCAAAGAGGGGGACGGAAGAAGTACCGGAGATTTCTGGCGCTGTCCATTGCCGCGTGCGATTCCTCAATGCGAGCCGAATCGTGAGGTTACTCTCACAAGCATCGACGTTTCTTTCCGTACCTCGGCCCCAGTTCCGCAAGCTTGTCGATCCACATGATCATGGTGGTTGCGCCTTGACAGGTTCAAGAATCTGCCCAACTTCGAGCTGCCAGCCGCCAACCTCAGGACAAGGCGCAGTTTGTGGTTATGTGCTTGCAGGATGCATCGCTGCCTGATGTTGCCTGTATCTTTCGCAGCAACGCATCCATTTGTCCTGTACGGCCGTTTTCGAAGGCCTTGCAACAGCTCTTGGGCCTACCTGAGAACAGGCAGACTCTTGACACGCGGGGGGGGGGGGGGTTGTGATGCATCGAATCTCCCCGATTGTAAGATCCGAGTTGTCATATTGATAGAGTGTGTGACGTCTTGCAGTACATTGTGGCATTGTGCCGGCGAATGGTCCCTGCGTGTTACTTGCACGATTCCTCATGTGCTGTCTGGGGCGCAGGCGCAGAATGATCATGAACGTGAAGGCGGTCCGCTCGGCAGTGCAATGGGCTGAGCTTGCCGAAGAACATTCGCACAAATGCTGGATCTACTTCACCAGGAGAGGCACGGGTTGCGACTGTTCTGACCTTCTTTGCGGCTTATGCTGCCCAGAGAGCCAACCAAAAGTCCGGCGGCCAGAAGACATTCTCTTCCGACCAGATGGCTTCGGAGGCTATTGGGGTGATGCTCCAACGTCTTTCAAGACACACTCCCGTTGAAGACCTTACGGGCTGAGGAGAAATAAGGGGACACGCTTTGAGCCGGAAGACGGCAGGATAACACGCCTGAAGCTGGGCTGCTGGCTCTGCCAAGCTCTTGCCGACTTTGCAAGCGGGCCGTCAGTGCACTGCGCAGGGGCGCGCCGCAAAGTCCACGAGGAAGTCTCCCTGTTCGTGAACAGTGAATGGCTGGCGGCTTGTGCATAGCAGGAGCATTGAGTGGCGAACGTTGCAAGTTGCCAAGACGAAGAAGCGTGTGCCGGCGGGTTGAAAGGGCATGAGGCGAGGGCTCCCATGACGGTGCAGGCGACATGTGCGTAGCAGACTGCTGCAGATTGAACTTAATCGCTTCCCTCTAATCCTAAACACGGGCCCTACCCCCCCCCCCCCCTAATACTAAACCCTCCCTTTTGTGCTTTGTTACAATATTACGGGGGGTTTTCTGAGGTGTATTTTGAGGCATTTTGGGGTTTATACTCCTCAGTGCCGTGCCCCTGACATGGCCCCCGAAAGCGTTTTTGCATCGCGGAGACCCACATGCATGTTCCAGGACCCAAAAACAGAATGTTGAATCCCGAAGCCCATAAAGCCCCAAACCTTACAGCCTCGAAGCCCTAACTGCAAATTCGTCAAAGCAACAAAGCGACGAGACCCAAAATGCATGTCACTTTCAAAAACAAAACCAATAAAGCAACAATTCTCAAAGCGATTAAGCACAATCAAATATTGAGAGAAGCAGCTAAAATAGCCAACCACAAGTAAAAAGCAATTAATTAAAAGTACTTCACCCAAAACAATTGCAAACAGAAGCAAATTAAAGATAGTCCAAGACAGTTGCAAGCAACACCTTAAATCGAAAGCCCGTCTAAGCCCTCAACCAAAGCAGCCGGCGACGAGACCCAGAATGCATCTTCCAGGCCTCCAAGAATTGCTTTTCCACATTAAATTCCCGGAAAAAGCCTTCAGCGAGACCCCAAATTCCGTTTCCAGCTCTCCAAAATTTCATTTTCCACCCGAAACCCCGAAACCCTCAAATGCATTTTCCACCACCCGTAACCCTAAAGCCTTAAGCCTCCAAGCTCTAAACCGTAAAACCGTCGCAGCCAGCATATCCACCTAGAACTTGGGCGAGACCCAAATGGCTCTTTCCAGGTCACAACATGCATTTTCCACCGTAAACTACTACTTGAGTTAAACTTTTTGCATTGTGCCATGGCGGCTGGTGCTTTGTCCAAGGAGCTGCAGCACAGGCAGCAACTGGTTGAGGCGCTTCTCAGAGATAGCGTCGTGTTCGCATTTTTAAAATGAGTGTTCACAGCTGGCGGTTTGACGGAGCCTCCCAAGCAAACAAAGGCTGCCGCACACCAGAGTCATGCTTCCGTACTGAACCTGCACGCGTACTATTGCAACAGCAGGTATTGAGGGCATGCCCCCTGAACGTTAGCTAAGGACCCAGGACTGATGAATCGGGGCCTGCCAGGGACTGTGATGACGAGGTACCGCCTCCCCTGAACGACAGCAATGCGCTGCCGGCAAGCACCCACTTTGCAGGCCCAGGGCTGCCATGTTAGGCCATGGCAGGGCGCTGTTGATAGAGTCTGACAGAGTTCGTTTGCGCGTGCACAAGAAGAATTCCCGCCCCGCCCTGCAGAAAAGCTCGCCGAGCTCGAGCAGCTGGAGAGTCCGGAGCGATGCCAATGCCAAAGGCATGAAAAAGTTGAAAGGATCCGAGATGCGAGCCTGGAGATCTCCTGCTTTCTTGGGGCAGATGGACAGACTGGACAGTTGGACGCGGTGGCTTTTGGTCTGCTGAGGGCACATCACGTGGAGCCATTTGCTGAAGAGAAAGTTTGTGAGGTGCTGATGGATGGCAGTTGGCTCCTTGCCTTTGGTCTGTAGAGTCACTGTAGAGTCGGCTGTTGGGAACCGAGTCCGACAGGGCAGCGGTTAGATCTCGAGAGCACAGCCCTTTGGTGTCGTCCTGCGCCAGTTTGACTCAGGCTGGACCAGACCTTGCTTGCAGGAGAAGATCTAGGACGGTTGAGTGGTGTGCATTGTCGGGTTGGGTTGTGGGTCGGATGAATACAAGAACGTCACGCATGCTTCACCAAGTCCGTGGTCTCACGTAGTGAGCACTGTAGGGACTGTAGGGCCTCTTGGCTGCACCACTCGGCTTTCTTGTCTTATGGTTTGTTTCCCAGGTCTGCTCCTCTTTTGCTGAAGGCATCCCAAACTCTCACCGAAAACTCCAACTCCCTTTAATCCCGGGCACCGTGGCACCCTGCCACAAGACATTCGCCCCACCAAGTCCGTGACACGGCTACACCCTCAAAGAAATCCAAACCTAACTGCAACCCACGAGTAGCTCACACCCTACTCCAACCCAACCCAAAGCCAATGCTCCTCCCCTCCCCCCCCCCCGGCCGAAAAAAGCCAAGCAGTAGTACCTCTCAGGTCAGCGGGAAACTCTGAGATGTCCAGACAGTGCCTCAGTGCCTCCATGAAACGTCCCTTAGTTTTCCGAGGGTTTGTGGGCATGTGCAGGACACGGGCAGTCAAACGATGACGGCTTCTACGACGAGGAGGAGCAGGACGACCAGACCGAAGAACCAGGCTCTCGGGGATTCAAAAGCTGTCAAACTGGGAGCTGTCGATGTTAGGAGGCAGCCATCTCGGACCGGTAGCTCCAGCTGCTGATTTCCGGGCAAGTTCAGCAATGTTCAGCACCTCTTAGGTCAAAGCTTATGTACATGCTCATAAATGCACTGACCCTTTCCCAGGAGATGGCGACCAGTTCAGGGCTTCGCCCCTCCCACAAGGACGTCTGCCCACATTCGCGGAGTTTACAGGTGCAGGATGTAATGATGCAGAACGAAGGAGAAAACACTAGCGCACTTTGGCACCACCCTCAATGTCCAATATGAACTGCTCGCCCATTCCGTCGCTCTTCCATTGCCCGCTGCTTCGCTGGGCCACTGCAGCTTGGCGCAAGGAGCCACTGGACAGAGCTGCACCCCAATGACGCCACAAGCCGGAGGCTGGTGAGATCTTCCATGAACTTCTTGCGTCTTGATGTTCAAGTCAACATCAAGTGACGCGTCTTCAGGATGGCCTTTGGCTTCTGTCTGTGACGATCGACCGGCATCACCGGCATTGGGACTGGTCATATGGTGCTTTGAACTCGGGCCGTTTGGGTTTCCGTTCACAAAAAGGACGTCATGCAATAACCCTAACGGTACTTTCAGGCACTCGGCACGATAAAGTGCTGAGGCTTTGGCTGTTGGGGTCTTTGGTTGGGCAAGTCGTCGGACCAGCTTCCAGGGCGAGGGGGCATAGGATTGCTGCAGGACACGAATGGCCAAGAGAGGACGACGATGGTTTCTACGACGAGGACGAGGAAACAGAGGAAGAAGGCGCCCCGGATTTGTGCACTTAGGGGACAACTGGGGGTAGAGGTTCCATGTTGGGGTATATTAGGGTTGGAGCAGCTACGCTCATGACCTGTTCCCAGTTCACAATGGTTCACTATCATTGTGCAGTTGAGGGTCTTGCAGTGCTTCAAGAAGTTGTGCCTGATTCCTTGCTTGCTGGCGCCTGGTCGATAGCTGTCAGCAGAGCTGCCTGATGGGAAAGCTGTCGCTACGAGCCCAGATGCAAAAACTGGGTTGGAGCTGCAGGGTCTGCGTAATTGTGAAAAGGTCTGAAAATTCCCGTGCCATGCCCGGAGGTGTTCCCTGTGAACTGGCGAACGTCCCGAACGGCCCAGGGTGCGCTGCCGACGATGGCAAAGAGCCGCTTCGCCTGAGCTCCAGTCAGCCACCGAGCATCGACGGCGCTGCATCAGAAGCGGAATCCAGCAGCCCAACTGAAGGAACGTCACAGCTCAGGCCGCATGCCTCTTGGCTGCGTGTTGGGAACTTTTAAGATTCTTTTTTGGAAGCTGCAAGTGATTGTTAAAATGGTTGGAAACATGGTCATGTTGGAGACAGCACTTGAGGCTCCGAAGCTGCCCAAGGAGCGCTACACACGCAGAGTTCCGAACGCGCCCCTCAGTTGACAGCTGGTTCTGGTTTGCCAGGATCCTTCGCATGTGGGTGGAGGGAGGGAGGGATGGGGGGGAGGGGGGAAAGTGTTGTCTTTGCTGAGGCCTGGTCAGGACCTCACTATGTGTGACGGCTGCAGGAAGTGAGCCAATATGAGCCGATTGCAATCATCGCCTGGGCCTGGCGCATGTGTCCCCTCAGTATTGCTTGGTCATAGTAGACAGACAAGAAAGACAAGAACTTGTACCGCACATGGCCAGGCGCAGCAAGCTCTGCAGCTGCCTTTCCTTAGTGGCTTGCAAGCTTAATTCTAAAACTCTTACTCTGACACAGCCGGCGGTTCTGCCGAAGTCATTTTTCAGCTACCCGCAGACAGAAACGGCGGGCGGTCTGGTGTACAGACGTGTACTCGTAGCAGCAGACAGGACATGACGGGACTTTTGCAGGCGACCGCTCCTACAAACTATAGAACGGGTACCAAGGGTGTGTGTGCTGCCCACTGGCATAGTGATAGTTGCCAATGCTCACTTTAATTGTCGTTTTGCTGTCACTCAGCTTTAGATCGGCAGCACCAGAATATGGCACAAGCCTGTCACTGGACATTCGCAAGCATCTCAGCAACACTGTCGCAGCCAGGCACTAGAATGACACGTGGCTGAAGCAGAAGCACGAGCAATCATCGCATGAACGCGCCCATGGACTTCACTTCGAGTCTCGCAAGCCGAGAGCTCGGCGACGGCATACGTATGGGTATTTCCCAAAATAGGGGTACCCCTTTTAGACCCCTAAATCGAATAGAATCCCCTTCCACTATTTCGGAAACCTCCATCATTATATACATCGTTGAGCAGTTCTGGCTCGGGAACGATGTGGCTTTAGCTGACGTGAGACACTGTGGAAGTCAATTGGCTTTCTTTGGCTCAATTTGGCTCAGGCGACGCACGCTCTCTTTCTTGTTGTTTCAGCCATGGCCATGACCCTGCTGACGCTGAGCAATGGTGATCAGGACAACACCTTGTGCAAGGAAAAATCCAAGGCGAGCGCCGGTGCTGAGCTTCTCCCCTCGAACTCGGGGTTGCTTCTTTTAGAAGCTGATATGTCATGACATGTCGCTTTGCTTCACCGCAGCCTGGCAGGTTTGTGTTCACCTGGAGTTGGTGAATGGGCAGGAGAAAGAAGAAGCAAAGATCTGGGTGAGCCCACAAGCATGTATCGGTGAAGTGAAGCAGCAAGCAGAAGACGAGCTTCAAGTTGTAATCAGCAAGCTCCAGCTCCCCAGTGGGTGTTTCATCGATGGGCACAGAAGTGTCGAAGAGGAAAGGCTAGATGAGAATGTGAAGATTCGAGCGCTTGCAGCTCGATTGGTGTTTGTACATGATTCAGCTGCTGCATCCGAGAACGGTAATTTATTGTCAACATGCTGTCGGACTGTTTGCATGCTTGAGGTTGCAACACGAGAAGACCTAGATTTCAAGATGCGTTTGCAGCAGGCACGGTGTTATAGCCCCACAAGACTGCGGGCTCATTTTCATCTTTCTTCAAACCTGGAGACTCATCGTGGAAGCTCCAAAGGCTTGGTATGCGACACGTGAGGCGCTGGAGAAGGAAGAAGGCGTCGAGGTCGAGCGCGAGCACCAAAAACGAGTGAAGAGGTGGGGTCTTGCATTTCATCCTTGAATGCAGACAGTTGAGCAACACCTTCGCACTCATGCTCCAAGACCAAAGGGGCCCCAGGATCTCAGAGTCTGCAGGATTGTCTTCTTGCCTGGTTCCGAACACTTTGATCCAGTGGCCATTCACACGGTCATGGTCAGCGGGAAGGAGGAGAAGCAGTGCAACTTTCGGAAGGGCAAGGCGCTGTGGAGTCCAACTCGCCCCATGGACCTGGAGCGCGGCATCGATGCCGACTATCCCCAGTACCTCGTATAATGCTAAGCAAAAACAGATACAAATAAGTATCTAACCAAAAGCATGAACACATACAGAGATATACATTTTTTTATAGAGGTTTATGTATGTATGTATGTATGTATATATATATATACCTATACACACACACACACACACATATATATATATATACTAATTTTTTTGAGCTCGCCCCCCCCCCCCCCTCCCCAACAGACCAACCCCAAACGACCGTCTTGTCTAAAAAACGTGTGTTGTTTTCCTTTTCTTGCACTTATTTGTGCTTGTTTTGCCTTTGGCACTTATTGGTACTTTTCTGCATTGTTTGCACTTATTTCTGCTTTTCTTAACTTTTGTTTGCATTTTTTTCATTTGTTTTGTGTTTTTTTCGCCAAGAGTGTGCTTTTTCTACGCTTCTCCAACGCATAACATAAGCACAGCTCCGAAAAATCGATTTTGGGTTTTGTTTTCGGGTTTTTCGCAATTCGAGGCTACCTAAATTCATTCTGCATTTTTCTCACTTCTAAGATGGGGACGTCTCAAATGTATCCGTATCAGAATCAATACCATCCTAACTAATCAACGTGAGCACCGAATAAGGCTTTGAATTTGCGTTTGCTGCAAATGAGAACCCTGTAAAGGTCTTAGATATTGACATCGCAGCATCGCGCAGAGGGAAAAACATCGTTGAAAAAACATGTACACGTGTTATACACAGGCCTTTGCTGAGGAGGTTTTAACGACAAACGCCCATATTTGCCAATATCTATCTAGTTTGTGCGGATATTGAAAGAAACTGAATCATCATTTTCAATAAGAACCAGTTCTGTGATCCCAATAGCTGCCTTTTCATTGGCGTTTACATCTCATGAACAAACTTACCTTCCGATAGGAAATGTTTCAGTTTTTCTGATCGTTGATGTTATAATCTTGTGTTACCCGCTTGTGATTGTTGTAGTCGACCCTACTACTAGAATACCATTAAAGTCTCAACCGATTGAAGATTGTATCGTTAAAATCCTAAATCGCCTGCGCAAAAAGACAAAAAGATTTTGAATAGAAGCGTTCATAGAAAGTAATAGGGCTTAGGTCCACTCGAGGGTCATGGGCGTTGCCTTGTGAAGTGAAGTGTCCATTTCACTTCTGGGCTGCCCATTTCATGTTACAAGGTTTGGTTGAACTCTTATCTTAATCCTGCATATGGAGCCCCTCTAAATATCTCATGTATATCCTAGAAGCGCTTATGTCTGAAGGGAGAGAGGAGATTTCTTCAGTTGGTAGGAGATGCTTTATCCCTAGTGCGATGTATATTCACAGCTCCCCCTTTGGCGCCTGTAAAAAGCCTGAATTCCAAGCGTCCTAATTCAATTCCAGAAATGCTACAAGCTACTTAGAATTTCTATTTTGAAGGGCACACCCTATATGAAATCCCCTCTTTGGGGCCTGTTCATTAAATGTCACACCCCTAAGAAATCCTCATCTGGGCTTCATTCGGAATTAAACCCACCTAAAACGAAGAGGCCACACACCACGACATTCTTCTCTAAGCCTCATTCGTAGTTTGATCTTGTCAGAATTTTGTATTGAAAGCCACACCGTCTGAACTCACCGTTGGTGCCTCTTCATTAAAAGTCAGTAAAAATTTGTATGATACAGCTACACCCGAACAAATCCTCTTCGGGGCTTCGTTCGTAATTAAACCCAATCAAAACAATTATGTTAAGAGGCCACGCCTTTCTAAGCCTCATTCTGAATTCAATCTACTTAGAATTCTATATGAAAAGGCCACACCCTGCGAAATCCTCCTCTGGGCCGTATTCGTCATGCAATTTAGTTCGAACTTTGTATTGTAAAGCCGCACCCTAAGAAATCCTCATCGGGCTTTGTTTGTATCTGAATTGAATTATAATTTTCAATTAAAAGGCCACACTCTAAGACATCCTCTTCTAAGCTTCACTCACAATTCTAATGAGAATTGCAAGGCCACACCCTAAGAAACGCATCCCAAGAAATCATCATCTGGGCTTCGTTGGTGATTTAAATCGATTTCATATGAACTCAGCATCGTTTTCTAAGCCTCATTCATGATTGAACGTATGTAGATTTTTAGAATACAAGGCCACATCCTAAATAACAGCTTCTCTGTAAATGAAGTAACTCGAGTCATATCATGAAATAATTATAGGGATAAAACATGAGTTCTAGTTCTTATACTACATTTACGGTGCAACCCTATGGTTTGCCCGCGCTTGTTTTTGGAAGGTACATAAAACATGCGCAGGCGCGGCGTTTCTAGCCTTTGCCGGCCTTTCAACATTGTTCTTTTTTTCGGTTTTTTCTTCATAAACGACGACCCTCTTCGGGTTTCCCTGCGTTCCGGACGTCGCAGAACCCTATGGTTTGCCCGCGCGCGCGTCTTACGGTTTGGGCTTTGGCACGAGTCCAGCACGAGGGCTTCGGTGTTTTGTCGTCCTGGGCTTCAAGGAAATAACACTGCTTTCGGGCGTGGGTTCGTAAGACACTGCTCGGTTTGCCCGCGTCTTCTGCTTGTCGTTGTCCTTCCTAAACCCTAAACCCTAAACCCTAAACCCTAAACCCTAAACCCTAAACCCTAAACCCTAAACCCTAAACCCTAAACCCTAAACCCTAAACCCTAAACCCTGAAAACCCTGAAAACCCTAAACCCTAAACCCTAAACCCTAAACCCTAAACTAAGTGAGGGGTCGCTTCCGTCGAGCGACAGACCCCGAACGCTCGGCCGAGGGCCTTACAGCCCGAGCGCCCAAGCGAAAAGAGAAACGGAAAGGTGAGGGTTAAGCCTCACCGTCTGTCCTGGACAGGCCAACGGACATCGGCCTTTTTTACGACAACGTCAGTACTCGGCTAAGGGATGGCCGGCACCCAGACCACCTTTAGCGTAGCTAAAGTATAACCCCAAATCGTAACCCTGCCTCTGGAGGTCGGTTCAGGGTTTTGGGTTCAGGGTTTGCCGGGCCCCCCCCCCCGGGGGCCCCCTGGTCCCCGGTAGCTGGATTCCTGGACCAGGAGGCTGGCGAGGGGTCCAGGCAGGCTGGCTGCGCAATTTCGTGATTTTGGGGGCTTTTTCGTGGCTTCCCCTCTTCCGGGCCAAGCCGGGCCAAGGGCCCCCCGGGCCAAGGGCGTGCTGGGCCAAGGGCCCCCCGACCCAAGGGCCCCCCAGGGCAAGGGGCCCAGGCCAAGGGCCCCCGGGCCAAGGGCCTGCCGGGTCGGCCAAGGGTTTTGTGGCCAAGGCCCCGCCCCGGCCACAAGCCAGGGGCCCCTCGATCAAGGGCGTTTAGACCCAAGAGCCCCGCACAAGGGTTTGTCGGGTCAAGGGCCCCCCGCCAAGGGCCTCCCGGCCAAGCCCTTCCAAGGGTTCCGGAACTCGCCCTGCCCAAACACCCTGCCAAGGTCCCCCCCAACCAGGGCTCGGGAAAGGGCCCTTCGGCAAGGGGCCCCCACACCAACGCCCTCGCAGGGAATCGCACGCCCAGGAAGCCCCCAAGAGGCGCCAAGAGCCACCAAAAGGCTTCAAAAGCTTCAAAAGGCCCACTAAAAGAAGGGGACCACAAGATTTGTCCGTCCACAATGAAAAATGCGATATTGAAAACGATGGTTGTGGGTACCCTTGCCCGCAATGAAAAATGTTCTTTTTTAGTACTGAAACCGATGGCTCCCCCCAAATCAGCAAGGACCTCTACGGGCCCTGACGTGCCGAAGGACCGAGGCTACCCCGAACCCCAGCCTAAACCCTAACACAGGCTACCCCGAACCCCAGCTTAAACCCTAACACCGCAAAACCCTGCGAAGGCCTTCAAGCAAATAAGGGCCTCTACGGGCCCTAACTTGCCGAAGGCCCGAAAAGGGCCGAGGCTACCCCGAACCCGAGCTTAAACCCTAGCGATTGAAATACTCATTGGCGAAAAACTCATTAATAGGTTCCCTGACCTTTAAATGAATGAAGCCTCTACGGCCCCTGACACGCCGAAGGTCCGAACAAGGTTTGAGAGACCCCAAGAGCCACCAAAATGCTTCAAAACCCTAAAAGAAGCGGGACCCCAGGATGCCCGTACCCGCAATGAAAAATGCGATTTTTTGGTAGTGAAATCGATGCTTCATTGAGGCCCTTAAAGAAGGGGAATCCAGGAGCAGACACAAAGGGTTTCCCTGACCTTCAAATAGATAAGGGCCTCTACGGGCCCTGGCACGCCGAAGGCCCGAAAAGGGCCGAGGCTACCCCCAGCCCCAGCTTAAACCCTAACAGCGCAACTTTAAAAACATCAAAGCAAAGAAAGTAAATTCCATAAACCCTAAACCCTAATAGAGTATAGTTTGGGTGGCCGGGGTGGGTTGACGGGCAACGCGAGCGCGCGGCCCGGGGTGTTTCACACCCAAGCGCGCGCCCTCCCCTGACACACCCTAAACCCTAAACCCTAAACCCTAAGCCCTAAACCCTAAGCCCATGCCCAAACCCATGACCAGCCTGTGTGTGGGCAAACCACCCGGTTGGGGCGTACATTTACTACTTCACTTGTACACAGAACAGCATCCATTTGCTTATGAACAGCTTGGAACAGCACAATATTAATAGCAGAGCACGAATTGTGCCTAGAAAGCTTGATTTGCCTAGAAAGGCTTATAAAAGCACAATTTCTTAGACATTTTGCCTACAATACCAAAAATCCCAAAATCCAAAGCCATGAAGCCTGAACCCAACTTTTTTTTTGATTTGTTTTTTTCCCAAGGTTTTTTCTTTTTGAAAATAAAAAATCATGCAGTTTTTTTGCTTTTGCCTTCCGCAGGCTTGATGTCCTTTTTTGGGTGAAAATCCACAACAAACCATTTTTTTTGGATGTTCCGGCCCAGAACACCTAAAATAAGGCATGTTTTTTTGGGATGTCAAAAAGAAGCAAACCAAAAAGAGCCTTGGGAACACCAAAATGTCCCCAAAAGTGGGGTCCAGGCTTCATGGCTTTGGGTTTTTGGATGTTTGGGTTTGTTTTCTGCAGAAAGTGCTTATTTGCGTAAGCCTGTGCTTTTGTAAGCTTTTCCCAGGCAGACCAATCACGCAGTGTTCACTACATAGCATTTTAATACATGTCTTCGATGTTCTCTTTGGTCAAGATTTGTAGAACGTGCAAAACACACGTGTTTTTGACCGTTTGCACGGTTTTTCACGATAGAGCCAGACTTCCCGAAAAAGGACTTTGCCTGATACGCTCAGCATGACTTCTTTTTTCGTTATTTACGAGGGTTTACGTAGGAAAAAGAAGACCCAGATCATGGAGCTGACCATATACATACAAAGACATAGTGCGTGACATTGCATGCTTGGGGTACATGGGGGTGTGTGACATTGTGTGTGACTGTATCGGAGCCGCAGCCAGCAGTCGATACGAACCCCAAATTCCAAACACGATGAGGTACACTGTCGAACGTGCCGACGGCACCACGGCTGTTGTCAAGCTGAGCACCATTTCGGATCCTTCGCTTATGCATATGAAGTTCGACCTTTTCGAGTCTTGACTCCGTTCAGGTTCGTTTGGCGGTCTGTTGCTTTTGCAGTCGGAAAGAATCATTGCGTGTAACTAAATATACGAGGCTACTGAAGGTGCTGTCATGTTTGCGTGTGTCGGCTTAGGACGAGAATGCCATGCCCGCAAGACCGCACCGTGCGGTCATCGCAAGCTTCAAGACCGGGTTGGGATGATGTTTCTTGAAGGGCGCTAGAATCTGCATTGCGGCCTATGCAAGCCGTGGCAGCAGCCCTCCCGATCTATATTTATAGATACATACAAAACTGGCTAGTTGATTGAATCGAGCCGCCTTCTGAAAAGTGAGTCCGCGGCGGCGCGACCACGGTGATTGCCAATCAAAGCTCGAGGTTGTTATTGGCGACATACCAAGACCATCATAAACCCACGCTGCTAAAACTTGGCGCAAAGGCACTACGTAACTACTTGCTTGCATGCGGCAGTTTGGAGACCGTCGGTCGAGGTTTGGGATGAGGGGCTATGATCATGAAATTGGGGTTGCTGCCTTCGGGTTTGGGGTCCGTCCTGAGCGTGCTGTCACACCCGTGTTCTGCAGTGTGCGAAGATCAAAATCCACTGGTTTCCGTGCCATCGTTCGCTTCAATTTCTTAGTGGCACATCTTCGTTGACCCCGCTCATCTTTTTCTCGACCCCTCCCCTTGTTCCTGATCTCCCCTGAGGGCCTTGCTCTTCTTTACCTCCCCCACCCCATGGTTCCCCGAGCTTTCTTTTCCAACCCTTTCGGACCCCCCTCCCTCTCTTGCTTACAACCCTCCCGCCCCCTCCCCCCCCTCCCCCCCCCCCCCCCCCCCTCCCCCCCCCCCCCCCTCCCCCCCCCTCCCCCCCTCCCCCTCCCCCCCTCCCCCCCCTCCCCCCCCTCCCCCCCCTCCCCCCCCCCCCGCCTGTTTCTGATCCTCCGCCCCCGTTCCACTAACCCTTCATGAGTTACCCTTCGGGAAAACTTTTCAACAGCTTTGCGAAGATTTCTGGAGCAATTTGGGAGCTTCGGAGCGTTTGCGAAACCCTTTTCGGGCCCTTGTGCACCCTTTTGGGAGCCGCGGGATGAGGATGGCAGGGTTTAGGTTTCTGGAGCCCTGGGCTGAGGCATGTTGCCGGCGGGGAGAAAAGAGCGGCCGGGGGTCAACAAGAAAGGAAGGGGGTTCAAAGAAAAGCCGGGGGGGGTGGGGGGGTCGGTGGGTGTCGGTGGCAGGGGCTTCCCCGTTTGTCGTGTCGCGTGCCGAGTTTTGCGCGTCAGGCCGTGCTCCATGAAACCCTGGAGTGTACTTGCAGATTCCCAGCCTATGGGTCGACTTTGCCCGGATGGGTCGACCGCTCACGAATCAAGGCCGTGACTTTGGCAGAGGGCGGCATGGGTCGACTTGCTCCCACCGCCTGCCTGGGCCTGCCTTTGTTACAGTTGGCCTCCACACGCTTGACAACACGAGATGCAGGACCGTCCTGGAACGAGTGCTTCCGGAACATGTCGTTCGGAACGGGCAAGTGAAGCTGGCCGTGCAGAAGGCTCAGCCCTGCAGCCGGGGATCCCCTCAACATCCCTCAACTACCGTAGGAATGCCTACGTGTGACTATCCCCATGTTCATAATGGTAAATGCTCACGCGTGCCGCCTTGGCAGCCCAATGCGAGTCGCAGCTCCCGGAGAGCAGACAGCGGTGCAGAGTTCCAGGCCCGTAGACAGGGAGGCCAAGGGCAAACGGGGGTCCCAAGGGGGGTCCCGAAAGGTGTGCCAGGAAGGTCTTGGGGAAGGGGGTGTCTGCTTTGAATGTTTGAGTGTCGGCCGGAAGCCGCGGCGAATTCCTTGCAATATGGACACGACGGCATTGACTGTTTCTTGAACAGATGCCGCGCTCTGTCATGCGTTGCTTATGGACGCCAGATTCATATTCGTTGTTCATGTGCGTACTTTCGCTTCAATGAACACTCTTCTGGCCAGGAGCCTTTGAGTTCCGACTGCAACAGCTTTCTGGCTGTTTCTGGGACACGCAGCAAGCTGACGGAGCTCATTAAGACTAAGCATCCCGTGCTGATGCGACAGCATCGCCGCCGAGTTGTGTAATGATTTGTTGCCGGATTTGTGCCCTTTGAGTTGCGTCCTGCATCCATGCCAGCTTGTGACGTCTTAGTCATCGTACCGTGTCAGCTCAGAAGCTGTAATTTCCCATGGCAGATACTTTGGCATCGAAGAGATCCACAATGAAGGCGCCAGCACGTGCCAGCTCTTGAGTTGCCTTCACGAAGGGGCTCCTTCCTTGAATTTGTGTTGTGTCAGGTGAGCACGGTAACATTGAACCTGGTAAGCATTGATTGCCGTCCCTGAGGGGTTCGGGTGAAGCAGGGGGACAAGGTGCATTCTTTCAACGCATTTCTGCTCCTTGGTGCACCTTCGTCAGCTCCGTGCTACTGTGTTGCAGCCACTTTTACTTTCAGGAGTGGAAAGAGTGAGGATCGCAAGTACACGCTCTATGTTCGTGTGGGCAGCGAGCACGAGACACCTCTTGCTGTACTGGTCGACAAAGAGGAATTCTATATGGACCTCATGAGCCTTGGTTCGTAGCATAAGGTCCTCGAGGTTTTGGGAGGGAGGCCAGCAGCCGTTGCCGAAAGTCAGGAGTATGGTCTACGGGCCCCATGACTTATAAGGCGCTCGCAGACGCAGAGGGAGATCATCAAGACGGAGAGCGCAGAGTACCAAGAGCTGAAGGTACTCGAGCCTGTTCGTGGTGGTGGTGTCCCGGTTAGCAATCATGAGGAGAGAGCCAGGAGTGCAGCAACTGGAAGCAGTCGTCTGATGCTAAGGTTTTGGTGCAGTGGTTGTCGTGCAATCCCGACACAAGGTCACGGGACATTTCAGCGACGCCGAGCTTGCCCTGAAGTTGTTCCGAAACCAGAACATCAATACCCATGACCCGATGCGGCGTGAAGTTGAACGGGCCATGAGTTTGGACCACCAGTACATCATCAAAACCCTAGGCTCCGTCAACATGTATCATGAGAACGTCCTGGCTGGCTCATTTCTCTTTGACAAGATCGACTTTGCAATGCTCATGGAGCGTGCTGATACGGATCTTGAGCGCTACGTGCTCCCCCAAAGCTCTGCAGACGGGAAAGACTTGACAGATGAGTGGCTGCGCGAAGCCAAGAGGTACATGTGGCAGATGGCACAAGCCGTGAAATATTTGCACGGGAAGGACATGGTGCACAGGGACCTCAAGCCGGCCAACGTACTCTTGAAAAAAGAAGGCGAGGCGTCCGAGGCATACTGTGTTAAGCTTGCAGATTTCGGATTTATGAAGCCAGTGGGCGAGGTTGAACCAGGCATTATGCGATGTGGGACACCCGATTTCGCAGCTCCAGAAGCTCTGTACATCAGAGATGGCAGCTTCGTGAACTGGGAACAAGCGGACATGTTCTCCCTGGGCCAAACCTTCAGAGCCCTTCTGGGCCGCAGGTACTCTATAGACAAGTCGGCGGACCAATCTAGAGACAAATCGGATAGTTCCAAGTGGCAGTGGAAGCTGGATCCGCATGGCAATCCGAAGCAGTGGCCAAAGCTGGATCTTGTCTTACGGGTTCTCCTTAATCGAAATGAGCCGGGCAAAAGGAAGAATGCGACATGGCTCTGCGAGCCCACACGCCCAGAGAAGTTTGATCTGTGGAGCGAGGCACCTAGCATGTCCTGAGGAATCAAGAGGTTGGCAAATCGCAGGGCTCAAGCAGATGGTGGCGATGGCGGCAAAGCTGCCTGTACAGAGATCCACCTGATCTGCAGCTGGGGCAGGACTTGGCAGGACCCCTATCCCGGCAGCTGAAAAAGAACTGCACTGCTCGCTGTCCCTCTTTGGAGCATTGTCGGCACACTACTACAGTCTAGTTCCCTAGGTAGGAAAAATGCATAATTACTCTTGTTTATAAAGCCCAAGAAAATGCGAAAAAAAACACTAAGTTGTTTCGATTGCTCGACGGGCCGAGGCCTCGCTGGAGACATTCCGTGCGTGTCTCACTTCTCGCTGTGGAAATGCCCACATGCAGTGCAATAGCGCCCTGGCCGGCCTTGTTCCAGGAATCTATAGGGTTCTTCAAGAAGGAAGGGCTCCTCCAAGACTCGAATGCAAGTATCCTTGAAGTATCCTCCAAACGACGGAGACGATGGGCAAGATGCGCTGCCTGGACAAGAGTCTATAAGCCCAACATGTCCCCAAATTCGCCCCACCTCTACGCCGGACTACAGTTGCAAGTCTGCGTGCAGTCTCGGGATCCAAGCAAAGCAGTCGAGGGTATCGAAGGGCCTCGGCATCGTAGACTAGGGAGTCGCGCACTTGGAAAGAAAAGAATTCTTGGAATCTTGTAGGGTTGTAGGACGTCCATGGGTTTTCGCGGCTTGAGCCTTTGTGCATCTCTCTGTACCGTATTCGCCGCGGCTCTAAAACTAGCGACCCACGGATTTTGGAATCATTCGTCTCGGAAGCAGCATGCCGAGTTCACCCATTTAGAAAAAAGAAGTTGTGCGCAGCCACCAACCGGAAGAAACATGCACGTCGACCGCTGCTCTTGGCCCCAGCGTTTTTTAGTCAATCACTTGGCTTTGGGGTTGAGGCATGTTGTGAGCATGCGGTCTTTGGGGTAATGCGACCATTGAATCACTACCAGTCACTACCACGGCGCCTCTTTCTCGTTGCTTGAGCCCAGTGCAACGCCGCCTGCACCGGGGATGGAGGATGATGAGGAGCCACCAGAACTTGGCGAGTGGAATTTGGTGGCAGGCGTGGACCTAATAATGGGTAGCCTTTGAGTAGTATCTGAGGCACCTAGGATCTACCATGCTATCGGATGTTAACTGTACCTCTGGTGTGCTCCCGGCTGAAGGATCCATCCACGGCCCTCTGGCTGGATACATCGAAATGTTCCTGGTGGAAGGGAAGCCGAATGAGACTGCAAGAAGGCTCTCAGAGCTGAACAAGCTGCTGCTGCTGCAGGGTGATGTGCAGTCCCAGGACAAGATGTTCAACAACGTGAAAGACTGGATGTCGGAAATGTCCGTCAAGAATAAGTACGAGCTGCCGGCGAAGGTTGCTCAACAGCTGGCTCAGGCAGGATATTCGGAGATGGTGATTCGAGACAAGGACTTACGCGCCTTCTGGGACTTTAACTGCTGGCTCCTTGGCCTGGCTGAGGCCGCAATTCTTGCACCATCCTTTGCTATCTCATGTCGTTTTCCAAGTTTACCGCTCGTCCATTCTTGTTTTGTGCTTCTGGCAAAGGCTGGACGACACGCTGAAGTCAATGCGACAGGCAGAAGAAGTTCTAGGACCAGCCTATGCACGATCAGGGCTCAGGGCATGCTGTTCGGGGCACCTGAAGTATGATGCAGAACCAGTCTGACATTCCCAGTCAGCTAGAGTTGGGGTCCTAACGTGTTGCTCGTCTTCGTAGTCTTCTTGTTCATCGCTATGGTTGCTATGTCGAGTGTTTCCATTATGCTTGTGACTTGTAGATACAAAAGGGGTCAGATAGGGCACCTGAAACTGCGGGAGAAGGTGCATGGTTTTGAAATTTCAGTGGGACGCTACATTGAAAGCTGATCCAAAATTCCTGACAAGGAGCGGTGGACAAGAATGCAGGCCCAGCCCCTCCTCCAGGACAGGGCTGTTGCCTTCCATAGTTTTTGGGCTCTTGAAGCCCTTTGACAATTTGACCTGTCAAGTGCATGTGCTTAGGGTAAGTTCCTGGAGGACTTGATGCAGCTGCCTCCTCGACAGGACATGGGCACCATGCTTGCACTGGCACAGGTGCTGCCATGCTTTTTGAGTGCTTCCTGTTGTCGTGGCCGTGGCGTGTTGAGAACGCGGGTGCTACATGACAGCTACATTCAAAAGAACGTCGGTAGAGACGAACGTGTTGTGGATGAGACGCATGAAGAACCGCGCAGGGCCGGTGGCCAGACTACATTAGCTGCAGCTAGAGATACAAAGCCGTCATCCACACCCTGATAGCCAGGAGCGGCTGGCGAGCAGATCGGTTCCAGCTTGAAGAACCGACCGAGACGGGGTGTTTTAAAGTGTGCAGTGCAACACATGCCAGTTTCTCACTCAGCCACGCTCAGCCCATTCCATGTTTCGTCGGAGGATGGGCTTCGATACAAGAGCAAGGTGACGGTAGCACAGGCTGGCTTTGGACATTCCAGCATTCCCAGCTTCCGTGTGTGCGGGGAGCAGTGTGGTGGCACGCGCCTTCAGGTTGGCCGTCTTTGGATCAGCGGCAGGCAGCAGGCCTGGGCACTGGCTCTGAGCTCTATGCTGTGTCTGGAGATGCTGCAGCCGCCCTTGTGCTTAGGGTCAGTTCCTGGAGGACTTGCTGCAGCTGCCTCCTCGACAGGACATTGGCACCATGCTGGCACTGGCACAGGTGCCGCCATGCTTTTTGAGTGCTTCCTGTTGTGGTGGCCGTGCGTGTTGAGAACGCGGATGCTACATGACAGCTACAGTCAAAAGAACGTCGGTAGAGACGAACGTTGTTGTGGATGAGACGCATTTACAGGAGCCGACAATGCTGGTTTCTATGACGAAGACAGTGACGAAGAAGAACCGCGCAGGGCCGGTGGCCAGACTACATTAGCTGCAGCTAGAGATACAAAGCCGTCATCCACACCCTGATAGCCAGGAGCGGCTGGCGAGCAGATCGGTTCCAGCTTGAAGAACCGACCGAGACGGGGTGTTTTAAAGTGTGCAGTGCAACACATGCCAGTTTCTCACTCAGCCACGCTCAGCCCAATTTCATGTTTCGTCGGAGGATGGGCTTCGATACAACAAGGTGACGGTAGCACAGGCTGGCTTTGGACATTCCAGCATTCCCAGCTTCCGTGTGTGCGGGGAGCAGTGTGGTGGCACGCGCCTTCAGGTTGGCCGTCCTTGGATCAGCGGCAGGCAGCAGGCCTGGGCACTGGCTCTGAGCTCTATGCTGTGTCTGGAGATGCTGCAGCCGCCCTTGTGCTTAGGGTCAGTTCCTGGAGGACTTGCTGCAGCTGCCTCCTCGACAGGACATGGGCACCATGCTGGCACTGGCACAGGTGCCGCCATGCTTTTTGAGTGCTTCCTGTTGTGGTGGCCGTGGCGTGTTGAGAACGCGGATGCTACATGACAGCTACATTCAAAAGAACGTCGGTAGAGACGAACGTTGTTGTGGATGAGACGCATGTACAGGAGCCGACGAGGCTGGTTTCTATAACGAAGACAGTGACGAAGAAGAACCGCGCAGGGCCGGTGGCCAGACTACATTAGCTGCAGCTAGAGATACAAAGCCGTCATCCACACCCTGATAGCCAGGAGCGGCTGGCGAGCAGATCGGTTCCAGCTTGAAGAACCGACCGAGACGGGGTGTTTTAAAGTGTGCAGTGCAACACATGCCAGTTTCTCACTCAGCCACGCTCAGCCCAATTTCATGTTTCGTCGGAGGATGGGCTTCGATACAACAAGGTGACGGTAGCACAGGCTGGCTTTGGACATTCCAGCATTCCCAGCTTCCGTGTGTGCGGGGAGCAGTGTGGTGGCACGCGCCTTCAGGTTGGCCGTCCTTGGATCAGCGGCAGGCAGCAGGCCTGGGCACTGGCTCTGAGCTCTATGCTGTGTCTGGAGATGCTGCAGCCGCCCTTGTGCTTAGGGTCAGTTCCTGGAGGACTTGCTGCAGCTGCCTCCTCGACAGGACATGGGCACCATGCTGGCACTGGCACAGGTGCTGCCATGCTTTTTGAGTGCTTCCTGTTGTAGTGGCCGTGGCGTGTTGAGAACGCGGATGCTACATGACAGCTACATTCAAAAGAACGTCGGTAGAGACGAACGTTGTTGTGGATGAGACGCATGTACAGGAGCCGATGCTGGTTTCTATAACGAAGACAGTGACGAAGAAGAACCAGGCGCAGGGCATGGGCCGGTGGCCAGACTACATTAGCTATCCCTGATTGCTGCCTCGGGCGTATTTGCCAGATCCCGAATTCGCGGTTTACCCGAATCAGGTCTGTGCAGCTTCCGAATCCGTTCTTTTTTTTCTCTTGCCGAATCTGCAGCAGACCCCCTTGCAAGCTTCGGAGAACCAGCGCACATAACAACCCCTGGCAAGCTTTCGGAATTTGAGCTCCCGCTTGCTGGCCCAAAAGGAAAACCCACAAGCAAATTAATTTGCATAATTGTAAACGCTTGCGCGCGCCGCCTCGGCAGCCGGGCCAACCCACGTCCCAAGGCCTAAGAAATTCGAAAAACCTTTCGCGTGTCTGCAGTCGCAGGCGGAGAGAGCTGAAGGGGGGGGGGGCCGGGGGGGGGATGCCGAGGGGGGGATCCAGGGGGGTCGCAGGGAATCCAGGAAAAAAGACACCCAACAGGGCCGGGTTCTGTTTGCGCGGTCTGCGGCTCTTCCAAGCGATCTGGGGGTATCTCAGGGGGGGGGGGGGGGGGGGGTTGGGAAGGGGGAAAGCTGGTCTGCTTGTTCTAGACGATATGATACATACAATATACGCTCGATAGACAAGCAACCCGAAACAACCCAGCTTTTTTTCAGAAAGAGTGTAGAGAATCTTTCTGCCACCGGCAAGTGATGAGCAGGACCGCAGGAGCTGACGCTGGTGGATGTTTCGCAAGGAGTAGTGCAGCGGAAGCAACCCCTTTGAGCCAATGTTGGTTCTTGGTTAGCTGGATTGGCAATGAAGCCTGCGAAGCTCTGCTTGATCAGATTATGCCACAACGGCCAGCGAGTTCATTAGTTAGTTGTTGTCTGTACTTGGGTCGATGTACCCGGCACGTGCAGGAGAAGCCGAAAGGGTGGAGCCGGAAGTCAAAGACGGCGTGGGAGGTGACGTTGGGGGACCCTGTAGCCTTCGATCTGAAGCTCTGGAGTGCCCTGTCGTACGCATGGTGGGCTGAGTGAGAATCATGTAGCAGCTCACCCCATTTCTCGCAATTCAGAAAAGTCCGGATTGGAGGTCCAAGAAAACTGGGGCGTTTGCTAGGAGAGTTTTTAGAAAGTCCTGGTCGAGTGGAGTTGAGCACATGCGAATCACCTATCAGAAGGTGGATCGTGCAATAACCAGAGAGATTGATACCCGAGATGCTGTTGCAATCTTGAAGATGTGCGTAGCGGCCCATGAGTTGATAGATGCTCGGCTGCAGCCTGAATTGCCTGTGAAATTTCGACTGTGAGCGCTTCCTGAGAAAGTGATGCAGATGATTGTGCGCACTTAGACCTTGCAGCGTTTGGCGAAGATGTTTGCCCTGCCAGGAGGCTACATTCCCGAGCATATTCCCGCTGCACCGTGGCCCTGGCCAGGATTGAAGGGGCCGAGCTTTTCTTGTGGACTCTCTGCAGGTCCGCTCACAGCAGTTTGCATACACAGGCGCAGCCTCTGAAAAATGCAGACGGAACTGATGATGCACATGTGCAGCAAGCAGTCAGTCCCTGTCAGGCTCCCCTCCCACTGACTTAAGTCATTTCAACGAGTCCATCCGCTGCAGTCTGCTCTCAGGAGCTTATGCTTACGACCCTATGAATTTCTATCTGGAAGCACAATATGCTGCCGAACTTGCTGCGTGTCTCGGCGCAAGCCACAGAACTGACGATTGTCACGGTGTGGCCCTGACGGTGGACTAGCTCTGGTCATGTCACCAACTACTGCAGCGTCTTGCGTCGTCCGTGACTCAGTCAGGATGCAGTGGCACTGGCCCCTTGATGCTCAAGATGCCCATAGTTGGCCATTTTCAAGCCATCCGACAGGCCGTGTGCAAGTGTTTGCATGAGAGTTGAAAGGGCGGGTCTCGTATAAATCAGGCCACTGGGAGATGGGACAAGGTCCGGCAAAGCCATCGCGTGGGCGGAAAGCTGCTTGGCGACAAGAACGAAATTCCGCCAGTTGAAAACGAATAAATAGCTCCCCATATCCCCACCCTGGAAACGTTTTTTTTCGGCAGCAATCCTAGCGACTCCTAGTGTCGCCATCAGAACGGAGTAATGGCAGCAAGCGAAGGCTAAATCGTCACAATCACTCGATGTTTCGTTGAATGTCATGAGTTTGTGAATTTGCCTTAAGCATAGCCCACACTCTTTGTTTGTTTGTGTGTGCGTGCGTGCGTGCGTGCGTGAGTGCGTGCGTGCGTGCGTGCGTCCGTCCGTCCGTCCGTCCGTCCGTCCGTCCGTCCGTGCGTGCGCGTGTGTCTTTGTGTGTCTCTCTGCGTGTCTCTGTGTGTGTTTGTGCGTCTGTGTCGTCTGTGTTCGTCTCTGTGTGCCTGCATGCTGGTTCAGATGCATCCTTGGAACCCTTAGTATGGGGTACAGTGTCACAGCGTCAAGTGCAATGTGGTGCCCAAGGCCAAGCCTCGAGTGGCAGGCCAAGGCAATTCAGAGCAATACAGAGCCCGACGGGCGTCCTCTCTTATGTCTTTGCTTCTGTAGTTAAGACTGTAGTTGCTTCTTTCGTCAGCTGGGGCACCAGCGCAGGAGATTTAGGACGGCCTGGCCAAAAGACTTCGAGGGTTCCGCTGTTTGGCAACAGGCAACAGGGCTTTCCATGCGAGGTGCTGCTTCCAGCCCCAGGTCACACTTACCTGTTGCCCCCTAATTTCTTTTGTACTTTTTCTACCATAGCTTCTTGTAGCAACTGTGGCACATTGGGAGGCTCCGGCACGGCCAGGCTGAGTCTGCGCCTTGCGGTCCGTGCCAACACCGCCATTCCACAAGCAAAGGGGCCTCCTTGGCTTTTATAAAGGATCCTTTTGGACCCCGCCACCCAGTGCTGTAACACTGAACCTCCAGGCCATCTTGTGCCGTACAGTGCGGTTCTGCCTTTTTCTGAGGAAGCCGGGACCCAGAGCTGGCCGGGATCACGTTTTCAAGAATTCCCACCTGGGACGCTACATCAAGGATGTCTTGGACGAGAACAGCGAGTTTGAAGAGCTGAGGCCAGGAACATTGCAGCCGAAGCACATCAAACAACAATTCTTGACTACATCTTCGTGTGCAGGAAGGACGACCTGGCAGACCGTCACCCAAGCAACGTCTACTTCGATGATTGGGAGAGAGCTGCAGCTGGGACTTTATTCTCAATGCTGCCTGTCCTTGCCCTGAGCCCCATGATCCTTCAAATCACCACCACCTTGTGAAGTTTATGTCCTCAGCTGACTGCGACAGGTAAGTCCGAAAGCTTCCATCGAGACCTCAGCAACGATCCTCATCCTCAGCAGGCATGATTACTTCCCAATGCAGCAAGAGATTTCCTATGACATCCCGGATTTGAGAACAACTTTCCCGAGAGCCCACACATACCTCCTGGCCGTGGACGAGGCCTGCCGTTTGCAGTTCTTAGTAGTGGCTTCGATTGGCTCAGTCAGTACTGGCCCCAGTTCCCATGACTTTCTTTGCCACATGGAGGCCGATGGGCAAAGCGAGAACCCGTTCATTGAGAAGCTGAAGGAGAAGATCTTTGAGTGTTGCAAAAAAGAGGTGACTCTGATGGCATTTGCAGCGAGTGCCTGCTCTCAACTGTGCTGCGCGGCCTCTGTCGTCCAGTGTTGCTTTGCACTTTAGCAAGGCTCCGTACTGGAGATAGCCACCTGCAGAGGTCAACTACGAGACGATAGGGACGATGGAGCTACATCCTCGTCATTCTTGAGCACTTGACGAACAGGCCCTGCATGGTGCATAATGTAATCGAGTGGTCTTGCGGGGTTCCACAGTCCACGAACAAGAAGAGAGGTGCCGCACTTTTTGGAGCTTCATGGGTTGAGTTGATCTGAGTTGTGGTGGGCACTTATGCGCGCTTCGTCTTGGTTTCCCCACTTCCTTCGAGGCGGCTGTTTCCTGTGCAGACGGCGGTCGAAAGACTTTTGCGTGATTCTCGACCTTGAATCTCAGAAAAATGCACAGAAAAAGAGGAGTGCCTTTCTTGAGTGTATTGCGAACATCTCTTCGCAACTCCCACTCGCAGATATCCACACCGTGTTTTCTCAATGTGTGAATGAGTTTTGTCGCGTGGCAAGCATTGATGAGGGTGCTTCAGGTGCTTGAGTGCTGGGCCGCGATATCCACCCCATCTGCAACCAAGCACAGATTCAGAAGTGAGTGACCTTTGTCAAGGCCAACACTCCCAACAACATTAGTGAACTCCTTCAGAACTCGAAGCCTTGACAAGAAGGCTGTGTGCCAGGGCATAAGACTCCGTTGGATGCGTTGTATGCGGCTACCGACTTACTGTGTACCGAGTAGTTCTACGTATAGTTTTGCACACCCTCGTGGCTGCTGGCGCTCCCCCAGCTCCTCGCACCGAACGGCTTGCGGTTTGTGGGACCTTGTGGCACGCCGCAGCCGTTCTACTCTCAGACGCATTGTCGCATTGTCACTCTCTACGATCATCTTCTTTCCCGTCGCCGACATGGGAGGCAAGAAGTCCGCCAAGGCGAGCGCTAGCCGCCATGCAGAGGAAGCTTGCCCGGAGCCCTTCCGGCAGCAGTTGAAGGACAAAAAGTTCCGTGGATTCCTGTGCGGCGTGGAAGCGTCGAGCCTCGATGCCTGCGCGCTGGCCATCATCCCGGACAACGAGAAGGACAAGCCCGCCAAGCTGCTGTTGAGCGCCTACCTGGGGTGCCGGGAGGAGCATGTGAGGTGCCGTCATTTGGATGAGTTCCACTTCTACTTCGTGGACAACTCCAAGCTACAGAGCCCTGTGCCCAACAAGCTGGCGTGCCAGATCGCCTTCGCTTCCGGGGATAAGTTCTTTGCTTTGGGCAAGCTGGCCGTGGTCACCGCGAAGGAGCGGTCGGAGAAGCTGCCCCGTATGGGCCTGGCTGCTTTCGAGGAGCTGGAGCGGAAGCTGGAAAAGCTGGACGCAACAGGCTTCGACGCCTGGTTTGCAGAGCAGTGCCAGAAGCTGGATGCCCGCAACGACACCGGCAGCTTCGTTTACGTGCCGATGTGGCGAGAGCCCGGGCGCGCGCAGGAGCTTGATGCACAGTGCGAGGGCTGGGCGGAGATCTCGCGCCGATGCCAGGAGCTCTTTGAGGATTGGGGAGCCAAGAAGAAGGACCTCACGGAGCCCGAGAGCGAGGACGAGGAGGAGCACGAGGAGGACAGCCTGGGCGACGAGATCTTCGATGCGTTCACGCTTCAGGAGCAGCGTGAGCGCGAGCGGAATGTGGATGTGAAGACTGGGGCATCCGGGGCGAAGATGTGGACGGCCTTCAAGGCCCGCGGTTTGTCGCTGGTGTACATCCGAGGATCCGATGCCATAAACTTTGTCCTCGTGGAGCGCAGCTCGCAAACCAACAAGCAACAGCGAGGGGGTATCAACGTGGCCGTGGCGCGCTACATCTACCACAAGTTTGGTGCCAGCGCCCTGGAGAGCTTACTCACCAAGATCCGTGGCGACGTCATCATCTTCAAGGCGAAGCAGTACCACTCGGAGGGGTCCTGCAAGGTCGCCCCGCGCTTGGGCAGCAGATATCTCAAACTCCTATCAATCAAGGCTTGCATGATACTTGCATGGTGTGTGTGTGTGTGCTCTCTCCAAACTCAACGTACCCACGTTCTGCGAGCTCACACATGGCGGGCTTAAGCGCCTCCTGAGCTGAGGCTGCCTGCGGACGAGAGCTTGGGGTACCTCCGCGAGATCGAGCAGCCGCTGCCTGGTGCGGACGACACCTGCCTGAGCTACACACATGACTTATATTATGTAGTCTCTTACGTGTATGTATATATGTATATTCATATGCATATATGTATATGTTTATAGATATGTTATATATATATATATATATATTATTGTATATATATATATGTATGTATATATGTATGTATATGTATATGTTTATTTACATTTACATTATCGGCGTGTAGCGGCTTTTGATGAGGAAGGGGAGCTCCAATTCCTGCTGGACCGGACGGACCTGGGAACCATCATGCAGCGCTGTGTCTTCTTCCCGAAGTCTCCGGGCGCCAGCTTCTTGGAGCGTATCGCGGAGCTGGAGAAGAAGGCGCAGCCGGAAGACTGGCGCAACCGGCTCAGGAACAACGACGCACCCGAGTACTTGGTGAACTACATCAACTACAAGTTCGCCCTCTCCTGGAAGCACCGCCAGGGGATCTCCATCGAGATGCCCCCGAACAACAGTGCCAAGCTTCGTCTGATCTTCGCCACGGGGCTTCTGGACTTGAACCTCCAGCCCATCTACGGCGTCTTTGAGAGGAGGAAGGACGAGGATGTGGACGACGCCTTTGAGATCCCGGACTTCAAGTCCAGGTATGTCTTTCAGAAGTGGGACACGCATTTGCCGAATGCGCCTGAGGCCCTGGACTTGCTGAGCACTGCGTTGCTGAACAAGGGCTGCGAGAATGCGGGCCTGAGGCCTGAGGAGCTGAGGATGTTCGACCCGTCCTGGGACAAAGTGGACGTGTCGCCGGGCAGCATCGAGCACATCCTCCGGAAAAAGTTCCGGTTCCAGCAGGACAACGACTTCCAAGGAGTGCAACCGGGTCAGGGTGGTTGGGCTGTAGACGACCCCAGCAACCTCGCCACCCAGTTCAAGCATGCGCTGAACCAGACCATGACGCTGACACGATATGACCGTTCCACGCCCGTAATCACCTGCTTCCAGCTTGGCCAGTACCAGTGGCTGCTGCCCCTCCTAAATCCCAGCCAGGTGTGCAAGCAGGCCCCGAGCCTCACCGTGGTGCTGCGACCCGCCGCAGGGACGGGGAGCATTTCTGCATGAAGGAGTACTTCTACGAGGGACGGTGCTGGACCTTGACATGGCCTTGAAGCTTGCCAGGACCTGCGGCATGCTGAGCGCTGGACGGCAAGCCACCGGCAACTGTCCGACCGGACGTCGAAGAGACCATCGCCCAGATCCAGGGCTTTGAGGACCACAAGAAGAGGGCGCTGAGGGCCATGCGCAACGCCAAGAGCAACTTCAAGAAGTCGCTGGCAGCTTGGGGCCGCGTGCAGAAGATCAGCTTCGAGGAGACACATATGCCACCTCACAAGTGGCTACTAATTAGTCGCTACTCGTCGCTACTATATATAATCGTACTAACCAAGTCGCCACGCGCCCAGCACTCGTGTGCAGGAGACACGCAGCTGGGACCGTCCCCGGACTTCTCGAGAACGAGCTCCGTCCGCCGGCTCGCAAGGCTCAGCGAACTCCCGTGGCAACTCCCGTGGCAACTCCCGTGCCAGCGCCGACCGGGACCCCGACTGGCGCCACCGTGAGGCCAGAGTCACATGCGTAGCGGCCCACGTGTTGCAACATGTTGTGTCAAAACAAGCTTTGACGAAGTGGCAGCACGTGCCAGAAGGAGTGCCAGCCTTCTTGCCCTCATGCCATCTATAGGTTGAATGGCCAAGAAGCCCCATAATGCTGACATATTCGAACTTTTTTCATCAATTGAACTAGACTTATGCCGAGACCGGCGAAGAAGCAGGTGGCGAGTACAAGGGAGTGCGTGGCTGGCAAGTCTCCAGCCCCACAAAGCAAGTCGAAGGTGAGGATTCTTGAAAGGGCACGGGGGAGCCCTCGGTTACAGTGTACGATGTCTGAGACCCAAGTACTATAATCGCATAAACAGAACACTCCCCATGAAGACGTGGCGGTCCTGAGCAATGGGTTGCAAACAAGACCTGAACAACTTGCGGTAAAGAGAGCCACGCAGCTTGCAAGGCGAACGTCGACGGTGAGGATCCCTGGGCGAATGGTCAGGATCCGTGGAGTCAATGTGCCAGCATGAAGGCGAATGCAGGGAGCGGAGGATGGAAGAGCCCCAGCGCCACCAGCGCACACGAAGCGGGATTCCAAGCTGCTGCTGACGTGGCCAAGGCCAGTCCTCTACCGTTATGACATATGAGCGAGTTCGTAGGCCCCACAACACATGTGCGCTGTGCATGAGAGCACGTGTGACTTCGCATACTTTTTCCAGCAGCGCACGGGCACTAGACCCGTCTTGTGAGGACTCGCTACCGGCCATGACCGCTCCGTCCGTGCCACCGGAGCAGTGGGCCGTGAAGGATGTGGTTGCCTGGGCACAGCGAGAGGGTTTCGGCGGTCAGGCTGCCAAATTCCAGGCTGAGGAGGTCGATGGCAGGGCCCTCCTTCAGCTTGACAAGGAAGATCTGGAAGGTGCGTTCGGAATCCCACCACAAGAATGCGAGAAGCTCTGGAGTTCCATCTTGGAAGTGAAGTCCCTTGTGCCCACGCAGCCCGTGCAGCCCGTGGGCCCCATGGAGCACTGGGGTGTGCCAGAGGTGCTGACCTGGCTGCAGCAGCAGGGCTTCCAAGCAGCGTCTGCAGCTTTCGAGGCAGAGGCAATGAGCGGCCGGGCACTGCTTCTGGTGAGCCAGGAGGATCTCGAAGGTGAGCCGTTCCACCTCACCCCAGAGCACAGCAACAAGCTCATGCAGGCGATCAAGCAGCTGAGAAGCATCCAAGTCTGAGAGGATCTGGCAGACAGCGTCCAGAGAGTGAGATGGCCCGCGCCTGCGCGGAATTGATCGGGCATTGGGCAGGACTCAGGCAGGACCCAGAATGCAAAAGGACGAGAGTCTGCATTCAGTTGAGAACTTGGCTTCAGGCTCGAATCCGTGATGTCACACCTATTCTCTTGTGAGTCTTATCCTCTCATTCCTATACCGACCTTCGGTCGGCCCCATTTCTTCGTTCCCACCTTGTGCATGTGCCGTTGTCGCAGTTGCATCAATACTTTGATGAGGTGACAGACTAATATAGACTGAACCGCGTTCCCGTTGTCTATGCCAGGCATATACACAACGCCAAGCTAGTTTGTCGGTTGCGGCTCAGCAAGCTATAGCCACACTATAGTTCGAAAGCCCACGCTTGCTGTTTCAAGCCATGGCCGGCCAGATCAAGCTCATGGGCCAGGAAGCCCTGCTTTGTGCGAACGAAGTGTGGTACTGTGTCCTGCGCTACGGTCAATATGCCGGCTACCTTTCGGGCGGACTCCTGCTCCGTGCGAAGCGCCCCAGCTATGGCCTGCCGGTGCTGACAGCCTCGGCGCTGTGGCAGTACCTCCTCCGCACTGAGAGCCGACGCATGAGGCTGGTGCCCAACATCCGGACACTCTGCCAGGCGGCCGCCAAGAGAGCGCTGGAGGCACATGCCCAGCCTGCCCAGCCTGCCCAGTGCTCCACGGGTTGCATCAATGTCATGGACGGCTTCAGCCAGGCAGTCTCCCGCTTCCTGTTTCAACCGCCAGAAAACTACGGGGAGGATGGTGAGGTCATTGTGGTCGAGACCATGCTGACAGATGGCAGCCGCGAGTCCAAGAGCAACTTGAAGAAGAACAAGGGTATCTTCGGCTTCACTCACGCGCAAGACCTGAATGCCGGCGTCGAGCCCAAGGCCCATGCTTTTGGGAGAGCTAGTCTACATCTAAGGGTCTATAAGCGTCTATAAGGTCTTATCATATCTTGTCTCCCCATCTCGCTGCCAGGAGCCGTGCAGCTTTCAGCGTGACGACGGTACTACGGCTGTGGTCCGCATGTGGTGCGTGAACGTGCCAGGCCGAGCACTCTGCTCGATGCAGCTCTAAATCCAGAAAAAACATGTTGCGCATGGGTCTGAGTAAGGGCGAGTCACTCCGCACGATCGATCCCTCCACTCATGTACTTGGATCATTGAGCATCCACAGCGTCGCAAGGTTTGGAGAAGGCCTTTGACATGGTGGAGGTCAAAGCGGTGAGTGATCTGAAGGCCTTTGGCGAGCAGGTCGCATACAACGATGCCCGAGCTGCAAAGTTTTCTCCCTAAGGCGGCCATGTACGCGGCCACGCCTGTATGGGTGCTGCAGGTGAGGTTCCTCATTGGGAGTCCGTGATGAGGGTGAAAGTTAGCTGCTGAGGACTTCCAGCAGGCTCTCAGCAAGTTGCTGGGACCCGAGCGTGTAGCACAAGGCCGCATCTTGAAATGTGCCTCGGCCTATCTGCCTATCTTGGCCCTCCAGGGCCCTTTTGTCGGATGTTTGATGAAGCCCCTCTTGCGTCATTCATGTGATTTCCACAGGCACCCAGCGGCAGGCGATGGTGAACGATTTCCTGGCCCTCGAGGGCAGCTTGCCGCTCGGCTTCAGCTTAGCCGCTTCAAGCTTCCCTATTCTCGGGCCGGGACCTGGTGTACTATAGTGTATACCTGAAGCAACACGCCCAAGCTTGCCAGAGGAATGATGTGGTGGAGGTGCTTCAGAGGCACCCGCTGCTTCGGCAGCAGCGGAGAGCATGGAAGACATGGGGATGTGCTGACTTGAGGTGCAGCACCCGCTTAGGTTGATCACACGGCACTATTTCCGGCTCTTCTTGAGCGAGGAAGAGGGCAGGGTGGCTTTCCATGTCAACCTCGGCTTTGGCCAGGACCGAGATTCTGCCGTTACCTGTCCTGGCAGAGAAGCCATGCACGCATATGCACGCGGTTGTGTTTCTTCAAATGGTCTTCCTGCAGAAATGCTTGGACCTCTTCCCGGGCAGCCGCAGCAGCCGATGCGTTCTGTACACCCGTCAGGGAGGCCAGATCCATGCCTGTACTCAAGGCCTGTCTCGCTTTGGTCTCGAAGAGAGGCAGCAAGAGAGAGAAGCAAGCAAGGGCAGGCGAACTTGGAAACGCTTCTCTTGTTTTTTCCCTGAGAAGCCTCTGGCGAAGGCTTGCCCGAGTTCGTGCTGGACCGACGAATGATCACCACTTCGGACAAGCGCTCCGCCCCCGTCATCGACACGTCCTCCATCTCCGGCTTCGGGAAGGTCCTGCTGCTGCAGCATCTGGGTGGCGCCGTGTACACGACGTCGGCCCAAGAAGGACATAGACTCATAGATTCATATGTAGACTCATCGACTCACAGACTCACAGACTCATGGACTCATGGACTCAGAGACTCATGGACTCATAGACTCATAGACTTGTAGACATGATGAATGTTCCTGTCAAAGCCCATGTTTGAACGTTTCCAATACCAGGCCCACGAGCGGGCCAGCAGTATGCGGTGAAGTTGACGAGCCTGCGGATCAACGAGAGGTGCGTTGAGCGCGAGAAGCAGATCCTGCAAAGCCTGCAGCACCCCTCCTTCCTACAGGTCCACGACTGCTTCGAGGTGTTGCCAAAGTGGTATGGCGCAGACATGGACCGCGTCTTCGGCAAGAAGGGTGTGGTGATGGACGTGATTGACACCAGCCTACAATCTTTCATGTCGGAAACGAACCCCAAGCCCTTGGACCCCTCATGGCTGCAGGATTGCCGACCACTGATGTCTCAGATGGCTTCGGCCGTGCAGTACATGCATGGGAGGGGTGTGATGCACGGAAATCTGAAGCCTGGTAATGTACTCCTCCGCACAAAGGGCACTAGCTTTGATGTGGTGATCTCTGACTTCAGTTGCGCCGTGGATGGCATGGTGCAAGGCAAGCTGCTTTCGCATCCGCGAGGTGCTCTCGCCTATCAAGCTCCACAGATGCACGCGCAGCCCCCCGAGCCTTACAGCCTCAAGGCCGACGTCTACTCGCTGGGGCGCACCTTCCAAGCCCTGCTTCAGCGCAGTGAGATGAGAGCCAATGAGGAGACCGACCTCGAAACGATTGAGCCCTTGGAAGTTCGCCAGCTGCTTAGCAAGATGCAAGCACACGCCGAGGTGGATCGCCCCAGCACCGTCCCAAACGGAGGAGAAGTGCTGCTCGCACACCGCTTCTTCGCAGATTTCTCCTGGGGCTCCTGTCGATTTGCCGCGGTCAAGGCCTCGAACTCAGGTCTTTGATCGCCAAAGCAGCAACTGTAGCAATGTGCAATGTGCCAAACGCCGAGAGGCGTGAGAGAACAGGGAACTTTGCAATTCTCACCCTGCACATGTGGCGGGCATGCTACCCAATTCTTGGATCCAAGTATAAAGAATGTGCAAACTGAACCTGGAAGCTGTCAGAAGCGCGTGCCCGACAGTGGATAGAGGTGGCTGCACGCTCAATGGACAGCTTCAGCCTCAGCGGGACTCTTGCAAGACTGCAGCTGCGTGCGCAAAATTGGAGCTTTTGCATGGCCTGGACCAAAACACAAGATCTCCGAGACTTGTGAGGCTCAACAACTGCCGACTTCCTCCTAAATCAAGTGTCGACAAAGCTGCCTCCGAGTTGATTTATCTTTTGCTGTTCACCAACCGTGGTGCCTCTCGAAGCCAGCAGTTGCCATGTGTCGGTCTCGTTCTATCCCTCTCTCTCTCTCTCACACTCCCTCCCATTGCCAGCTTTCTCTCAGTCAGCCCACCTTAGTGAAGCATCGGAGCAGTCCACGTATGCTCACTTAAACATAGCATGTGTTCTGAAATGCGGATGCACCGTTGCGACACGCATCCCGGGCCGGGCTTGGCATGCAAGTGCTTCGGACCCGCGTAGGTGCTGATGTGTGCAGCTTTGGGGATGCTGTGTAGAGTCTGGGTTCCTGGCTCAAAGGAAGCTCACGCGGCAGTAAGAGTAAGGTGCCTTGATAGCTTGGTCGCTGCTTGTCGATTGAGTGCCAAGTAGGATGGATCTCTGATGCCCGACACGTACGGGAGTTGTGTCTCGTCGACTTATCATGACCCTGAACATACTGGGGTTGTTCCGGATTCGAGCTCATGTCGTTCATGTCGCACTCCTCGGACCACAGCAGCCGCTCTGTGTTGCAGAGCAACTGTTTCGGCGAGGTTGGGCCCAAGTATGTGAAGGACTGCACCAGGAATTGGGCATCACAGAGCAAACTTGGGGGAGGCACCTTCGGAGTGGTATACGAGGCCAGAGATACAGACGGATTGAAGTTTGCAGCCTTACGGCTGGAGAGCAAGCACCCAGGATACCGCCAGCGGATGCGAGATCTGACAGAACAAGACCTGGAGACACTCACTGCCTTCGAACATAGGAACATCCTTTCTGTGCTTGGCTACAGCAAGAGTGAAGAAGCCACCGTCCTCCTCTACCCGTTAGCAGGCGTAACATGCTTAAAGGCAGCACTCGATAGTGCTGAGATCGCGTCAAAGATGGAGTGGTCGTCCAGGATCAAGATTTTCATTGGCATAGTGGCAGCTCTCGAGTATTGCTACTACTACCACAGAATGGGCGGCACTCCTTGCTACCACCGGGATGTGAAGCCCAGCAACGTGTTCTTGACGGTCGAGTGGATCCCGAAGCTTGTGTGTTGTGGTCTGTCAAGACTCATTCCACTCGTTGACGATGATAAAACAGCTGCGCTGGGCATTGTGGGTCTGGGCAGCGAGGGGGGTTTCCTCTGCCCGGAGTTTACGAGAGATCGCACGTTCGATGAAAAGTCCGAGGTGTTCTCCGTTGGCGTAACTGCCTTGCAGCCGCTTGGAACAGTTGGCAACTGGCTCGACTCCCCTTAGGGCACCAAAACCAGGGGCCCTCTCATGTCTCAGCGTGCCCTCAGGATCATCACAGGGAGAACAAGCTTTGTGGACGGAGAGCCGTCCGTTACGGACCTCCTTGACCTTTGCCTGCTCTTAAGTGCGCATGCGCGTTTGCAGAGGGGAGACGTGAACAGACGCCTGGCACGTGGATAACTAAAGCCCAGGAGCAGATATCCGAGATATCTGAAGATGATGACTCGAGTGCCGAAGATGAAGCTGTCGAAGCAGTGTTGGGAGCGCGAGACCGCCGGCCCGAGTGGGAAGCTGCCTTGCTCCCTGCCATCCGTGAATTTGCCAAGCTCACTGTGCGTCTTGGCAGCATCTAGGTGGGGGCTCGGGTGCCTGCACGCACACACACACAGACACATACACATATATTCACTTGTGTATTGCTGACGTTCCAATTCTAATTCTCTTGGCCTCGCCCTATCCGTGGCCAGTCAGTTGGTTTTTGTTTACAGGTTTCCTGTGTGCACCCTCAGTAGGTGTGGAATCCCCGCTTTGCGTTGATCTGTGGAGAGCAGCTGGCTATCTTCTTATGTTTCGCATGGCACATTCTAGACGTAAATCCGCGCGAAGTCTGAGGCAGGCCACGAGATGCACCAGGCAAGCTCGACCCAACCTCGGCGGGCTTCAGCAGCAAGCGGATGAGGCTTGGCTTAGTTGGCACAGACTACTCTCGAGGATGGGCTCCCAGCAACAAGCCCATCTTTGAGTTCTGCTATTGGTAACGCCGGTACCTTGCATGTTGTGGGACCCACACAGCCAAGGCTGCCAGATACCTGCTCCCCCAACAGCCTCAGCCCAAGGAGAGGCACTGTTTGTGCAGATGTGTCCAGCTCTGCTTGAACATTCGTGCGGGCCTACTGTTGCACTCACGGCAAAGGCTTCCAAAGAGTGGTAAGTACTGTACTGGCAAGCTGCAGCACCCGGCTTAACCACCAAGAGGAAGAACCAACTCCTGATTCACAGATCCATTCCCGTGGAGGCTATACATGTTACAAATTGCTTAAGTTTATGTGAGTTATCACCCCGCCAGAGGGCTGCGCAAGCCCGAGTATAGACATGAATGGACTCTGGGAGGAATTTTTCAGCTGGGTGAGTGAGTCCTCCATGGCATGATTCATAGAAGCCCGCAAGGAGATGAGAGGCCCAGATCCCACGGCCACGAGCAGCTTTGCCAGCGGCTAGTGCGGATGTTAATTTCGGTGCACAACGTAGTGCTGCCCAGGCAGCGATGCGATGGCTGGATACACACAGGCAGCCCCGGCATGTGACAGATTGCAACTCTTGAGTTCAGTTCTTTCTCTCACTGTCAATCACGTCAGATCCCACTGAAACTCATAGTGCCTGGATGATAGTCCAACCCTCGCGCCCGGCGATGTGTGGCAGGGCGAAGGCAGCGAAGGCGGACGGGCGGCCCTCTCAAGGCCACAGACCCCGCACTTCTGAGTGATGCATGCTTTTCAGTACTGCTTCACACAGTTCGTTTGACAGTTTGGGTGGGTTGCCGGTGCATCGTGAGGTCTCAGGATTCGCCCCCGTGTTCCGGCCGGTCCGGTTCCGAATGAACCGTCTCCTGGTTTGCGATTTTGCTTCCAATTCCGATCTAGCCCTCCTGGTTTCCGACACAGGCATGGTTTCCGATATTTCTGGATCTCGTTCCGATTTGGCCGTTCTGGCTTCGATTTTTCCGTCGATCCTTTTGTAGAGGTGCTTTGCCTCAGTCGAGCTTCGTTCGCGTGTATACCATGTGCCAAACGGATTCAGCCGCCCCAATCGTCTATTGAACGCCCCCACAGCCCTTGGTCTCTTTCGGCTGTCAAATGCCTGGTTTCGGGTTGGCATTGTTGAACTCTGTCGGGGAAGTTGCCAGGGGAAACCTATCCTGAAAGTTTTGGTGGTGGGACACAGACATTAACAATTTTTTCATCAAGATGACAGGCAACCACCGGGCACTGCAACTCGGATGATGTCTGGAGTGTGTGTTCAGAGTCGGGTCCGTCAATTTTGGAGTGGGTCTGCACCGGATATGGTGACTTGTCCGGCTTGCGTTTTCGAGGTCGCGCCTTCGATGTCCGTGCAGAAATCGAAGCTGCGACCAGGGATGTTCAGCATGCGCTTCGACCATCGAGATGCTGCCAAGCAGTTCCGGCGAGTATTCCAGATTCTGAAGCGGAATGACTTTCCAGTGCGCCTAGTCAACCCGGACGTCGGTGACGATTTTGCAATGGAGGTCTTCAAGCATTTGGATGAGATCCGAAGGGAAGAAGGAGTATTACTAGCAGTATGCACCGAGGACTATGGCGAGCGTACGGGAGTCAACTGCGACACTTTCAACGAGCTGAGAATATCATACTCGCAGCATGTGAAGATCGTACCCTTGAGGATGTCCGACGTGTACCCGCCCCAGCCCAAGGATGAAAAATCCAGAGCTCTGGTCAACGCAGTCTTTTTGGACAATGTTGCCTACGAAGACTGCCGGGGAAAGTCCGACGACGAGCTTGCCGGATTGATGATGAAGTTGCTGGTGCGACCACCATGAGCTGGCAAGGTCAGCAAAGCTTGCACTGCCTTTGGCCTTCGCGACAAAAGTGCCCGCACCAATCGTTGCTTTGTCGACAAGCTCAGCCGGCAATTTACTGTTGTTCTCACTTTAGTAATCCCCCTCCCCCCCCCTGCCCCGCCACCCCCTTCTTCCCAAAGCCACCTGCTTCAAGCCGCTGCCATTGGGGCTCCTGAGTTGCGCCTGCCACCTGCAAGGGAACCTGCTCAGAATCTTGGCCAGGAATGAAGGAAGGCAAAGCAAAGACTTGGTTTCACTTCTTGACGTGGCAATCATATTCTAGACGTAGAAAAACCTGAGTTTTTGGTTTAGGGTTTGAGGTGATGCAGATTCCAGGTTCGGCAGCTTTGCTTGATCGGTTACCTGCCCTTCAGAACACATCCTCGAAGACAATGGTGGGAGTAGGCCATGGATTTGAGGAGGCGTGCGTTGCGAAAGAAGCTGTTTTTCTTTTTTTGCGTTTATGACGCCTCAAAAACATCGGGACAGGGCAGTTCAGCATTTTTGCTTCAAGATGCCCCAAAATGGTGTACTCTAGGTGCTTAAGACCTCAATGCGACTTCCAACGCGTTGCAGGGCCAGGCTCAGCCGGTGTCGGAGGCCTCTGTGACCGTCGGAGCGAGAGTGCAGCGTGCCACGGACTGGCGCTACGGATCCTTGGATGGCAGTTGTGGACATTAGGATGTCTTGAAGTCGTCGTGGAGCATTCGGGTGGGGAGGGGTGGTGCGACTTTGGGGATTTGGACTTCGATTTTGCCGGGAAGGGCTGTGAAAGGAACACAGCAGCTTGAGGTAACCTGCAGTCCTGGGAACACAGTTAGCTCCGAAGTGAGATTGTCCTACGGTACAAAGCAAAGAAGTTTTGAAAGAGAGCAACTGCTTGAAGAGCCCCGAAGGCGCTTTGGAGGATGGCGGCCCCCAAGGCTGGAAGAACTTTGGAAGTCTTTGGTGCAACTCTATGCAAGCTCTCTTCCTTTTTCCAAAAGAAGCTATGGGGCTCGTCTTCAGAGTCAGGGAGCACCGGGTATGAAATCGGAAAGTGCAGGTGCGCCTGCATTCGTGGTTTACTGCTGTTTGGGGTCGGCTCGGGGGTAGCCGCTCTGGGACCTGACATACAATCCCGACCAAGATTACATGTGAGACAAATTACTCCAAAAAAGGCACCCTGACAGTCATCAGATCCACTTTTGATACAGGTCTCAGATCCCACCACTTCCCGCCCATGCCCTTCTACAGCCGGAGGCATCGGCTTGGTGGTTGCCTGGCGGTGTGCCGATGGCAAGGCGTGCTAGCCATGTTCACGCAGCATTCCAGCTTAAGAGTACCCAACCCTCAGCCTGCACTCAGCCTGGGCAGAGGCTGTTGGCCCAGACAGCGCGGTCCCAAAGCATCCGGGCTGGGTACGGGTGCACTGGCAGGCCGTGAGAAAGCTTCCTGGGACCTTGGCTAAATTTAAGAAGTGATGGGCTGCTCCTGGGGCCAGGTTACGGGCTATCACAAGAACTACCGCTTGGCCTCGCGCAACAACCCGGTGCATGACCTCAAGTTCGCTCTCGAGGACTGGTGACTTCGTGGGTTTCGGAAGAGGCCTCTTTTGCTGGAAGCAGGAAGCAGCACTCCATGTAGAGTGTGTAAACAGATCTCCCTAGTGGCGCAAGGACTGGGAACAGCGGCCGAGACAAAACTCAGAACACGAAAAGCCGGTTTTCCACACCTTCCTCATAAGGAAAGGAGAGCAGACATCCCCGCAACCTTCTTTGTGTTGTAGTTTGTTCTAACCTGCACAGCTGCCGATGCAGCACGGATACGAGCTCAATGGAGCTCGGGATCGGCATTTTTAACAACATGCATCCCGAGTCTCAAGGCATCGATGTGCACGAGGAAGAATGAGCGTGAAAGGAAATTGTAGGCATCCCTCTGACGGTTGAGCTGACACCCGCGAAATCCCCCACGCGGCAAATCGCAGGGCGACGAACATGTGTAGCTGAAGCAGCGCGCAGCAACCATTTGCAACAGTTTTGGAGCCAACTTCTTTCCATGGAGCCTTTCCACTGCGCGTTCGGAAGCAGGTGTGTTCAGACGTGAGTCTTCGTGCGTGCTTAAAGGACCGGGCCGTGACATCGCTGGACGCAGTGCCGAAAGGGCGCCTGCAGCTGCATCACCTGCGATGCACGTTCGGCTACCCTTGTGGACTCAAGTACCCCCACTATGCCAAGTTCGACGTGCGGCCGGAGGCATGTCTGAAAGTTGCCAACTTCGTGCCAGGGGACATCGTCACAAGCTCGCTAGCCATGGGCACGCGGAGTACGTGCATCGGCCTCAAGTACAACTCCCAAGAGAAGAAGGCCAAGTGGAAATAACACGGATAACACGCCTGAAGTACTCATGCTGCATCCGACACTCCTCCAGCTTGAATATCACGTGGGACAGGTCGAGTTGTGGTTCCACAATGTGATGGGTGAAGGTGCCGGCGTTTTTGAAGGGGACCTCGATCGGGACCTGCAGTTGGTCGGAAAGACTGTGGTGCAGGCTGAAAGTCTTGAAAATCCAATTCCTTCACAGGCTTATGCGCAAAGCTGCAAGGCTGTTGAAACGTGTGGCATCTGTGAAGGAGGTGCGACGGGAGGACGTGGAGGGCGGGGCTTCGGACGGCGAGGCGGAGCACGACGAGCAGGCTCCGGCTTTCCCACACGTTGTCAGCTCAATGAACTAATATGAGTCTAATGAGGGCGTTATCGGGAGTGTTTCCCAGTGGGGGGGCGGGGGGGGGGGGGCGTTCCACACCCAAAGCTTTTTCACAATTTTCTGTTTGCAGAATGCACTGAATTTGTCTCAATTCTGTCAAGAGTCCCACGGGGTGAACTCCATTCGACGATTGGGCTCTAGCCTGCCACTCTCGAAGCACCTGTATACGAAGCATTCGGCAAGGCAACCGCGTTGAATTCTTAAGCGCCCCGAATGACATCTCTCCACGCAGGCTCCAGACTTGACATTAAGGTGCTAAAAAGCGTTTTAAGCTCACGTGCACACCCGAAGCTGCCAAGCCATCGGATGCTGTGGTCAGGAGTGGGTCGACAGCCACCTGGAGCCCAGTCTGTGCTACGCTGCGAACGGTGGCCAGCTCCTGTCAGTCGACACGCGCGCGGACAGGGTTGTGACGAAGATGGCTTAGACATCTTGTCATGTTCCGCATCGACCACCCTGCTAGCATGGCAGTATAGCTGGCAAAGCGCGAAGCAACACCTCGAGCTTCTGCATGGAAGGAGATGATGAAGAAGTTGAAGCTTCCCTTCAAGTCTGGAGACATTATCCGAGATAAAGCAGACGGAGAGCTGATGACTTGCATTGGCGTGGCCAAAAACCCTGGGCACGAGGTGGGGCAGATACTGTAGGAGGTTCAGTGCTTGGTTGCCGAAAGTGGGGAACGAAGTGCGTGTGAGGTTGCGCGGCTGCTGCATGGCAGCTACTTGCCCGTCTGCGTGTGGTTCCACGTGGCCAACTCGGCAGGCGTGAATGAGAAGTCGTAATGATTTCAGGACGTCACGAGGATGTAGAGGATGCCGGGCAATGCCGGTGCAGGTAGAGCAGTAAATGGCGTTCTCAGGCGCGGGCATCCACCCCAAAATTCACACGAAATTGGGCAGGTGGGGCGCTCAGGAAACACGAAGCAGGCATGTAGAAATGTATGTCGTCAAACATGTCTGCCTTGTGACGCACAACAGGCTGCAGTGGTTACGCAACGAGCCCGTCTCCGGCTTGCCGCAGGCTCGGAATTAATGTGTGCTGCCTTGCCTGGATACAAGAGCCCTGAGCCTATAACCCTGAACCCCATAAACCCCAATCAAACTTCTATAAACCCCAAACCCTCAACCCCAGACCCTATAAACCCGAAAACATCCCCGACAGCCCCAACATACCACTGGAGTTCTGAAAGGACGCGCGATCGAACCCTCAAGTCCATTCCGCAGGCGGTGCTGCCTAACTTTGAAGTGAGTTGCTATAGTCACCGGCATGTGCTGGCACCTATGTATAGACATGCTGCCCCACCCCCACAGCCCCCCAGACCACTGTCCCATACAAGTATAATTTGTTTTGTCTCGCATGGCGCTGCCGGACACTATGGTGGCCCAGGACATGCTCCCCAAGCGAAAGAAGGTGGTGAAAACACACACACACACAAAGTAAATAAAAATTATGAAAGCAAACAAAACACAAAACACACACAACAAGAAAGGACAACTCTGAGTACCAGTGCCGAAACCGAAAACAAAACGAAGAATTGGCAAGACGGAACACAAACATTCACAGCTCTGGTGAAACCAACAGGCAATCAACCAAATGCAAAACAACTCCGCGCACCATCCATTCAGGTCCCGGATACTAGTCCAATTGTTCTCGTTGTTTTGCCGCTTTTTGTTTTTTGGTTTCGGTCTCACTACCGGTGCTCAGATTTGATGTTTCCTCGCCCCCACTTTTGACCATACATGCGGGAGTACTGCAGTGGAGACATAAAAGTATCTTTAGAATGTTATCTGCTCACGGTATTCCCGAATGCGACATCACCTCGGTGCTGTGTCTGGCTTCCTATCGTAAAAGGTCATAAGGGTCGTCTTGGGGAGGATTGTCGTACATGCAGACATTTGTGTGTATATGTGCACTTCAAAAAGATGTGTCGACACACACACACACATATACACATATATATATATATAGACTCTGCCAGGCAAAACAGTGAGAGCCCATCACAGTTTGTCATTTCGCGACCCGGAGTTCCAAAAGCCACGGGCCACGACAGTGTCGTATTGCGCAAGCCCCAACATCCAAACGTGATCGCATTTTCGCATGTCGCGAGCCAAGACATCCCAGAGCACTTTGGATTTCGCGAACCCAGACTTCCAAAAACTATCGACAGTTTCGAGGACGGCGAGCACGGCCACGCCTTCGCCCTAGGCGAGAGCGCGATGTTCGTTCAAAAAGCGGGCGGGGAAGGCGTTTTTTTTGGTCTAGAAGCTACATTGGTGTAGTAGATGTCTCACAAAAATGCAACGAAGAGTTCCGTTTCTTCCGAACAGTCACAGTGCGCGCCGGGCGGCTTCAGCGACCTAACCCTCTACCCAGTCTTAATCTGAACGTTGGAACCCAGTAGTCAATACTATAATCTACAGGTCAGCCGGATATCAGCTGCCTTCGCCCTCTCTCCTGCTGGCAGGTGCGGCTCCAACTACCACAGGGCAAGCAGCAGAAAACGAAACTGGCATTCGCTTCGCCAGCGACAAAGCACGTGTGGGACAGAGGGTGACATTCCGGTTCCTGAGCCACTTCGGGCCGCCAGGCCAGCTTTTCCTGGACAGCCTTCATTCGGGCGCTGCAGGAGGGGTGGCCGGTCTCCTAGGAGCAAGGGGCCAATTCATCTGTGAGCACCTTCAGCGGCTCAGTGGGTGTACAGGAACTCTCTTGGGTTGGAACTCTTGTGGTCAACGGCATGGGGAAGGCCACGACCTGTCAGAAGGTCGATGTCGAATCCGCTTTGACAGTGGCGAGATGCAAGTTCTGCCCACGGAGGATGTCTGGATCTTGAGCAGCACAAGCACGGATTCCGAGGTGAAGGTTGGTCTGCAGAGGAAGAGCAGCGTGGACGCCGACCTGCTGGATGCCGACCCAGAGTTGAAGTGGGCCATCGCAGTGAGCATGCAAGAGGTTGTTCCCATTCAGGACTTCATGCCGCAGAAGAGGACTCAGAGGACACAGGGAGAGAAGCTGCTCAGCGACCAGGTGGAGGAGTTGGACCTTGCTTACGTTGCCCTGTGCACGGAGAACTGGGCAGAAGACCGTCTGCTTGGGGCAGGAGCATGCGGTAAAGTCTACAAGGGTATCCACAGAGATGATGGCGGGGAAGCTGCACGTTTCGCGGTGAAGCGGCAGTGGTGTCCGGACGACGACATCGAAGCTCGCCAGCGTCTGGAGCGAATGAATCGGGCCGAGATCGACACGCTGACGCGCATCAAGCATCCGAACATCATCCGCCTCCTCGGCTACAGCAAAGGCCAGGAGGACATGGTGCTGATCTATGAGTTTGGGGAGCAGGGCAGCCTGGAGAACGCCTTGCAAGAAGACGCGCTTGCAGCGAAGCTGGATTGGGCTTTGCGCATCAGGATTGCGCACGGAATCTTGGCGGGCGTCCGGCACTTGCACGAACAGCAGCTGTACCACCGAGATGTCAAGCCTGGTAACATCGTCCTCATGGAAGATTTCACCCCCAAGTTGAACGACTTTGGGTTGTCCAAGTCTTTCCGGGAGGCCGAGTGCGCAGACGAGGTCCCGGAGGGGACGCCTGAGTTCATGTGCCAGCAGTACGTGAACACTCACAAGTTCGACGAGAAGAGCGAGGTCTATGCGATCGGGGTCACCCTCCTTCAGCTTTCTGGCACAAGCATCCCAACTCTGTTGTCTCGTCGCTGTTATTCTGCTCATATACAGTATATGACTCATATATGTTTCATTCATTCACTGCCTAGGATTGTCACTGGCAGCACTGACTTGCAGTCGGGGAATCCTGCGTTGATCGACCTCCTGGATGAAATCGATCAAGACGCGGCCAATGGCAGGACATCGGCTTGCCAGGCCCGTGACCGTCGACCCGACTTCGAGGACAATCTGCTACCTGTGGTTGAAGCTTTGTCCGACATGGCGGTGCATCTTGGATGAAGATTGTCTGGCTGACTTGTCTGGCTGCTATGGAATCCCAATGGCCCAAGCCCAACCCCACCGACCTAAGCCATATTCCGATGCCTGCGGATCTGATTTTCGAACCCCAAGGTCATCAGGAGGGGATGACAGTAGTTTCCATAAGCGCCGGCATGCGGCAAGGAATCACAGATCTTTGCTGTCTTTTCCTGCAACCAGGCGATGTAGAGTTTAGAGGACGAATCGTAAGGAGTCATCCCCAAGCTATGTCCCCAAATCTGCAAATTGCATAAACTGCAGATGCATAAGGATGGCTGCGGCTCCATATTTGTCTCGAGCTTGGCTGTCTGAGCTCTTTCCAAAAGTGGAGGCATCTTGGGGACGAGCTAGAGGTTTGCCTTTACGCGTCTTTTGCCGATGCTGCGGGCACATGTACGGTAAACGCATTTCCCGCTTCTGCTCTGGGCAAGGAAAGTAGGTTGGGAGCGTGACAACGAATCAAAGCACTCGCACGCAGTTTCACCAGGCGATGCCAACACCACAGGCCCCCCGAATCGCTATGTTGGACCAAAGGTGTGGGACCACAAACCCGTCGTCGAACAGAACAGAACGAGTGAGCCAAGGGCATGTTCATGGCCACCATGTATGTGAGCACGCAGTGTGCAGGACGTTGAGCGCGCAATTTCAGACATGAGCCTTGGGCCTTGCAAGGCAACGGCCGCAAGCTTGGAGAGGAACACAGAACGATCCAAGCTCCAGACCGACCAGGTGGGATCCCGCATGCTCCCGAATTCCGTGGTCGAACATGACTAGACTTTGTATGTTGTTGACAGGCTATGGGTATCATAACTTAGCAACTTTGTGCTGCAAGTCGCACTTCAGGTGGAGGAGGTGGAGATCGCGTATGTTCAGCACTGTACACAGAACTGGGCAGACGAACGAGTCCTCACCAGGGGTGTCTACGGCACGGTGTACAGGGGAGTGGATGCAGAAGGTCCTGGCACTTGTCTGTTTGCCGCGAAGCGGCTAGAATGCCAAGACAAAGAACGCCGCGAGCACATGGAACGTGTGACCCAGAAGGAGATTGAAAACCTGACAGGCTTCGCGCATCCCAACGTCGCACGATTGCTTGGATTTTCCAAGACCAAGGATGCGATCGTGCTTTTGTATCAGTACGGGCTTTATGGCAGCCTTCACAACAATCTGGAAGGTCCTGCAGTCTGGTTTAGACCGTCAGAGATAAGTTGCTCTTCACGAGCCATTTCAGGGTTGGGGCGAAACGAAGAAGGGGGGGCGGGGCAGGGGGAGGTCGCTCCTTTGGAGAACGCAACGTCTTCTAGCAACTCTGGAAATCAGGCCAGCAAGCAGATTCACAATCCTTGCCGGCGTGTTGTATGGCACACGCAGAATGTAGAAACTAATGGAACAAAGCACAATCAGGGCCAGTATCTGGGGGGATGGCGAATCAGCAGTCACTGTGTGTGTGTGTGTGTGTGTGTTTTTGCTCGCCTAGTCTGTGGGGTGTTTCGGGATTGGTCACCAGAAGGTCATGGCCAAGCCCAGCGATTGTCTTGGACCGGCCGCACCTGGATCATCCACGGTGTCCTTGAGGCCATCAGCTTCCTTCACGAAGCTGGCGTTTTCCATCGTGATGTGAAGCCTGGGAGCATCGTGCTTGCTGAGCCCTCGAACGCCCAGGACTGCATCATAACATGCTGTCCCAGATGTTGTCTCGAAAGATGACATGTCTCCGCATGGCCCAGGTGCCAAGTAAGTGCTAGATATGGGCAGCGTGTCAAGGACGGCATGCTGCTCGTTCCCAAGTTGATCGACTGCGGCTTGTCGCGGTTCCTCCCGCCGACAGAGAGTCTCGACCCCATTTCGCAGTGCTTTTGGTTAGCTTCACTGATTTTCAGCACACTGAAGTCTGTGCAGCTCCCTGAGCCGGTGATTTCCCTCCAAACAATCCGGTAAGGAAGACGCTTCGCGCAACGACGGGTATGCCTGTGCTGGGCACTCCCGGCTTCATGTGCCCAAGGTATATGACAACCGGGGTGTTTGATGCCAAGAGCGAAGTCTATTCCGTCGGGGTCACCATGATCCAGCGCCTGGCCTTCAGCTGCGGATATTTCTTTTGCTAAATGTAAACGCTTGTGCACGTATGTGCACGTAGTCACGTAGTCCAAGCAACGCACCTCGGAGTTTCTTGTCCGCACAGTCGGGCAGGAAAAGCGGCCGCGGGTCGAGCTAAACACGCTTATCATCCGCTTTGATCAGTCTAGAGTTGCTATATGTTGCTGTGGAGTCTAGAGATGACCCCTGAAGCCCTGTTTGCCTTGGTAGCGGTGCCAAACCTTCGGTGAACTTGTTGTTTGTGCTCGTGCGTTGCAAAATGAAGGCTTCGGCAGGGCGGCGGGAGCTGCCAAGAAGCTAAAAAGGCAGCAAACAGGTGGTTCCGGAAGGGGGCGGTCCTTTTCAGGGAGGTCAGCGGTTGGGTTTGTTCCAAACTTCCAAACGAATGGCTCCCAACTCGGCCCCACCGAAAATTGCATTGTGAGGATCATCTCTGGTCTGCTGGACTTCTGCAACACTACTCTGCAAGACATCGTCAACAGCAAGGGCCGCGAGAAGCCCAAGAGAGTTGCAGAGGCCCGTGATGGCCGGCCTCCTTGTCAGGCCGAGGATGTCGAAGTGGTACAGCAGTTGGCGAACTTGGCTGCGCTGCTTGGACTGACATGAGAATCCCTTGGCCAGGGCCAAGAAGCACGGCCTGCAAACTCCATGTCTCTGATTCTCTCTGATTCTAATGTGAGAACCTGGCACCCAAGGCAAGCCACGGCCGGGCACGCCAAGCGATGCACCGTTCAGGTTTTGCGCAGTCAAACCGAAGCACCTGGCAAGCTCAGCTCTCAAACCAGTGTTGTTGCTTAAGGCGGGTGTGCGACGCTGACGCTTGGAGGCGTCCATGGCGTACTGCCATTGGTTTTCCGGATGAATCCGGGTCTCAAGCTGGAAACCAGCTTTCGAGATGAATAAAAACCTGTAGATAGTAGATATGTGCCCGTGCCGGACTGGGCATGGCCATAGTCATAGAGCATCTGGGGCCCTCGAGAACCTTCGTGAAAGTTACAGTGCATGGTTCGACTGCTAAGGAACTCGGGGCAACCGATGGTTTAGTTTGCTGCACATAGGGTAACCCAGTACAACCAGACCCAGCACAACCAGCAATGTGGCGTTTGCCGCACAAGCCCGCAGGAGTGGTAAAAGGGCTGCGGAGAGCGTGGCGTCCAGGCTTCCCCTCCCCCCTCTCCCTCCTCTCCCCCCTCTCCCCCCTCTCCCCCCTCTCTCCCCCCTCTCCCCCCTCTCCCCCCTCTCCCCCTCCCCCCTCTCCCCGCTCTCCCCCCTCTCCTCCCCCCCCTCCCCCTCCCCCCCTCTCCCCCCTCTCCCCCCTCTCCCTCCCTCCCTCCCTCCCTCCCTCCCTCTCTCTCTCTCTCTCTCTCTCTCCCTCTGCTCTCGCTGTCGCTCTCGCTCTCGCCTTGGCTCTTCACAACAATATATTCACCCATACCTCTTTCTGCATTTATGGCCTTTATCTAAATGAATATACTAATATCTACACACATATGTAGCGCAAGTACACGGAAGTTCTGTCCGCACATGAACTGGGGTATTGCGTTCAGAAACCCGGCATGTACGTGTTTCATGCTGTTGGGACACATCGGGTCAAGCTTGGAGATGCTTTTTTTCTCGATGTGCCCAGCGCCAGCAGCATGGTGCGAGCCTCCTCCGTCGGAAAAAGTTAAGGAGCGGCGCGGACTGTTTTCAACTGGTGGATCGAAGTTCCCAAATTACAGCGTCAACTTCTCAACCTTCCGTACACCCTACCCCTTGCCCCTATTTACTAAGAGCAGGAGATCTTGTGCCGAGTACGACTCTTCAGGAGTCGCGTGAGCTGGAAGCCGACTATGTCAATATGTATATATATATATACATATATACATGTAAATATATATGTATGCATAGTATTCGTACCAGTCTTGAGACATGTCATCATCATGTCCTTACTCACATGGCCAATCCAAGAACGAATACCACATAGCAGTGCTTTGCACATACGCGTACTCATGCTTCCATTCATGATTCTTGGGCTGCTGGTCTTGCCTTGCTATGCATACATTTTTAATGGGTATAGCTCAGTTCGAGGGCCCGGAGTGCAGGACCCGATGCAGGGCCAGCCGGTATCGGAGCAGTTGGTGACCCTGGGTGCAACAGTTCAGCGTGGGCCTGACTGGCGCTACAGAGTCTCGACAGCACGAATCTGGTACTCTAAAGGCCCACTCGCGAATCGCGGATTCCCGGACCCTCGGGCTTGCTCTGAGAATTCAGCGGCATGCCGCGGTGGCGCCACATGGTCAGGGCTTCGCTTAAGGAACCAACAAGAGCTCAGGGTGGACACCTGCCCAGAGAGCTACAACGTCTGACGATTGCCCCATGCTTTCCACATGTTCCCACATCCACAAAATCCATCTGGGCCTCCTATCCTGTCGTCCTCGTACCTTAGAGACCGTCCTCTGGTGCCCTGGCCCAACTACTGAAGGTGCTGACGAAGATGGCGGCCCGCGAGGCGTGGGGAAGCTCTTGGGTTGATGGGGTTTGTAGGGTTCAGGGTGTAAGATCTGTTTATGAGGCTCTTTGAATGCTGAAAAAGGGGGGGCGGGGGGGCTCAACCGAGGTGTTGGCATCGTGATGGGCTGGCGATCTGCCGATGGCCAGGCCGTCCCCCCCTCCTCGCCCATGCGGGAGGGCTTTGAGGTTGAATGTGTGTGTGTGTGTGGGGGGCGTGGGGGTATCAAACATTGGGGGGACGGACACGAGACACACTCCTCCAATTTTGCAGGCTTCTGGCCCAGAAGATGCAGTGCCAGCACACCGTGGATGGGTGCGAGTACAGTGGCAGGTGGGAAGCTGCATGATCATGCGCAGTTCGGCTCGCCCAGATCGCACCGGGTCCAAACGAAAGTCCGGGGGGATTGCCGTGGCTGAGCGAAGCACACGCGGTTGGTGCGTTGGCTTAGACTGGAGGCCTGCTCGCCTTTGGTCGGACATCGCGCTCTGGCCTAGGTGCAGGCCTAGGCCATCCCGACACACGGATGGCCTCGCAAATAATGGCATGCCTTTGGCCTTGCAGAGGGTGCTACTCTTGCCAGTTCCCGGGCAGGCTCTGTACTGGAAGTCGACCTTCCTTCTAGATTCTGGGTCACATGCGCTTTTTTGGGGCTGTCGGGGGAAAGCATGGCAAGCGCGTACTTTCCTGCGTTTGGGGCGGGCAGGCGGGGTCTAAGGAGATGTGCATTTGTGTTGCAAATGGCGCACTCGCTGCGGCCCCGTGCGCGTTCCCGTCAAGAGCAGAACTGTCGTCGCTTTTGGCTACTTGGTCTTGGAGTGTGTTTTGGTGTCATCTTCAATTGAAGTAATCTTGGGTGTCTTACACTGTTTGGGGTCTATGCTGGCTTCCTCAGTGGAGCCACAGGCTGGCCCATAGCCCAAGCATGACAAGATGTGTTTATTTCATGCGTGAATACCACATGCAGTTGCCCAGCCATACGCGGTGACATACCCGATCTTCCAGAGATACCGCCCCTCCCCCTCCCACTGCGTCCCGCAGAGGTGACTGGATACTGCAAGAACTATCGCCTGGGTTCCAGCAGCAGCTCTGTGAGTGACCTCATGTTTGCTTTTCCGCAGGACCCCAAAATCAAGAGCCAACAGGGAGCCCAGACATTTTTGAAATCTTTGGTGTGTGTCGAGCGTATCGACATTTGAGTTCACTAGGCTCGCTAGCTTTACGCGGCCGGCATCTCTTACTGCCTAAAGGACCCGGCCGTCACATCGCTGGACGCAGTGCCGAAAGGGAGCCTGCAGCTGCATCACCTGCGATGCACGTTCGGCTACCCTTGTGGACTCAAGTACCCCCACTATGCCAAGTTCGACGTGCGGCCGGAGGCATGTCTGAAAGTTGCCAACTTCGTGCCAGGGGACATCGTCACAAGCTCACAAGCCATGGGCGTGCGGAGTACGTGCATCGGCCTCAAGTACAACTCCCAAGCGAACAAGGCCAAGTGGAAGCAAAGTCAGGTTCTGCACGCCTGCAAGTACTCATGCTGCACCCGCCCGACACTCCCCCAGCTGTGGTATCACGTCACGTGGGACAGGTCGACATGTGGTTCCACAATGTGATCGGCGAAGGTGCCGGCCTTTTCCCAGGGGACCTTGATCGTGACATGCAGTTGGTCGGCAGGACTGAGGTCCAGGACCCCTTGCATGTTCTTTCTGTTGTAAAGCCAAATAAGGAGTAGAAAGTGCGCGGAGCGCAAAGCCAAAGCACCAAGCAGGCAGTCAAACAGGCCATTATCCCTTGCTGTATACCGTCATACATACCATTATGTACCTTGAGTGGCTGTTGCCGGCAGGAGGCTCAGCCTGGGGACCTGGAGAGCGCCTCTGACGGCGAGATTGAACATGACGAGCAGGAGTTCGCCTCAAATCCTTCCGACCAGCCTCTCAAAACTCCATTGCAAAAACTGGCCCTGACGGCCCTGACTTGAACCCGGACCAGAGTCGCCGTTTGTGCAGCTTGTTCCGATGCCCCTCAGGAGTGGGTCAGCAACAACCTGGCGCCTTCTCTCCGCTACGTCACAAAGGGCGACCAGCCCCTGCACGTCGACACACGCACGGAGCTGTGACCTAAATCGCAGTTCAAGACCACCTGGTTCAATTTCATTCAAGAGCTATAGAGACCCGAAGTGACGAAAGATTGAGCATGGAGGAGATGATCGCGAAGTTCAAGCTCCCCTTCAAGTCCGGGGACGTCCTTCGGGATCGGGAGGACGGCGAGCTGATGACTTGCATCGGGGTGGCGGAGCGCCCCAACTACCAGGCCTTGGCTCTTCAATTGCTGGTGCCACCGTAAGGGATGCTAGGAAGACGTGCCCACAGCTTCCCAGGTTCCGGGACACCTTTGCAACAGCGCTCCTCCGGTCAGCGTGTGGTTTCATGTGGAGTCCTCCTCAGGCCAGGGCCCAGAAGCAGCATGTGAAGAAGGGAGGGTCTTGGGAGTTTACAGCCAGAATCTGGATTCTGGGCTGCAGATGCAGATGATGCGGCCCTGTCTCCAGGTGCCGGCATCAACAACGGCATGCACAGGATGTTGGGCAGGCGGGGTCTCAAAGCCGCCGCCCCCCCCCCCCCCCCCCAATCCATTCTACTCCCCATGTCCACCTCCAGGTTCGAGCGCGTCCGCAATGCGCCGGTGCCTGATTTGCTCCCGCCGGAGGACAAGCTACCAGCACAGGTGCGCACAATGGGGCTGAAGCAGCCGAAGCATGGCTGCAACCTTCGACAGGACCCCTCGGGCTGGGACGTAGAAACCTACAGAGGCACGGCCTCCCGTCGCCTGTGCATCCGCCTAGAGGCCGCATGTGCAGACGCATCCCGAAAGGCATCCTCGCCAGCCTCGACGGGCAGCTGTGCTTGGACTTTGCCTTTCCCCGGGGGAGGAACCAGGCTTCCTGAAGTGAAAAGTGCGACAGATGTCGCGCGCATTTGGTCCTTTACAGCTTTGTGCAGGCAAGCTCAGGTTGCAAAAATGTTGGACTCGCTTTAGTACGTAGGGGTCCCCCCCCCCCCCAAAACAATTTTGGGGTTTTCGGGGATCCTGAATAGTGTGGGCTGGGGCTGGGACGGGGCTGGGGGTAGGGCGGCTAGGGGTCGAGGGTTGAGGGGAAGCCTTGAAGCTGGAGGGTCTAAGCTTTCCAGGCTTTGTAGCTCCACGGTCGCCGGGGCTCCGCATAAATGCGGACCACCGAAACAACTTGCTAAAGCGAATCAGGGCAGTTCGTGGGCTACTCCCTTGGAAAATTGTTTGGGGGCCTGTTTCGTAATGAAATTTTAAATGGAATTTAAATAAGGCTGGACACCAAAAAAATCCGGAGTTTCTTATTCAAAACTGTCTTTAGTTTTTGGCTCCCCGGCCCCCCGCCCTTCAACCCCGGCCGGCAAACATCGCATAATTGAGGACCACCCTAAACAATGGGGGGTCCCCTATAGGATTTCCGGAACATCGCATAATAGTGCCCCTTCTCACTAAAGCCAGTCCAACATTAACAGGCTTCCATGTGAAGCACCAGTACGTCAAGATTTATAACGAACACACCATCTCCTTTCTTGCAGCAGATCGTAAGAAGGACTGGAGCTCTTACATCACGAAGCACATAACAAAGAGACCAAGCTGCAGCAGCCTGCGGCAGGCAAGAGTGGATCTCTTTGACGTGCGGGAGGAGGTCACTTTTGCTGCAGGGGGCATTTTTCTGTTTTGTTTGGAGCTCGTACGTTCCATGTGTGACAACCAAAGGTGTTGCGACTCGTCACCGGCGGTTGGGTGCCGGGAACTGTGTTGACGCTCCCTGACGCCCGGACTCAGACAAGCCTTGCTGAGCCGCTAAGCGCTTGTGCCTCTCGGTGCTGGATCCTGGTACCTGGCCCTATAAGCAGATTAACGCGCAGCCTTCCGAATGCAGCCCTCCACCCCGACCGTGAACCACCAGCTAAACCCAAGCACCTTCACCTGGCCTGTGGCCACCTAGCGCTGAACCTCCACAGCTCAGGAGCAGCCGTTTTCCCGTTTCACTTTGGTGGGCCTGGGCCCAGATGATCAGGGTGGTCCCAGCGTCTGGTGGTACATGGAAGAAGAGCATGAGGCGTTCACACCATCCCCCCGAACCTTTGACATCTGATATGTTTTTTTGGGGGCGCTAGGCTGGGTGATCTTGAGTGTCCTGTGTGTCCTGGACAGGCTGACCGTGGTGCTGGCATTCTGAGTGGATGGGAGGCCGGCAAAGTGCGGGGCTTCATGAACAGTAAAGGATACAGTATATGAGGTAGGGCTTTCGTTTTGGGCATTTGGTAATTTTCTAGATGGTTGCTCAGCATACTGGTGAGTGTACATATGGGGTGGTGTGTGGGAAGACTAGTTGTCGATACTTAGTGGAATCAAGCCAGCAGCCAGCATCCTGCATTAGCTGCGCAGAGCCCGCAGTCCTGAGCTCAGATGCTGCGGAGTCGCCTGCGAGACACCGGCGAGCGCGTCGATCTGAAGGTTCTCCGCTTGAAAGAACGCTGAATCCTTTTTGAGTCTTGACTTGGTGCTGCTAGCCCCTAGAAAGCCCGGGACCGCCACCGAGACCTCACTTGGCCCTGAAACCTTGTCAGTGTCCATTCAGGCCCCGAAGTTTGAAGGGCCTTTGTGTCAAGGAGTCAGGCAAGCTCATGGGCAAGGCTTTCAACATTTTGGATAATATGGCCTCTGCAAGATGTGGCTGCACAGTGTCGTGCCGCACGTGCCGATTCCGTTATATTTCCGTTCCTTGTAGTTCAAGGCTGAGAAAGTGAGCCTCACCTTCTGATGTCCTCCCCCATGGCACTGTACCACTTCTTAATGGTGAAGCATGTGGTGGTTTGTTTTGTGGAAAGGGTGCATCATCGAGGGTGGTGCCTGTTGCCGGGCCACTCTCATTGTATCATTGTGCTGAAGTGGGACGAAAACCGGCGACACTCCTGCAACAAAACCGCTCGCCGGATTGCAGATTTCAGCAACGCTGCGAACGGGTACCGGTGTCTGCTGCTATTGTCACACGTTTCGGCACATGTCGCCAGGTTCTTTCAGAACGTCTACAGGCCGGAGATGTACCAAAACGTCACCCACCAGTCGTGCAAGGATTGCAAGGATACCCGCAGACTGGAGGCCCCTTGCAATCACATTCGGCTTCGGGTATCTTCCATTCGGCCGAGTTGGAAGCTAGGAAAGGCGTAAAGCGTGTCCGAAAGTGGTATCCCCCGAGGTCCACTTGCGCAAAGGCCCCTATCCTTGGCGGCGCCCGCCGCGGCGCTCAGCCACGCCAACGCCCGGGTGGGGCTGAGGGTGACGTTTCGGTTCCTGAGCAGGCACCTCGGCCCAGATGGCGCCTCGAGATTGTCTCAAGGTGGCATTGACCAAGGCCTCGCTGATCTCGTAGGGCCTGGAGGCAGGCTCGTCTTCGAACACCTTCAAAGGCTCAGTGGTAAGCCGGGCACCCTCCTTGGATGGAAATCCAACGGTGTGGGTCATGGTGAAAGCCAAACCTTGAACGAAGCCTGGTGTCGCATCCGCTTCGACACGGGTGAGCAAGAGGACCTTCCCATGGAAGACTGTTGGATTCTGCCAGCTGCTCAAAACCAGGTTCCTGGGCTGTGCACACTTAGAAGTTGCTTAGAAGCTCATGCAAGCTTTGCTTGACACCTTAGAGGCTTAAATTGGCTTAAATGCTTCCTTGCCGAGTGTCGAAGAGTCTGAGGTAACGGGAGGCGCGGGAGGCGCGCAGGACCTTTGTGCAGGCAGCGGCCTCAGGCCAGAAGTCTCCACACTTTCTGATAAATGGGAGGCCTCTTCATGTTTTTAACCTAAGGAGGTGCTTCGATGCAGCACAGCCAGGCCCGAGGCCCGCAGCTGACTGGGGCAAACGCGCGAGTTGGGTTGAGGGTGAGCTTTCAGCTTCTGAGCCACGCTGGAGCACATGCTTCAAGCATGGTGCCTGCCATGAGTCACATGCTCGGGGAAACTGGGCAAGCCCTTGGTGCCCACCTTGTCAAGCTCGGCGGCTCTCCAGGAACTCTCTTGGGCTGGAAGGCAAGTGGTATTGTACACGGCGAAGGCCAGAACTGTCCTGAAGCCTGGTGCAAAATCCGCTTCGACACTGGTGAGACGCACGCTCTTCCAATGGAGGACTGTTGGATTCTGCCTGATGCTCCGGCGGCTCCGGCGCCGGTGCCTCTCACAGCTCCTGTTGCTCCCTCACCGGCCCCCACACGAGCAGAGCCTTGGTACGACCTAGCCGAGGATCCAGAACTGAAGTGGGCGCTGGAACTGAGCATGCAAGAAGCGCCACCCAAGCAGCCGACGCAGCTCGAGAAGCTGCTCGGCGACCAAGTGGCGGAGGTGGATCTTGCTTATTTGGTCAAGTGCACGGAGACGTGGTGCGAAGACCGAATGATTGGGGAGGGAGCATATGGCAAAGTCTACAAGGGTGTGGACCCGGACGATGGTGAAGCCGCACGTTTCGCGGTGAAGCGGCAGTGGTGTTCGGACGACGACATCGAAACTCGCCAGCGTCTGGAGCGAATGAATCGGGCCGAGATCGACACGCTGACGCGTATCACGCACCCGAACATCATCCGCCTCCTCGGCTACAGCAAGGGCCAGGAAGACATGGTGCTGATCTATGAGTTTGGGGAGCAGGGCAGCCTGGAGAGCGCCTTGCAAGAAGACGCGCTTGCAGCGAAGCTGGATTGGGCTTTGCGCGTCAGGATTGCACGTGGAATCTTGGCAGGCGTCCAGCACTTGCACAAACAGCAGTTCTACCACCGGGATGTCAAGCCGAGTAACATCGTCCTCATGGAAGATTTCGCCCCCAAGCTGAACGACTTTGGGTTGTCCAGGTCTTTCCGGGAGGCCGAGTCCTCGGACGAGGTCCCGGAGGGGACGCCTGAGTTCATGTGCCGGCAGTATGTGAGCACCCGCAAGTTCGACGAGAAAAGCGAGGTCTATGCGATCGGGGTCACCATCCTTCAGTAGTTGAGCCTCAAGAGAACCCGTGTTTTTTTTCTTTTCTTTTCTTTCGTGCGGAGTTGCAGAGTAGGCGTCAGAATCTTAAGGGCGATCCCTGCGCAAGGCTTGTCACTGGGATGCTCGAGTTTTTGAACGGCAGCCCGTCACTGGCAGACCTCCTGGAGGAGCTGGAGGAGGAGGAGGAGGAGAGCCTGGCTCAAGCAAGTATCCGCGATGCTCACGATGAACGCCCCAACTGTGACTTTGGTATGCCGCTCGTGGAGTCCTTGGCAGGCTTGATCGTGACGCTCCGAGATAAAAAAGCAGCCCTGAGGTCTTTCTTGGCTTTCTTGCTTAGCACATTCTTCTTCGGGGCTGAAGCCCTCGAAGCCTTTGTCAACTCAGGAGTGCTGCTGCCCCATATCCGTCCCGCTCGCTGCTGGAGCCACTCTGCCACCAAGCTGAAGAGACTTGACGCAATGTCTCGCACCGTGTCTTTCTGACCTCAGACACCTTCGGGTCCCATGGTAGGGATCGTTCCCCGCAACTCAACACAAGTCAAGAGATGTGCGTAAAAGTAGGGCGAAACGTTGTTCTGAACTCTATGAGGAGTTCAGGGTTTCATTTTGGCAGTGGGAGGTTCAGACTAAACTATGTGGCCTTGGGTGTGAGGCTGATCGTGCACCAGGAATCATTCACTTGACTGTTCAGTTTAGCTTGCGATCATGAGTATGCCAATGAAGCCAGGAAGCAGTAAAGATTGCAGATGCGCTCGCGGCCAGTTTCGAGCGAGGGACGACGAGATGCAGGCTGGTCAGCGATGATGTTGAACAGATTGATTTCGAGTACGTGACAAGCTGTACACAGAACTGGGCCAAAGACCAACTCCTGGGGAGGGGTGCTTTCGGTGAAGTTTACAAGGGTGTGGACACTGGCGAGGGTGGCGCAACGCTGTTTGCCGCAAAGCGTGTGGATTGCCAAGACGAGGAAAGTCGTCAGCGCCTGGAGAAAATAACTGAAACCGAGATCAGAATTTTGTCGCAGTTCACTCACCCCAATATTATCCGGCTGCTCGGCTACAGCAGGGGGCATGAAGTCCTTGTGCTGCTCTACGAGTACCAAGAGCAGGGCAGTTTGCAGATGAACCTGGAAAAAGATGATCTGGCGCGGCAGCTTCTGTGGCAATCGCGGGCCGAAATTGCACGTGGTGTCATCGAGGCCATTCACTTTCTGCACACCAGTGACCCAGAAGGTGTTTGCTATCATCGAGATGTAAAGCCAGGAAACATTGTGCTCACCAGCCAGCTGCAGCCCAAGCTAATTGACTGTGGATTAGCACGCCTGCTGCCGCCTAGTGAGACACTTGGTTGATCCAACAACCTTTTTTTTGTACCGATGATAGTTGAGTTGATCCTAAGCCACGGACGCAAGCAGAGGGATGTGAAGAGGTAACAGGGATGATTTTGTCTTTTCTGGTGTTGCCAGACTGTGCCTTCTATGACACAGTAAGGAAGACGCTTCGGGCAACTACAGGCTTCCCCGTGATTGGGACACCCGGGTTCATGTGCCCAAGATACATGAGGAGTGGATTGTTCGAAGAAAAGAGCGAGGTCTATGCGATCGGGGTCACTCTGCTTCAGCATCCTGGCTTCACATGGTCCAAGGAAGTTTAGCAGGATGGCAGACCAGATTCATCTGGCTTCTCCGGCTTGCTCCAAAGAAGCTTCTGTATCCAGTACATCGCCGTGCCTGTTGCATTTGCCTTCATAGAAGCAGTCGCACTAGGAACGAGGCGCCTGTAATGCACAACTTTCGCATCTCTCATGTAAGCTCAGGATCATCACGGCCATGCTGGATTTCTCAGATGAGACGCTGACCTCTCTGTTGAATACAAAGGGCACGGAGCAGTCCAAGAAAGTGGTCGAGGTGCATGACTGCCGCCCTCACTGTGAGGAGAAGGAAAGCTGGATGATACAGACTATGGCAAACATGGTTGCGAAACCCGCAGGCAGTTTGCATCCTTTGTGTTTGGGGCGAAAGCTGTGCATGTGCTGTCTCAGTGCAGGTGCCTGAAATGGCAACCATATCCCCTAGAGAATCAAGGGTTCCGATTTGTTCCCTAACAGTCATACAGCATTAGGGCCCATCCGTGTAATTAACTGCAAACAGCCAAGGCAAGCCACTGCCGTGCACCGCACCCGGTGTTTGCTGGAACCGTTGCGCAACGAAGCTGAAGGCCTTTGCAGCCTTAGTGGTGATGATCACCACGACACTTCGGGATGAAGGATCCCAAACATACTTGGCCAATCTTGGCCAATAGAATGATACAACATGTTTCACCGCAGCAGAATTCATTTGCTGACTGCTGCTTTTGTTGCTCATGGCTCTCGGTGCGGCATCTGAATCCTTTGTGCTACAGCTGATTGTGCCCGAAGGGTATGGACTTGGCTGTGGATAGTTGGAAGGCTGGCTCCAGCAAGGTGCAATTTCCCGCACTTTGCTTCGTGTCGGTGCTGGTCTGCCTTCTTCCGATGCTGGTGGGTAACAAACCCAGGCCAAGAACGGGCAAACACCCATGCGACAAGGATTGGGCCCAACACTGAGCCAGCAAAAATCAGGGCTTTCTACCGGTTGCAGGCTTCGGCGCAACCAGGCTTCTCACAAGACACGACCAAGCTCCAGCTGGATCGCTTGAACCTTGCACCCTTCTCAACCCCATTGGAGCACGCAACTTGTTCTGTGTACACCTTTTATCCTGCCTGCACCCCTTCTGGAGCTCGCCTGGGAACTATTAATTGCCCGCTGATCTACAACTCAGAATAAATCAGAATTTGAGTTCTTGCTATTCGATCTGGTCGACCTTGCGCCTTTGAGCACGTGCCGCAGCAGCAGCAGCAGCAGCAGCAGCAGCAGCAGCAGCAGCAGCAGCAGCAGCAGCAGCAGCAGCAGCAGCAGCAGCAGCAGCAGGGCATTCTACGCTCGCCTCATCGACGCCTTAAAAGCTTCCTGCGCTGCACGAAAGCGTGCGAGGAAGATCGAGGAAGTGTGTGAACTGCTTGAACTCCTTGACCCAAGTCCAGGCTCAATATCCACAGGGTGTCATTGCGTCCGCCAGATCTCGGCTTAAAGGGTGCTCCTCTGCCTGGGCCTATCCGATGTCGTCTCGATTTGAAGTCGAGCCTGGGCCAGAATCGCTTAGGTCACTTTCAGGGCCTGGAGGATCCTGGTCTGGGGCTGGGGCGTGGGGGCTGCCATGAATCTGCGGGTCAAGTCGACCATGAAGAGAAAGCAGGCTTAGGTAATGGAAACTGCGGTGAGCGAAAATAGATGAGAGCGTTTGTATGTTGTCCCAGGGCTACATTGCGAGGAACATGTTACTCAAGATGAAGATGTTACTTGATGCCAGCAACGCACGCTTGTTGTCCACACGTCGGTGCGAAAGGTTTCGGAAGGCTGGTCAACAAGTGGTCAACATTAGGGCTGGTCAACGCACGCTTGTTGTCCACAACGTGGGTGCCAAAGGCTTTGGGGGACTGGTCAACAATGGGGCCGGTCAACGCACGCTTGTTGTCCACAACGTCGGTGCGAAAGGCTTTGGGGGACTGGTCAACATTGGGGCTGGTCAACGCACGCTTGTTGTCCACAACGTGGGTGCGAAAGGCTTTGGGGGGCTGGTCATTGGGACTGGCTTTGGTGGGGCTGGTCAACATTTTGGGGCTGGTCAACGCACGCTTGTTGTCCACAACGTCGGTGCGAAAGGCTTTGGTGGGGGGGCTGGTCGATCAACATTGAGGCTGGTCAACACACGCTTGTCGTCCAGAACGTCGGTGCGAAAGGCCTTGGGGGGGGGGGGGTTGGTCAACATTGGGGCTGGTCAACGCACGCTTGTTGTCCACAACGTCGGTGCGAAAGGCTTTGGGGGGGCTGGTCAACATTGGGGCTGGTCAACGCTTGTTGTCCACAACGTCGGTGCGAAAGGCTTTGGGAGGGGCTGGTCGACATTGAGGCTGGTCAACACACGCTTGTTGTCCAGAACGTCGGTGCGAAAGGCCTTGGGGGGGCGCTGGTCAACATTGGGGCTGGGGGGGGCTGGTCAACATTTGGGCTGGTCAACGCACGCTTGTTGTCCACAAAGTCGGTGCGAAAGGCTTTGGGGTTGAGGTGTGCAGAAAGGAGAAGCCATCCTTCGAATGGCTAGACTTTTGCAAGTCCATTCCTTCGACAACAAGTCAAAAAGGTTGGCATCGTCTCGACACAGTGTGGCTTACAACTGCCCATACCTGCAACGTGTCTTGGACCCCCCAACAATCCTAAATCTTTGCATGGCATTGCAGACAAGATCATACCGGCAATCCGCCACGAGCGGCTGATTTCGCATCTGACCATAGCCATAACCCACATGTGGGCATGTTCGAGTCGGCATCGTACCTTGTGAGCTTCATGACCATGCCGCAGCCACGGGCTTGAGCAGAACTAATCTCCCTTTGTTGCCTTCGCAGCAAGCTACCTTGGACGAAAGCGATGCCTTGCATTCAGGTGGTTCGGTTGTGGCCTGGTGGTGGTGATGAGACGCACTTGGACTATGATGGCATCCTCGGCCCACGCAGCTTTGACACGGTGAAGCCGCCTGGCTTCAATGATGACCGGGCTTTTGCTGCGGCGCCAGTCTATAGTAGAAACCGCCGTGGCCTAGAGTAGCTGGATTCGCCACGCTGGCTGCAGCACGCGTTTTTTGCTCCCCATGTGGGTACTTGTATAGTGCAAGAAGTCCAATGTTGTGCTGTCGAGGCATAGACTTGCACCCTAGATCGGCAGATATCTCCGCAGCTAAGGCTTGGCAAGCTCCCTGCCGCGCTCTTCAAGCCTGGGGCGCAAGGAACCTTGGACCAGTTCTACGCAAGGGACATCTTTCAGGTGAAGGTGCTCGAGACCGAGCATCCTGGGCTTTTCATGCTGACTCTCTATCCCTGGCCTTGGCCAGTCGGTGACAATGAATACAACGACTTTGCCTTCCGCCTTATGTCCCAAAGCTTCCGGGAGGTTAAGGACATTGAATACGTACTTGGAACCGCTCTGGTCTTGCGCACAGCGCCCAAGCCGAAAAACAGCATCATGAAGATCCCACCACCACGCCAGGACCTTGTCCTGGACTCGTTTTGGGAATTGGTGCGCCCGATCTTGGAGCCTCACGGCCTACCAATTCCGAAGGGAATGCCTGGGGCCAAGGCAAAGTCTCAGGCGGCACCACCAAAGTCCGGAAGCATCCCTCATGCCGCGAGCGTTCCCGGTGCAGGTTTTGCCAAGGCATCCGGCCGGAAGCCTCCACCCCCGAAGCCCTCGCAGCCTTCGCAGCCTTTGCAACCTCCGGCTTCCAAGCCTCCGGCCTCCAAGCCTTCCACAAAGCCTTCCGCCCCGAAGGCTCCCAACCACTTCTCAGCTCTCGCAGAGAGCGCAGAGAGCGGGGACTCCGATTCTGACACCAGCCCCTCTCGCTCCTTGCCAGCGCAAGCCGCAAGGGCACCTGCCAAAGCACCCGCCAAAGCACCCGCCAAAGCCCCCACCAAGGCACCCGCAAAGGCGCCCGCCAAAGTGCCTGCCAAGGCGCCTGCCAAGGCCCCGGCGCCTGCCAAGGCCCCGGCGCCTGCCAAGGCCACGCCCGAAGCCGAGCGTTCCTTGCAGGAGCCGACGCCGCCGGCCGAACCGAAGATCTCACAGCCGGTGCTCACAGCAGAGCTGCTTGCAGCCTCCACCAGACCAACTGGCCCTGGCTGTTTGCAGTGCCTATGCCCCGATCCCAACCTTGTGAGGCAGTGCCCTGCCCTGGTACCACCGTGGAACGCGGGCGACCTGTTGACACAAAGTCCAACCCATCTCTTCCGGAAGCTCTTGCAACACGGCGCCATGTTCCTCTACCACCTCGTCAAGGCACGCTTTGAGGCAAACGATTCCTCGGGCAAGAAGAACCAAAAGTTCCAGTTCAAAGTTTCCGACAAGCTCGACAGAATCATGGAGAAGACAGGCGAGATCAAAGGCATCTACGGCGTCTCCGGCTTTCGCATGGTCAAGGCATCGTCCAGCTTCGTCGACAGTGCACAGGGATTTGAGAAATGCGGCCTTCATGAAGTCAAGGATCTGGGTCGTCTCCTGGACCACATGCTGAAGCGGAACAAGTTCTACGGTGCGTCTCAGACACATGCCCGCACGCTTGCTATCCTTCGAAACAGCTTCAGCCATCGCCCCTACCTTAGGCATGCAAGGACAGCTCCACACCTGGTGCATGAGGAAGTCTTGCAAGCCTCATCGAAGTTCTTGCAAATCCTCCTAGATCTTGCGAACCTTGGCGACCTCCAGAGGCACCATGTGAACACAGCTGACGGTGTGGAGTTCTATCGCAACATCCTGGCATCCTTCAAGCACAGCATCCGGAGAATGAGGAAGATGCAAGCAAGCAGCCAAAGCAAAAGCGAGGACAAAATCGATGCCAGGAGCTCAGGCAAAGGGTGCATGCTGTTTGCGATGCGACCTCAGTGCTCAATAGGTCTGATTTGGCCCAGCTAAGGTCGACGCGTGCTTGAAGGCCTGGCAGAGCAAGATCATGGCAGAGTCCGAGGGTGACAAAAGCTCCGCATCTGTTGCAGTCATGGGCATCCTGGGATCGCGCTTTGAGCAAACGGAGAAGCTTGGAGATATCCGAAGCAGCAAGGCTGAAGGAGAGGAAGATTGGACCACCGTGAAGAAGGATGACAACTTCAGGAAGGGCATCGATGTTGGCATTCCTGTGTATGACCTCAAGAAAAAGACCGTGTCGGTTCTCTATGACCCCCTAGCAGTGACCAATCAGGACTTAGTCAACACAGGCTTCGATGCTTTGAGCCTCATCCTGTGGGAGATCGAGTATGTTTTCGGCAAGGGGGACAATTTCCAGGGTCAGAGCTTCGCCAAACTCAGGTGCATTGTCATCAATGAGGACGGCCTGTGTGACTTGTCACAGACGCTTTTGCGCGACGCGCAGGATCCCGCAGCCGAGTTCGAAAAGTTCCACGACCCGAGCATGCTCTTGGAGGTTGCGGCCGCGTTTTTTGAGCCACCCAGTTGTGATCGCAAGTCGCTGACGCCTGATGAGCGCAGAAAAGCCAAAGAGGAGCAGCATCGATTGGACGCCCTTCGGGATACCTGCGAAAAGTTGATCCTCTTGTGCAGGGCTCTCAGCCATCATGCCGTGCAAGCAGATGGCGAGCAGCTGCCAGCCAAGAACGCCGCGAAAGCAATTGCCCACATGAGTGCAGTTGCTCACGCACTTCAAGAAAGAGCTCGTGAAAAAGGCCATGTGGTGAGCAACATCGAGCACTACATGAACTTGCTCGAGGCGCCGTGCACCTGCAGTGATGCACAATAGGACAGTAGGCGATTGAGTGCCTGCACATCGCTCCAGGTGCTGGAAGAAGAATTAAAGGAGGGCTCAAACTACAAGAAGTTCCGCAGACGAGAGCGTCAAGCCGAGTACATGGCCAGCCAGGGCAAGGCCGCGAGCTACACGAAGCTCTCCTGAAGAAGTGCAGGCGTGAGATGGTGTGAGAATGATCCGACCATAATTATATATGTATATACATACATGTGTATATATGTATATATATATATATATATATATTTATATAGGCTACCATACATATATATATACATGTGTATAAATCTCCCGACATGTCCATCCCTTGGAAGCCAGACGGCTATGTCTAGTGCATGAATGCGGCCTAGGAGTGAGCGGCTGATTCCTCTTTGGAAGCAGTTGCCCGAATCGGAGCTCGAGATATTGCGAGCTCACCTTGCTCGGGTACCAAGCAGCCTGAAATTCTTCGCTGAGAGCCTGGGCTGCAACATCGCCAGAGCACCGATCACGTCTACGATCGTTCATTCTTCCATGTAGCAAGTATATTGTACTTACCACGGTACTCAGCATATGCTACACGATGTGTTGATTGGCTGTTCCTTCAGATCATCATACGGTAGTGTATGGTGTTTTTTTGGTGTTTTTTTGTTTTTCGATCAATTTTTTCCGCGTGACGAACTAGCCCATTGCTCCAGAAAGCTTCAAGAGAAGTGGCGCGCCCTTATAGAACCACAACCGAAGCATCATCCATACGGCAAGAGGAACCCTGAAGCGTATCCCGCAGTACCCTCGATTTGTGCCTGTGGAGACTCAGTCAGCCAGGCAAGCAACCAAAATGAGAACTCCGAGCGCCATGTACCAGAAAACGAAGCCTAGCAACCCTGCAGAACCTAAACATACTGTTCAGACCCAGCTTTGTTCTGTATGTGTTGGAGCCTTTAGGGTTGAACGTGCTACCCCACAAAAGTAGTGTGTAGTGGGCTCTGACTGGACAGTGTACGTTGAAGGCTTGCCTACGAGCGTGAGCGACGAAATCCTCATAAGCCCCTTAAAACTTAAACCCGAAACTCCTAAACTCCTAAACACCTAAACTCCGAAGCCCTAACCCCTAAGCCCTAAACTCCTAAGCCTAAAACCGCCCGGCCCAGGAGTGACCCCATGTCTTCCGACACCTCCTCCCTGAACCTGGGCGAAGAGATGGGTCTCCTGGCATACCAGCAGTAGGAAAGAGGAGGAGACGGGTAGAAGTACTAGGGTTTCTATCTAGTATGTGATGCTGAGAGTTTGTTATGTTGTCCTGCTTGGGCTGTCCTAAGAAAGTCGCACTAGCACATGTTCTTGAACTTATTCCCTTGCATGGCCACTTTTGAATCCGAGGCTTGTTGGAGGATGCCGAGGCGTTCCTGGCAGGAAACGCCCCACGACAGGCCGCATGACAGCAACACAGTGCATTGTGCTCCTGAATAGCGCAAAACTTTGCAGCTGGCATCTTCTGAAGCTGAGGCCATTGAGAGGATGAGGGTGTCCTTGCAGGAGAGCCAGGCTACAGTAACTGTGAAGTGAGGCCTTATCGTAGAACAGTTGGCTTGAGGTATAACTAGCACAATAATGCACAGTATGTTGGATTAGAGGATTTACATGCTGTGCAGGAGTTCTTGGATAAGCGCAAGCCATCGGATTCTCAGGGGGTAACGATCACGGCGCTCAACGCAGAAGAAGTCCTTGAAGCCATGGACAAGGAAGATATGAAGACTCTTGCGGAGAGGTTGAAGCAGCTGCATCTTGCGCAGCTCGGGGAGAGTGCTGAGATCAACGCTCGGGCACTCAAGAAGCTCGTGAAGGCATTCAAGGATCACTATGCTGGGACCACCAGTCAGGGCCACGTGCTTGGCGATGCCCACCGCGAGGATCATGTGGAGCCGATTGAGGCAGGGGCTGCTACCATGCCATGCCTCCTTCCACCAAAGAGAGCTCGCTGCAAGTTTATGCCCCAGCAGTTTTTTTTTTTGCAAGCGTAGTACCTCCCCTGTAATCGATCCGCATGCAATGTCCACCGCAGCATGTCATAGTACTGTACAGAATAGAAGGCACACATCAGGGACCCGTGCGCGTCAACACGGTTCAGGGGTGAAAAGCCCTGGTGGCGAGGGCCCACCCTGTATGCCCCCTCCCCCCGCCCTCCCTCATGGTTTCCCCCGCCTTTCTGGGTTATGTAGGTGATTTTTGGGTTGTGCGGCCCAGTTGAATAAGGTGGGCTCGTCCTGCGTTCTGTGCCACGGCTTTCAGGGAGGGAGTGGGCATCCGAGGCCAATGTGTCGGATGGCGCCACAAAGAACAGACACCGGAGGGAGTGCTTTGGCTTAGACCATGTTGGACCAACCTTTCGGGGTTTAGTATCCGCATCTCCCGGGCGAGATGAATGTAGCTGATGTCTCTTGAGACTTCCACGAGGCCCGGCCAAACACACCCCAACGATGCTCATGCTGCCCCGTATTACAGAGCCAAGCCATGGTGTTGGCCGACGCTTCCGGAGGGCTCCGGGCCCGAGTCGATGATGCTCCTGACATCTCATGACGCACGGCACGCCCTAACATTTGGGCTTCCGGTACCCTGGCCAAGAAAAGCACTGAGGTATGTGCCCAGCACGAGATGTAGGCGCGGTGATATGCTGTGATGCTCCAAGGGTTGGTGATGGGCTTCGGCCTCCCCCAAGTGGGGGAGAGCCTTCGCCTGGCTCCCAAGACGGCTCTCTCTAAAAGCAGCAGGGATTACAAGAGCCGAGCATCATGAGCACTGCGAGGAGGACCCCATTGCAGCAAGCGTGTCACATATTACAATGGACAGCCCTACACCGGTCATAGCCTGTCCACGCTTGGGCCTGGGTCGGGCCCCTCAGGGGCGCACGAGCGTGGGGAAGATGACATGAGGTTTCTGTCCCTCCTAACCCCTTCCATCTCTGCTTGCCTGTCCGGAGCTGACAGGCCGTCGCGACCCCGCCAAGAGAAGCTCCGACAAGCCGCACTCAACCTGTCCAGGAGGCAGGGCTCAGAACTTGGAACATGCAGTCCTGCAATGTAGTTCTTCGCACGACTCCAGTTGTCGAGCCTTCCTTGTAGTTAGCGGCGCCTCTTCTACGAAGCATCAGCATCTGCATCCCTTGCTGGCTTCTGGCAATGTTAGGAGAAGGCAGCGGTCAGCAACGAGGGTGAAATCAAAGCGATTGAAGAATCTTGGCTCATTGGCAAGTCTATTTTGTCAATTGGGTTATGCCTTGTCTCACCCTTGAACTATGCAAGAACGTGCGGAGCTCGACAAATGTCATGAGCTACATCCGCTTGTCTCAACATGCCGAGCTATGAGTGACATGAATGACATGTCTCATGGAGGCATTCATCAAGTCAGCCATACAACAAGCCACTAGCGGAAGTCCTTGTAATTATGTTGATCCATAAGAGTGGAAGGATAGTTCTTGGATCAACACGGGAAGTGCTTGATTCCTTCGTGCAGCCTTCCGCTGTTGAAGCAAGGAAAATAACAATAGCATGCCCGGCAAGCATTGTTAGATCGTCCCATGTCAATGATGAATGCAGCCCCGAAAAGGAAACTGAATGTGCTAACCTTTTTAGATTTGCTTGTAGAAGTACTCAGGCTTCGCGTGGTGAACGTGGAGAGGCACTGAAGCCAGCAGTCTCTTCCGAAAGCTTGGCCCATGAGCTTGGAACGCCCGAAGAGACCGCGGCATGGGTGATGGAGGTGACAGGATCCCGCAGGCGGGAGAGCTTGTAGGAATGAATTCTTCTGGATCATGCAACTACCAATGACTTGTGGTAGAATGCGAGTCGTGAGAATACCCGTCGGCCTCTATAGAGGGGGAACTGTCACGAGCAAGGCTGGAAGAGTGGGAAGGGGGGTTGGGGGAGTCAATGATGGACGCGCAAGGCCGAGAGGCGACTTTTGTGATATACTTGCTGCGCCATTTGCAGGACTGCCGACATCTTTCTGGAGGAGGACATCACCGGAAAATCGCTTCAGTTCTTCATGACGAGGGAGAAGTTGAAGGAATTGGGTGTGAAGCAGGGGCCGTGCGAGGTCCAGCGGGTGGAGCTTGAGCACATGTGAGCACATTCATCTCCAGACTTGAGCTATCTTGAACTGAATCAGTTAAGCCTTTGTTCAGGCGCTCCTCGACAAGTTCACACGTCAATGAGCCTCCAAGCAACTGGCACAACAAGTAAAGTGTAGGGTTTATAGGGTTTAGGCCTCATCATTCATGCTCGGCAGCAGTCAATTTACGTAGAATTCTTTGAAGTCTGCCGGGCTGCCGGACAAATGGCGCATTGGGAGTTTTTTTCTGCACATGTACAGATCGACCTGTGGAGAGCGCATCGCCAAGCCTCCGGTCAGCAAGACTCTTCGCAAGACTGGCCCTCCGAACATTGGTGAATATCGGCTGCAGCCAACGAGATGTGCTAAGGACAAAATGCTGTCACATCTTCCTTCTGGAACCACTGACCCGTAAACAGTATGCAGCTTTGACGTGCCCACGAAGAGCACATGTACACTACAGACGTATATGTTGCATGTATGAAGGCTCACGCCGGCCACATTGTTGTGCTGCCATTCCCAGACGATGTACCTGAAGCAGAACCCCGTCTGTGTTGCTGGAGGAAGGAAGTCGGGTGCCAGCATCCGGACGCTAGAAGGCGAAAGCAAAGGTACCACAGGCAAACTGTTCAGGGAGTGGTCCTGAGAGTACTGCCCTGCAATGTTTGATCAGTTTTCTTACCATGAGTGCCCGTATGCTTGAATTAATAGGAATTGAGAAAGCGAGGCTGAAAAGTGTAAACGCTTGCGCGCACACCACCTCGGCAGCCGGGCCAGCCCAACGTGGGGTGTAGCATGCTCGCAGACGAAGGAAAGCCATAAGTGTGGTTTTCAGGGCTGACGTGTCAGCAGTGAGCCGAATTAACGCACTAGGCTATTTGTATTACATGCGCTGCTTGGCATGCGCGAATGAGTGTGCATTTACAGCGCAGAGACATCGGCAGGACCAAGCGTGCGATCCCTGTAAGGACGTGGATTGCGCCGGATGCACGTGGAAGTTTTGCACTCCTAACCCCCCCAGTATGGGCGCTTTTCTGCTCACTGCTCGTGTACCGAGTGCAGCGCTTCAGCCAAGTGCGGAGAATTTGCCAAGGGGAGGCTCCAGCTGGAAAGTTGCAGACAGGGAGAAGCCTGTTTGGCTAGTCAAGCGAATCCTCCCTGTGCTTGCTGCCATGGTGAGCGCCCATCGCACAGGGTCCTCAAATCGCATGCAGGCCATGTCTGTTCTTCTTGGGCTAAGGCAGCATCCGTTTCATTGCGGAATTATGGCTCCGTGACCGTTAGCTTGACTCGAACGGGCAAAGGCAAAGACCGTTGACATCAGTTGATAGATGTATAGTCATGTGTATCCAGCTGCGGCTGTACAAACTGCTACAGTAGAGTTCCGAAGAGCCAACAGCATCATGGTGAGGATATATGTGTAGTATGCACCGGCAAAGTCTCCACGTGATTCTGTGGGGTCCTCCAAGCACAGGAAGTCATGCTCGCTGTATTCTTTGTGGACCCCTTCTCCCCTGCAAGGACCCAAGATATATTCTTTACGGCCTTCACATCCCTTCCCGTGCCTTACATGGTCTGGTCTGTGGCGTGACGCAGGCAGCTGGGCATCTTCGGCCTCATGACCACAAGAAGGATGGCGAGCGCGGCTGCGGCTTTCAGCTGCTTTGTGCCAGCTGTGGCTTTCCCTGCAGAAATCGCTCCGAGTCCTGGGTGCATACCAAGGCTGCAAATCCGCAGAGCCGGTCTAGTTGCTTGGTGTGTCTTTCACAGACTTGCAGCAATTTTGAGCCCCTTGTTTGAGAACAGGCGACCGGACACGAAGGTTTCTACCGGCCCGGCGATGGAGCAAAAGACCACCGCTTCCTGCCGATGACTTGCGCAACGTGCGGCTTTGAATGCATCAGCCGAGCGGAATCATGGGAGCACACCATGGCCGGGATCTCGGATGAATGCATTCACGGAAGAAAGAGTGTGGGCAAGGTTTTTTGACCAGGCCACATGGCACGAGGCGTTCCACAGCGCTGAGGCGGACGTTTTTGAAGTGAAGAAACGCTCTGTGCACATGGTGCTGCTTACCTGACACGCAGGAGAACACGCAGGAGACAGGGCGCCGTTGCTTCAACGTGAACAACAAGCAGCCGGGCGACCTCGAGGGAAGTACTTTGCAACATCTCCTTGAAGCCGCTTGGCTCTTGCAAAGTTGGGTGTGACCAGAGCTGTCATTGCATACCGCTTGCAGTTGAAGATGGCAAAGACCGCCTTTTGCCTTTTAACTTTTGCAAAGGTCTTGGAAGTAGCCAGCAAGAAAGCTGGGATGGTGTCCAGCGCAGAGATTGCAGGCCGACGGTCGGGTTGTCATCGAAAACAGGCGGCTTCTTGGCATGTGCAAGTGTGCGGGGCGTGCGCAGGCCCACGGACTCCGTGTGTCAGACCGCAGTGTGGCCGACAGGTGCGGAGCTTACTTGACTTAACGAAGTTACGCTCCTCGAATTTTCACAGAACCCTCGGCCTCCCTCAGAAGTAGGAACTGACTGCAACTGACTGTTGCCAGAAGAGCCAGTGTGCTCAAAAAAACACGACTCCCGAAGGTGGGCAGCCAGGACTTCGGCGGCTTCTGCTCGAAGGGCTGCCGGGAGCAGCCATCCAGCTCCGAAGCCTTCTGCAGCCCCGCCTCGGAGGAGGAGCCGCTTTGTTGAAAGGAGCAGGCTGCCAGCAGATGTCAGTGGGACTTATCTTGAATCTTGAGCTCGGGACCTTGAGGTATTTCGAAATGGCTCCCCAGTGTTTTGACTTCTTCAAGCCAGTTGTCTATCCGGCCAGGTCAGGATGTTAGTTGGCAGGTCTGCGATATTTGCTGGGATTTCGGCTTCTTGAGACCTATGTAGAGTGAGCGAGGGGAGGATGTATATACGTCAGCTGGCTGGCATCTGTGTTTTCTTGACAATCACTTGTTGTTCCCCACACTCGGCGACTTAAGCTGGCGTCTCCTGCCTTCAGACGATCTCTGTTGCAGCGATTCTTGGATGATCCCTGCAACGCCTTCCCCTGCCGGCATCTGCAGCCAACACATGTCAGAACTGGAGGAATCATAAATCTTCCTTATAGCATCTCAAAGCGTGGTGATGTACATCATGAGTTGTTACGCTGTCCCTGTGAGCAGTCTCGTGGGGTCTATGTACTTCCGATGTCCTTCGAAGTCACATAGCTCACCTGTTTAAGCCTGACGGCCCCAGCCCTTCCAGGTTTGCTGTTGCCCCCTCATCTTAGGTGGAACACCATCAAGTCGCTGGATGCTAAGTTGCTCCTGTTTGGTCCTGACCTAGATTCCGAGGGGGGAGGGGAGGACATGCTACATTGTTCCTTAACTCGTCTGTTGAAAGGTGCAGAGTGGCTTACGACGTAGAGTCTGACAGACGAAGACTTTTTGTTTCTTGGGAGTCTAAGAGAGTCAGGGGGGCACAAGGTTGTTTCTGCTCAAGCAGCGTTCCTAAGCTTGGATAATCTTGATCCTGCGACAGACTGCAGAAACTTGCTGCAGCTTCCTCTTCGAAACACCAGTAGTCGGTCAGAACTCAGAGCTGCTATCCCAGTCGCCGTGGTACTCCGTGTCAATCTCCAACCCTGGCAAGGCAGCTGACTCAGAACTGGAGTCCCGACGAAGCGCGGGGACCTGCCTTGTCCCCACACGCGATCTACAAGATTCATGCCTCTCCGGCGTTGTCTTCGGTATCTTTTAGTCTTTTAGTCCTCTATATGCTCCGAGTGCTTGAACACCTTCAACAAGCAGGCAGTTCAGGCGGTTTGGTGGGACATGGGACTGCTGGAAAGATCAGACCTCACGGTTTTGAGCTCCGGGTGCTTCTCCCGTAGGGTATCCGGGGCGGCTGTAATGTTCAGAAGTTCAGGAGTTTCCACAAACGAGATTTCAAAAGCTCGTCGACCGGGTCCGGGTTTGCATTCTGCGCGAAGTTTTCATCGAAGGAAAGCGTGTCCCTGCCACGTTGTAGCGATACGGAATGCTGCAAGCCTCGCAAAACACCCAGAAGCGCAGGACCTAGGCGGGAGAGCGACTTTGCTACCAGCCAAGAGGCGAACAAGCATGCTAAGAGTGCGATGTTTCGGACGCGTCTCGGCGTTTGCGGGCCCTGAAATGCGTCATTACGCGTAGGCGCCTAGGCGAGATTGTCCGGCCGGATCCAACTCGCTTTAGTCTCAACGTAGGAACAGTTGAAAGCTCCGCTAGGGGAATGCAAGGAGAGGACTTGCACTTCAGTAATGCAAGTGCCGCTCATGGTACTCAGGCTTCTTCGGAGATGATCGGGCGGTTCAACAGGCCAGGGATCTGACCCTCTTGCCACTCATGCCACTGAAAAACAAAACGCAGAAAAGAAGCCATGAATGGCCTGTTGCGCCCAGAGCTCGCGGACTGAAAGGCTTTGGCATTGGGAGTGGGAACCTACAGTCAAGCGATGACGAGGATGATGGTCCTGCTGATGATGATGGTGATGGTGATGACGACGATGATGATTGCGTGCTGAGCCGTGTAATCGGCCGGTGCGCAAGTTGAGCCCACACTGTAGCGCACGGTAGCGGAGGGACGACCCTCATTGCGAAGGAAAAAGATGATGATGCCGATGACGATGATGGTGATGACAACGGCGTCGACGATACAAGATGATGAGTACGACTGTGACGACCCTGCTTTCTGAGATGTGCTTCCAGCTTGCATGCTGCAACACTTTGAGTGGCATCACATGGAAGAATGTAGCCATCATTGCATGCAGGAAGGAGTAGTTCCGGTGAAGGCAGCAAAGACCTTTGGGCGATTCACCGCAGGCAGCTTCTGACATGTGAGAAAGTATTTTATGTATGCAGGGCGGCTGTTTGCTGGGCATGCCCTGCAAAGCAGACATGTGGATGAGAACGGTTTCTTGATGCATGCCACAAGCATGGCCCTCTCAACCGTCTGAGAGCGGAATCTCTCAGCAATCCATGCGCCCGGCCTGCTGCGACAGGAGATGTCGGCGCATCGGCAAGATCACAGAGGCGGGAGCGATCGACAGCCTGGGAAACCAGAGGCAGATGCTGCACGGCACTCGACTCTCGCCGGGCTGGGTCACGCATCCTTTATCTGTGGGTTGCCGAACGGGGGAAGTGTTGCCCCAACTCCAGTCTGGGGCCCAGGACAGCTATGCAGCAGTTCATTCTCGGGCCGGCCGTGCACACAATCAGGCAGGGCTTCATCAAATCTCGCAGCGGAGTTGATAAGACCCGGACGTCGCAGGCTGCTCTGCCTGTTGCATTATGCGCAATGGCTTTGACATCTCCCATCTGGGCAAGTGCACCGGCAATAGGCAGGCTTCCGGTGCTTGAGGTCCACCAGTGGTCCACCCAATCACCACTCTCTGCCAGGGGAGCCTTTGGCGCTGGGCACTACTCTACCTCTGTGTGCTCCACTGCCCTGGGCTATGGGAACGTCGTCCTCATATGTAAAGTGGCAGCCGCGTCCTGAGATACTGGGGAGCCCATGACAACATTGAAATGCCTTTAGATGTGGCGGAAACGAAGTTGGTAGGCCTCAAGACAGAAGGTTTCTTCTTCAAGGGCTGCACTGTGCACATAGGACTTCTGAAGGATCCAGCAAGGTGCTGTTTACATGCCGAATAGTGTGCCTATTGCAAGCATCCATGTGCGCTCAAAAGGCGCGGCTTTTAAGGTTTGGGTGTGGTGTGGGGATACCATGGAATACTACTCGACACCGGGGACCTCAGATAGTTTTCGGTTCATGCAAAGCGGCGAGAGGCCTCGATGAGTTTGAGGTTGTAGGTTGTTGCAAATGGTGCAGAACAAGGAGAGTGTGTGAACGAGTCGGTGTTTGCACCACACGAACTGATGGCGAGGAGCAACATCTGATACTTGTGTTGTATCATAGTTCGGCTCAACGCCTGCTGTTTTGCTGCTAGGCTGGGGCCTCTCAACAGGCCTCCTTGCCGACGCCGGTAGCTGAGTTCACACTTGTCTGCTGAGAGGACATGCGTGTGTCCGGGTCTCCTTTTGTCCAAAGATCTGCATGCAAGGTCGCAGTCGCTCCCTCCAGGATACCACTCGCGAAACGTTATTAAGAAGAGCGGGGTGGATGAACTCATGGTGGAGTGCGACGACCAGATGCTTCCTGAATACCTGATCCAGTTCTGAGATGCAGTTCCGCAGATCCCTGGCATGGTATGCATGAAGGTGCACGCCTGGCCCAGCTTAGGGCAGCTGCAGGCTGAACAGCCTTAGGTCTGCTTGCCCGGCCAGCAGGACTCTTGCGTGACTGGCCAAAGCCAGACATTAGGACACCCACAAAAAAGGGTCTCGCTGCCAGGCATATGCTGCGCATGATCCATCACTGCAGTCATGAGGCACCATGAAGCGAGACAGAGACAGACAGACAAAGAGAGAAAGCGAGAGAGAGTTAGGACTCCTAAGTGCAGAAAAGAAGAGAAAGAGCGAGCGAGCGCTGTGTTGGGGATTCTTCTCCCATGCCCTCTGAGAAGAAGAATAAAAGAAGGAGAAAAAGAACAGATATTAGATGTTGAGAGAGGATGTGATGTTGAAGGGAGTGGGGACAGGGAGTGAGCTTGCTTACCAACAGCTCTGAATAGGCGGTCGTTCGCGGAAACTCGTGTGGAAGTATACACAGACTGCGGCAGACGGACGCGGGGCGGGAGGGGAGGACTTACTGTAGCGGCTATGCTGCACGTGCGTGCCTTGTAAACAGATCGCTGACAAAGGAACCACCCGCAGAATAGACGCAACGTGGCCCAGCACCTCATGATGCATCCTGGGGGCCGCGGACGGCGCGGAGGGTGCGGAAGGCACGTCGTGCCATGCATGGTCCACGCCTCCCCACGCCCCTCTCCCAGCCAAATGTTCCGACCCCCCTCCCGTCATACGTTAAGCGTCCAAGGCACGGGAGAGTGGGCGGAAGCCTCCCGCTTTGCTCAGCAGAAATAGAGGAAGAGAAGGGGAGAGAGAGAGAGAGAGAGATAGGCCCTAATGGGGTGCATTTTTCAACACAAGACATAACCGAGTGCGGCCTGGGAGCGCCTCGTGCGCGCGCGGGGGGTTCCTTCGGGCCCCTCATGCCCGTAGAGAAGAGAAGAAGAAGAAGAAGAAGAAGAAAGAGAAGAAGAGAGACGAAGAGAAAGAGAAGAAAGAAAGAAGAAGAAGAAGAAGATGAGGCCTAGGGTTTCGTTCGGGAGTGGCAAGGTTGGGGAATTATTGGGGTGGACAGCCAGATCAAGCGGTCAGCGCAGCAACCGCCGCAGAAACCGCCTAGGGGGGATCCTTGTTACGTACGAATAGTCGTGATTTGAAGGACACGGACCACGGTCACACACAGAGGAAATCCGCCCGGTTTCAGGGGTCAGGACTGGAAGGCAATGCAGGAGTGCCTAGGTAGGATTTGTTCGGGAGTGAGAGGGCTCGGTCGAAGAGGATGAGGGTGGTTCACAAAACGAGGCTTAAGGGCAGGGGGGTGTGAGGTTACGTAATTTGGGGGTGTCTTCTTGCTGGTGGAGCGGGCCTGAGCCTCAGTTTCACAGGAAAACATGCAGCGAGGCGGTATTGGGGGGTGTCAGCGTACCGTCTACTTGGGGGATGCCGTTCGAGCATTCTGCCTCACTGCCTGTTCCACAAGTAATGCGTGAAGTCGATCCACCACTGGCTGGGGCGCGCGACCTGCGCAAAGGGCCCGGTGCCCTCCTGCCCCAAAGAAAGAAAGAAAAAAAGGAAAAGAAGGACAAGAGAGAGAAAGGTTCGCGGCCATGCCCCAAGAAGGAAAAGCCAGAAGAGGGAAAGAGAGAGAGCGAAGGAGCTGGCGAAGCGAGAAGCAATGCATGTTTTCGCCTCGCCTCGCCATGTTGTCCCAAACGGGGCCGTTTTTACTGTATACTTACCAAACACACAGGAGGGCGCACATGTATTTGCTATGATCATGTAGTGTGTCTTGGTTTGGAAGCAAATCCGTTCCTGGTCATTCACCACAAACTGGACAATAGCGCACGCCTCGGGAGATCCCCTTCGGGGGTTTAAGGGCTGTGGAAGGAAGGACGAGAAGCAAGGAAGATGCGGGGAAGAATGTCAAGAGAGATATAAGGTCACGTTGTGATCTGGCTTTGTTTCAGTACACAGCTATATTGCTTTAGTATGTCCGCCGATGAACCAAGTGGCGAGAAGCTTTTCATTTTTGAAACATCCTTCGAAATTGGTGGCAACAGACAGGGGCCAGTCAATGCAGGAGCGGCCCAGTGCAGGATGTGGGAACCCCCCCCCCCCCCCCCATCCGAGCTGCAGCTTGCAATGCCCAAGCCAAAATCGGCAGGCCTAGTGGACGAAGCCTGCTCCCGAATTTGCAGTACGTTCTTGTTTTGTAGAAAAACGTAACGGAGCTTGCCCAGCCACCACAGCTAGGGCTAGGGCAGGTTCTTCAGCAAACTTACGGTAAAGCCACATTCAAATTTGGGCTCGGTACTGCGTCTCCCAAGCTTCAGCGAGTGGTCTACCAGCAGTGCCGCGATAAACGATGTGAAATTCTTTGGCTACAGTGGAAGCCAATCTCGAAGGAGGCTAGGGAGGCTGTACGATCCTTCGGATCCGATGAAGGGGCTCCACGCCTCTCGCAGGCTGCGAACATTCTGGGGCAGTCATGGCTGCGAGAAGCCCCGTACTCCGAGGGAGGCCTGGGGAGCGGCCCAGGATGGTCACAGAACCTGTGCTTACGATCCCGGCAAAGGAGTGGGTGTGGACTGCAGAGACTTATTGCCCCCTCATGGTCCAGATGGATGGGATGCGGCTCTGTAGGTTTGGGGCATAACACCAAGCCACCGAAGAACGCCACAGCTTCGATCGCTTGGCTTGGTGTTAATCTTTGCGCTCCAAGAAATCCCATGATGAAGGACTTGAGCGCCTCCTGGCGGTTTGCCGTCCTGGTCAAAGCAGCTCGGGATGCGAGGGTCTTGGGCCTGGGCGGTGTTGGTGTGTCGCAGGTGGCCCTCGCTGATGTGAACGATTCGTGAAAAGGGGTTTACTCTGCGTCTTTTTTGAAGGAAATGGCTGTTGGGTTCGGGTCGGGGGGGTGCAAGGTTCAGTGTAGCACATTCGTGGGAGATTTGTGTGCTTGGCATTTATTCATGCACGTGCTGTGTCCAAATTTTAATACGAGGATTTGGACGCCGCTTTCTCAAGCAAAAGCTCGGTAATGGACGCAAGCAGTAGTCAGAAAGGAGCCACGGATGTTGCTTTTCTTGGCCGGTCAAAGAAACGGAGGTTGTATTGTGACATGCGAGGCCTTGAAAGCTGACGGCTAAGAGTAGATTCTACAAAGTTGGAGTGGCAACCGGGGCGATTCTAAGGACTCTTCTACAGTGTTCTGCTCAGCTGCGGCAGCCGGCTGTTGAGCCAGGCAGTCGACGTCGATATGAGAGGAAAAGGCAAGGCAAGCACCATAGCAGAACCCCGAAATCTTCCTCGAAGCGACATCGAAACTCCGAAAGCTGCCGGAGGGGCGATGGAGTTGTGTCCCTTCTGCGAACGTGGTGGGTGGAGATCCTTTGTCCGGAAGAACTCGGAAGGGTCAGATGCTGTGATTCTGCAGCTCAAGCAGGACAGTGGATGTGCAGGGACATGGCAGACTCGGAGAGATTCTATCGGTGGGTTCGGACGAGAAAGGGACGTCTTGCGGCCCATTTGGCAGCGGAGACAGGAAATGTGGCAGTTGGCTGCAGGTGCTGCAAGAGCTCGGACAAGATCTTGCAGAAAAGATGACAGGGCATCATGCCAGTGCACACAGTGCACGGCGGTTATTCTGAAGTGTTGGGCATTGCACGAGCTAGGGGCAGATGGCACGGACAGGATAGCACGGGCAAGACCCCAGCGCACTGGGGCGCACAGAACGGACACGATGAAACGTGTTGCAGTCACTCAAGGATCTACGTGCAGACATATCATCCCAGGAAGGGCCGGGGCAAGACGCCAGCACTACGCAGCATTGAACGACTTTACGGCCGAGGCTCTTCATGCCTTAAAGAGCGTTGGCGCGGATCTTTTTGCCCGTGATAACCAAGGAGAGACACAGCAAAACTTGCGGCAGAGCAGGGCCATGTTGAGGTGTTGCAGATGCTTTGGGCAACTCGGTCGAAGAAGTGGCGTTGACGCAGCGGTGGGGGTGAGCTTGATCCGCGGCCGAAGACATTTGTATCCCGCAGGACAGGGGGAACCAGCACATTCCGTGATGTCAGCATGCTGCAGAGGAGAACGGGGGTTCCGATTGGCCGGCTGATTCGTAAAGATTGGGGTCGGTCCTGGAGAGAGTGCTGAGGGTGGACACTGCAGCTGGGTAGAGACCTCACCGCCATCGTTCAGGCCCTGGGCTGGACCCTTGTCTCGGTAGATTTACAACCGAAGGTCCAACTCTCCGACTAACAGCAATGTTCCCAATGAGGTTCCTGCAGCATCGGCTCCCGATGAGGCGGGATCTGCTGTAGAATTCCTATGTCGCTGTGGAGAATCAGCTGGCACCCGTTGAGGCAGCTGCCATTTACACTGCGGATAGTAGCTGCTTTCTCTTGATGTCATGCGGGAAGATGTCCATCGCTGCAAGCTGCAGTTAAGGCCCTTCGGTCTCGGTGTTTATAGGAGTTACGCAAGAAATGATGATGCACATCTGGCCTCATATCAGAATGGGAGGCGCATTTGGAAGACCACTCAGCTCGGGCGTTCGGTTGGCGACAAAGTGTTTTTTTTTTTAAGGCCCATGATGCACAGGGACAAACACCCACACAACCGAAATCAGTCTGGCATTTGCAGATTGTGCAAGCTTTTTGAGGCGGAACCTCCCTGTGTTGCTACTGCGCATTAAAGGGTGTGCCAGCGTCCGAAACTTGCAACACGCCAGGAACTCAAATTGACTGCAGGTGTCCTAGGATGGGCGTAACGATTGTCCCTGATCTGTTTTGATTCGGTATGCTTGCCTATGTGAATGGGCCACCCCTGCCGCCCAACATGAAATCAAAGCAAGCAAGCAGCAAGCAAGAAAAGCAAAGCGGTCATTGGGTCAGGCATCCCAAGAAACGAAGGCAAGCCAAGGAACCAGCCTGCCAACAAACAGCGACCGAACCAAGCAACCAAGCAATGCGACACAAACGTGTTAC